CAGAGGTGTATTCACAAGACAACATCCCAGTAACCAAAGATAATATTCCCCACCAAGAGGATATTATCAGCTGGCCTCACCTAAAAGAGGTGAAACTTCCCACTATAGAATCAGAGGTTGGATTGCTCATTGGAGCAAATGTTCCCAAGGCGATGGAGCCACTGGAAGTGGTCAACAGTGTGGATGATGGACCATATGCCGTGAGAACAATATTAGGCTGGACAGTGAATGGCCCTCTGAGAGGTGGAAGTGAAATGTTGGACGCAGACAAAGGACAAGTTCTCTGGTGGGAGTCCTCCTGAGGTTCCGACAAGAAGCTGTGGCGGTTATGGCTGATGTGGAGGCCATGTTCCACCAGATAAGGGTCAGCGACAAAGACACAGATCTATTCAGGTTTCTATGGCGGCCTGAAGGGAACTACGACCAGGAACTTGTTGAACCAAGATGTTGGTCCACATCTTTGGTGCAACATCTTCGCCAAGTGTTGCAACTTTTGCGCTACAGCAATGTGCAAAAGATTTGAAGAGGAATTTGGACAGAAAGCTGCCAAGACGGTCAAGAAAAACTTTTACGTCGATGACTGTCTTAAGTCAACTACTGATGAAGACACAGCAATCAAGCTTTGCACTGATGTGAGAAGCATGTTGGCTAAAGGTGGATTCCGTCTAACAAAATGGTCAAGCAACAGCCGAAAGTTGCTTAACTCGATTCCTGAAGAGGAAAGAGCACAAGGATTTAAAGACCTGGACTTGGATGACTGCAGTTTGCCAATAGAGAGAGCGTTGGGAATCCATTGGTGTGCTGAATCAGATCAGTTCAAATTCAAGCTCAACCTCAAAGATCGACCACACACAAGGAGAGGCCTGCTCTCTCTTGTCAGTTCCATCTTTGACCCACTGGGTTTTCTAGCTCCTGTGACACTGCCCGCCAAAAGAATCCTACAAGATCTCTGCAGGCAGAAATACAGCTGGGACGAAGACCTGCCAGAGCATGTTGTGAAGATCTGGAAAAAGTGGATCTCAAGTTTGCAACAGCTGGAGAAATTTGGAGTTGACAGATGTATCAAGACAAAGCAGTTTGGTACACCAGTCTTTGCACAGCTACATCACTTTGCTGATGCAAGCGAAGATGCCTATGGTACAACAAGTTACCTACTGCTGCGTAATGCATCTGGAGAAGCCCAATGCACCTTGGTGATGGCTAAGGCAAGGGTCGCACCTTTGAAGTCTCCAACTATACCAAGAATGGAACTTACTGCGGCCACAGTCTCAGTCAAGATGGACAAGCTTCTGAAGAAAGAAATCGAACTTGAACTTCAAGACTCAATCTATTGGACTGACAGCATGGCTGTGCTAAAGTACTTGAACAGTGAAAGCACAAGATTCAAGACTTTCGTTTCTAACAGAATCTCAGCAATCTTGGATCACTCTCAGACCTCTCAGTGGAGATATGTTAATACCAACTTGAATCCTGCTGATCACGTGTCAAGAGGACAGACTGTGGAAGCATTCTTGAAGAATGAAAGTTGGCTTTCAGGCCCAAGTTTCTTGCTCAGCATACAAGACCAGTGGCCTAAGAATCCAGACCCTGGAATGCTTGATGTTGATGACCCAGAGGTCAAAAGAGTGGCTCAAGCACATGTCATTCAAGTGCAAGAGCCCAAAGATGTGATGGACCAATTGATGACTTATTACTCATCTTGGACAAATCTAAAGCGTGCAGTGGCCTGCTTTCTTAAGTTGAAAGATTTGCTTAAGGAACTGAAAGCAAAGAGAAAAGAAACAAACACATTACATGGTGAAAGCAGAGTGAATCAGTTCAAAAAGGCTTTCAAAGGAACACAGCTAGTCTGTGAAGATTTAAATGAAGCAGAAACTGAAGTCGTGAAGTACTGTCAGAAGAAAAGTTTCAAAGAAGATTTGACAATGCTAAAAGAACATCAAAGGGTAAAGAAAAACAGTTCACTCTACAAGTTGAACCCAGTACTCCAAGAGGGAGTCATTAGAGTTGGAGGCAGGTTGAGCCGTGCGACAATGCCTGATGATTGCAAGCAGCCAGTCATCTTGCCAAAGGATTCACACATCACAAAGCTTGTGATAAGACACATTCACGATTTAACAGCTCATGCTGGAAGGAATCACATATTGGCTCAATTGCGTCAAAGATTCTGGATACCTGGAGCGAATGGAGCCATCAGGAAGTTCTTGTCGAAGTGTGTCCCCTGTAAAAGGTTACATGGAACTACTGGCAAGCAGCTCATGGCAGATCTACCAGAATGCAGGGTCCTGCCTGACGATCCTCCATTCACAAGTGTAGGTGTTGACTACTTTGGCCCATTCCTGGTGAAAAGAGGAAGAGGGCAAATAAAGAGATATGGTGTTATCTTTACGTGTCTCGCCATACGAGCAGTACATCTGGAAGTCGCATCTTCACTTGACACAGATGCGTGCCTCAACGCGATCAGGAGATTCCTTGCAAGAAGAGGACAAGTCAAGGATAATGGAACAAACTTTCGGTCGGCTGACAGTGAGTTGAGGAAGTCAATCAAAGAATGGAACACCAGTAAGATCGCTGATACCTTGCAACAGAAGGGTGTCCAATGGCACTTTAATCCTCCTTCTGGTTCTCACCATGGAGGAAGCTGGGAGCGGCTGATACGCTCAGTAAGAAAAGTTCTTAACATCATGGTGAAGGAACAGGTTCTTGATGAAGAAGGTCTCCATACCTTGCTGTGTGAAGCAGAGGCAGTCATAAACAGCAGGCCCATCACAAAGGCATCTTCAGACCTCAATGATTTAGAGGCCTTAACACCCAACCACCTGTTGTTACTGAAGGTTAAACCAGAGTTACCTCCAGGTGTTTTCAAAGACGACCAGTATGCTAACCGCAGATGGAGTCAGGTCCAATATCTTGCGGATGTCTTCTGGAAACGCTGGTGCAAGGAATACCTGACACAGCTCCAAGAACGTCAGCGATGGTTCACGCCTGGAAGAAACTTCTGTGTCGGTGATGTGGTGCTGATTGTGGATGACACTTCACCAAGAAATTCATGGCCACTTGGAAGAATCGTGACAACCCTGCCCGACAAGAAAGGCCTTGTTCGCCAGGTGAAAGTGAAGACCAAGACTAATGAGCTATGGCGTCCAATAACCAAGCTTTGTCTTCTTCAAGAAACTGAGGACTCTTGATCTGTGCTGGAAACCAAGCCCTCAATTAGGATGAGGCGTTGATGATAATGGACTAGATCCTATGCCAAGTATTCGATGGGACAAAGGACAACAAGACGTTTTCTTTAGTTTAACATAACATGTGGGCTTTTTTGATTTAAGTTAATGTTTTTGAGTAATTGTTTCAAGGGCATTGGTAACAATTAGGGGCCGGTAATGTAGGAGCCTTATTGCTCATCATGTTAAATTTATGGATGCATGTAATACTTTTTGTTCATTGGATCTGGGAGGGGGAGGGGCTTGTGGACTTAATTGGGCTCAGTTCGGACTAGTAGAGGGTGGAGCCACACAGTCTTTTGACCTCTCTCTCCTCATCTCTCTTTTTGTATAGTTTTGGACTAACCTGTATCTGTTTTTTGTTTATTTATGTTTAAGTAAACATTTAAACTTTGATCATTTGGTCCCGTGGATTTTTTGGATGAAAATTACTTAAGAGAGGAGTTCTGGGAGCGTCAAGCTACGGCTTCATTCAGTGGATACCTACATATTGTTTGTATACTGTGTGAAAGCTGCTACATCCAATTGCTTCTTCTTACTGTTATTTCTAGGGCTGTGACTTAGCCCTACTCTTTTGGTTATTGTTCATTAATGTGTTGATACTTCTTTTATTAGGATAATCAATGGGTTTTTAAGTCTATATAATTGCACAGGATGGTAAAAAACGTCGATCAATATGGCATCCTGAATGTTTATTTTCTCTAAAGAACAAGATTTATTTGCATTTACTTATTTGTATTGAATTAAAGTTGGAGACAGCTTGGAAGGTCTGCCTCTAACGGAGATTGCAGTATTCCTAAACGTGGCTCCGCTTGAGCACAATCTGTTTTGTTTTCTTTTAAAGCCATTAAAGAATGGAATAGTCTTCCAACTAGTCTTAAACTTTGCACAAACTTCTGCACTTTCACCCGGGAAGTCAAAAAATTGATTTTAAGTCACCAGTCTCGTCAGCATTAATGTGTCATCTCGACAACCTTTTAGATCTCTCAGGGAAACTTGTACATAATGTTTTAATATCTGTAAATTGTTCTTGGTCTTTCTTCTCTCTTATAAAATGTGTGTGTGTGTGTTGGGCGTGTGTGTGTGACTGGTTGATTTATATTTTGCTGTTGTCATCAGCTGCCCAGGGACAACAGATGGAAATTAGTTATCTTCTGAGACTAATGTTTTTTGTACACTGTCCCTGATTCAAATAAACGATTAAAACAAAAACAAAAAGAAATCTTAACTCATTGATTTTCCAAAAAGGTAGGATACTCAAATTTCAAATTTACCAGTTTTTGAAAGTTTGGCAAATTCTGTGGGAGCAGATAGCCAAGCAGATAAGGTGTCATTTATCGTTGCAACTATGACGAAGGCTAAATTATAAATTGGCAAAACCTAGCTGAAGCCTAGAGCAGGGATGGGCAACTTTGGTAACAGCAAGGGTCACATTCATTTAATTCTCACTGCCAGAGGGCCAAATTAAACGATTACAGTCGATTATTACTCGAATTTAACTCAACATATACCAGTGATCAAATATTATTATGGACATATTTCTGGTTTTCATGATTTCATGGCAGATTTCATCATGTTTTCTTCATGTTTCCAATTAATTGATGTGTAAAAATTAACCTGAGGGCCACGTTTAAGGTTGATGGTTGGCCGCCAGTTGCCCACCCCTGGCCTAGAGCAAAAAAAACAAAAAGAAAAACGGAATAGAAGACTTTAATTTTGAAGGTCCCGACCGGATGTTGCGCGTCTCATTTTTCTGCCTTGATTCCGTTTCCCTAAACGCAGCTGGTCGTTCGCCTCTGGCAGAAAGCGACAGCCGTGTCTCATATGAACGCTATCTGACAGAGGGTGAAGTTTACTCTGCTGCTCGTAACACCTCGACAAACTCTTTCTCCTCTCACTTCTCCAAACTCACGACACCTCGACGGGACCACACGCTGTCATACTCACAACTTTTCCCCCCTGCAACTCTGTAAGCGGTAAGAATAATGTCATGTTGTTGTTGGTTTTTTTTGTTTGTTTTTTTATGTTTTGTGTGTGTGTGTGTGAGCACTTCGTATTTGTGTTTGCTGACGTGCAACTCTGCAGGACATTAAATTGAAATGATTTATGATGAAATGAATGAGGCCAAAATCAACAAGTAGCAGGCCCTGAAACTGCGCATTTACTGCGATTGGTTGACAGGTGACAGAATAACAATGTGGGACTTTCAATCGTGGTTTTATAGCAAGCTGTGGGCCATTCAATCACTTCCAGATGTTCACTGGATTTGAACATTTTCTTTAAGTTTCTTGCAGATTTTAAACTGCAACGGCAATTAGAAAGAATAATTCATCAATCAACACATTAATTAAAGCAATCTGGTCATAGACTACATCTTTAAAAAAAAAAAAAAAAAAGATGCACACGTGAATCAGTGTAACGCCGGATCTGTGTCTATTTCTGTGACCTAAATGTGGTTTAAAAAAAAAAAAAAAAAATCTGCTGTTGCAATTCAAACAAGCCTGATGTGAATACCATCCACTTCAAAAGACACTTATCACTGTGTAAACAAGCAGCTGCTATCTACCAGCTGCTCTGATGCAGGGGTGCTCAGAGGAGAAAATACATCTTTTTTTTTTCCTCCCCTGTGTATATGTTGGAGCACAAACTTTGACTGTTCACATGTTTTATTTGCAAAATGACTCCAGTCAAACAAGTCATGATTAGTGGTTAATATTAATCACATCTGCATCACAAAACAGAACACAGATAAGTGTTTGTGTAATAGTGGACTTTTTTTCAGTTCAGACATTTTACAGTATGTGTATACAAATAAAAACTGTTTTTTATTGTCATTATTCTGAAAGATATATGAAGCTTTAATATTCTTTTGAATGTGTTTATATTTACCTCTCTGATTATTGTGAGGATATTCAAACTTGTGTCCTTGTTGAGCCGTATCGCAACTTAATGTCCCAAAAAAAGGCAGAAACTCGAACATTTTCTATCAGTTCATGATGAAGCGTCTGAGCAGAATATTTTTTTAGAAGTGAAATACTTACTTTAATTTAAAATCTTGAATCTCTAGTGCTTCATACAGACCTTCAGGGAGGAAACAAAAACTCAACAATCAGAGAAAAAGTTTGCTACAAATGGACTGCGTCTCATTTTCTTCTTTTGTCATACATGCTCATAGAGGTGAGATTTTACAAAGGCACAAATTAGTTAAAAAGTTTTTGGATCACACGTTCTATGAAAAATTCTTGACAATGTCTTTCCTTTCATTTTAAAGTTTTAAAATCAGTTAGAATTATTGCTTCCACTTCTCACAAAACTTCATAACCGGAGAGGAATACTTCTGCAACCATAACAGTGGCAGAAGCTCTTTAAAGCTCTTTAGAGCATCTTTGACCACGGCTATAATTACCAGAATCCAGGCTGTCAATATTCTGGGAAGCTGTTTTACTTTGGGTCTAAACCTGGATTTACTGTCTCTTTCTGTGTTAGGGATTTAAGACTGGCTTTGCTAATGTGATATCCTTTAAAGGAGAGATATGAATTAAATCATAACATGACCAGATTACTACATCATCAGACATTAATGAAATGCTAAGTGGAAATACTGGCTTCTCTGACAACAACACAGCAGCCAGTAATCCTCCTGTGTTTTGATTCTGGTCCTGAATAGTCCGTCTTTGTTTTGACCAGAGAAGGGAGGCGGTTGTAAGGCAGCCCCACACCACACGGCCGTTTTGGACCCCCCTCTGTTCCCCCTCGATATGACAGTAGTGATCACGGTGAACCAACAGGTGGTGCAGCGATGGAAGCGGGCAAGCGAACTGATTCAGATTTAACTGATCCTACCCGACATAAAAAAGCCTCGGCATGTTTCTAATAAGCTCCACGACGAGAAACGAGGTGAAGATGTTGGAGATGCTTTTGAAAAATGGAGAGAGCTTAGAGCGCAGAAATGCTTCTCGACCGATGCGGGGCTGGCTAAACACTGAAGCTTCAGTGTCCACAGCTTTCTTCAAGTTTTGAATTTTGACTTCCAATCTTATATGAAAGTCACCCTGAGCTGTCCTTGTCGCTGTATCTTTTCTGTAATCGACAGTCTTGTACCAGGTTTAGTCCTATATGTACAAATCTTTACTTCTTAAGCAAATCTTTAATTAAAGCATAAATTTGTGAAAAATATTCTCAGCATAAAAGACTATTCAGAAATATCTGTAGCGATTCAAGCTTTTGTTGCAGGCAATTTAAAACTTAAACCTGAGGCAGAGCAAGAAAAACACATACCTTACCAGTCTGACATTTTTAAGATAACTATCATTGCATGTCTTTGAGGTCACTTGTCATTCAGCATCAGTCACAGATCACTACCTCTGACTCGAGGACGGTTGAACACTTTTCTTTCCGTTAAGGTAGACAACAGGCAAAAACCTTATTTTCCATCACAACAAGTCCTACTCCGAGTTGGACACATTAAACTGCTAATACACATGTGCTGACGGCCGTTTGATAAAGTGAGCAGGGAACTTCGGAGAAAAAAAAAAAGAGAAAAAGTTCAATAGCTCACTCTTACGCTGTGTAGTGTCCTCAAATGCCCTCCTGTTTGTTAAAGTACAACTACAGCCCCTGATATAAAATCCTTTTAAACCTCTGATTTAAATGGGTAACATACTACAGGTGAATGAACTACGGACATGATCAAGTTACATTTGTCTTTTTAAAAAGTTGTTGCAGTGAATGTCAAGCACAGATATAGCTCACATCAGTTTCCCTGGGTCAAAAGGTTTGCTTAGATTTTTGGCATTTTCTGGCACTGACCCCACCGCTCACATCCCTCCTCATACTCCCGTTCTGTAGAAAGTAAGGCACTGCGTCTTTTCTGCAGATCTGTTTCACATCCGTTTCCGTTGGTTTTAGGGAGGCGGTGAGATTTTTTTGGATGGGAAAAACAGCATGGCCTTGAGCTTGCTTTTTGTGTTGAAGGCATGCACTGCTGGAAGACTTCTTGTCATGTCACAGTTGGCTTTTTTTTTTTGTTTGGCTTTGACCTTTTGTGTATGATTTTTTTTTTTGAATTGGGGGGAGATAGTGGTACATGCTTTGTGCACACTATTATTTATGTGAATTTTAGGTTTGATTCATTCTTGTGCATATGTGTTTTTTTCATCAAGCCGCAACCTCTGGTGTTAAAAAATGAAGCCAATGAGGAAGTGCAAAATCCTACCCATAATGATATTTTCATATAGAAACATCCAATTTCTATAAGAGCCACTTGTAAACTTAGCTAGTAGCTGGTTGGATAAGCTAAAGCTAACTCCCGTTTACTGCAGTTTTAAAAACACACATTTCGACGCTCAATTCTTGATATCTGAGTTTGTTAAACAAAATCATTATCAAGTGTCATTAAAGTTAGTAACAGAAGTAACACCTGATTAACTGCCATTAGTGCTAGCTAACAAGCCTAGCTTAGTGAAGTAGTCTGTTTTCATGAACTGCTCCTCCTTGCTCCCTCTACGCTCTGAGTCCGTCAGCTACACTCTGTTGAGCCCACACTGTTAGACCTCACGTGGGCCAAGTCTGCTCTGATTGGTCTGCCGATCCGCTCTGTCGTTATTGGTCAGTTGCTCAGCACGGTTCTCGGAAATGTCCCGCCTCTTTTACCATATTGGGAATGCAGCCACTGGCTCCGTCTGAGGGGAGCTTAAACATTAGCACCTTAGCACTACTGTGCTACTGCAGGCTACGGCATATCGTGGGCGTGCTACAGAAGTTAACGGGCGTGCAACATGAGCTGCAGGGCCACAACGAGCCAATGGGCTTAGATCAGTGATCTCACACTGACAATGACGTCGGACTGACAAATTTCTATCGAGGGGGGCTAGAACCGAGCGTTACATGCGGCTAATGCTACAGCTAACAGGAGGACGTAGGAGAAGCCGCGTTTCCGCACAGAGATGTGGCTAAACATGCACAGGACACTTGGAAAACACACTAAAGAGCATATAAAACCAGAAAAAGCAGAATATGGGACCTGTAAGATGATCCAAACCCCGGAGTGCAGGATCTTAAGGTTTTTAAGGAAGGCTAAAAGAGCTTAAAAAATGAAAATGTTCAACTTGCAAATCTATTTCCCCAAAAACAAATCCTTTTGCTCCCCTTTGAAGTTTGTGCTTTCCCCCTGTGATAAAGAGGAGGCAAATATCTCTGTGAAAAATAAAGATATCATCGAAGAATGAGAAGCAAACGGGGACGTAGTGGACTTAATCAGAGCTGAATAGAATACTGTTTTACCCAAAGCATCTGTGATATCAGATATCGATCCCTGAATCACGGTGGTTAGGTTGGTGGTGTGTGTGTGTGTGTTGTTGGGGGGAGAGGTGGAGTAGTTGGGGTCAAGTAAGTTTATATTTTTGGCACACAGGTTGGGGCTCAATCCAGTGTTTTGCACAACTATTTGGAAGAGCACAGTCTTGTAGTGCTTTGGATACAGTGGCCTTGCTCTGTTCACTGTGGAACTTGTGCGTTTGTTTTGACAGTCCTGTAATAGTCACAGACCGCACGGACCAAAGAGCTGCTTATCCAGGTTGTTGAATAACAGTTACAAGTTGTTGTAGTGCTTTTCCCCAAGGCGTTTAACCCACAGCCCAACCACCCACAGCTTTGCCTTGAAACCCCCATTTTAGAGGATCTACAGTACGCCTTTCTGTATTGTGTTTAAAGTTTTTTTTGTGAGTTTGAGCTGGTAGTCGTAGCGGCAAGGATGAGCATCGTTGTGGAGAAGCTGGGAGGATTTCTCTCCCAATGAGCTGCCGGCTGCTGGATCGTGTGACAGTGAGGAGGTTTGATACAAGGTCAAGGTCTCAAAGTTAATCAAATCTCTTCCACATCTGCTTTTACCCTCTTATGGTCACTGGAGTAGAACGATTTTACTACAACAACCTTTCTCATGTCTATTCAAATGACTCATTTGTTTAAGGAGTCAGCTCATTGGGTACAGACACAAGGTCATTGGAAACTTAACCAAACCTTGCAGCACCCTTCACAGCAGGCGTTCTTATGCTTTCAGTAAAACTGTATAACCTGCAGATTGAATGACATATCATCACATAGGAGTCATAGCAACATGATGTTACTAAAGTTTGTGTGACCTGATGTAATACTTTCTATCATTGATAATCCTCCATGACTCAAACAGAAACAGATGAGCTGGCAAGCCGTTTAATTAAACTTCAAACTGACATAAGTTCAACCTCTTTAATTTCCTGACATCAGAGTGCGGATGTCGGGTACAAATTGCCGTTCCTCCCACTGCCAGGACACACTCGGTGTAATCGGCCAGAAATGGATCATTTGTCAAACAAAATTATGAAGCAGAGGTTAAAGCTGTTTGTGAAGTCTTCTGTGTTTTTATTAATAACTGGGAATCATTGTTCGGCAGAATCCCATCACATCTGTGGAAGTTAAGTGAGATTGTACAGCCGGGAGAGGTTGAGTGTCTGTGGTTGTTGTTGCTGTTGTTGTTGTCTTTGTTCTGCTGCCAGCGGGCCATTGATGATCTACTGTCACCAGAGGATATTTACTTTGGCAAAAAAAAAAAAAAGCGCTACACTATAGACACGATATGAAGCTTCTCATTTATAGTTTTAAGGAAAAGAGGCAGAAAAAAAATCACTTGTATGGACAACCAAAATTGTATGGATGACAAATAGAAATCAATGATTTTCAGATGTCGGTCTGTCCGCCTCTTCTGATTCTGACTCTGAGGACTCATAAATACTGTCCGGAGCAGCCCCGCTCTTTGCCAAGCTCTCTTGATCTGTACCAAGTCAGGGAGATGTCAAACATGATCTGATCAGCCATGCCTGCACGCCTCGTCTTGACAAACGGTCCAGACAGTTAAATAAGCTGCTTTTCTAAAAGTAATGGATGTTTCTTTTATACTCGGGGTTGAAACTCTCCGCTTTATATCAAAAGTGCATTTTCACTTTTTCAAGCCAACTTTCCAAAATGATTTGCGTACATTCCCACAGTGTCGAGTATTATTTAACATCGCAGGAGATCCCATGAGTCTGCTACATTAATGCGTAAAGCAGGTCTTCTCAGAGCGTCTGTCCTGCGTCACCCGAGGAACCAGCCGGTTACTTGAGCGACTTCAAAGTGGACCAGGATTCCAGTGCGACAGAGATATGATGAATGATGTTTCATTTTCCTACCAGGGCTTCATGAATATATCGCCACCAATTATAATTTCATCTCTCGATCAGGGAAGCTAACCAACCTTATTATAGTGGCTACAGTGGTGAGAATAAAGGTGCACACCGCTAATAAATCTCAAAGCTGAAGAGTAAGCAGAAATGAAAGTGTGCTGGAATGTTGTTGAAGATGAAAGTAATGTTGGGCACGCTTCATTTACTCCATTTCTGGGTTTTTTTTCACAGCTGTAAAGGTGATTTCTTTAATAACATTTTAAAATAATAAAAAAAAAAAAAAAACAGACTTTCCACAGTATCCGAAAGAATTAATGGTCACCGCTACTTGTTGCAGCTCTGTGAGTTTAATCACCGACAGTTTTCATCACTTTTCATTTTACGCTTCCAGCACAAGGCTCCAGCTAGTCCCACGCTTTATTGAGTTTTGTTGGCGAGCCGGCCCAGAGTTTCTTTCAGCCAGTCGGCAAGATTAATGTCCCCCTTTTACTTTCAGGATAAATAATGACTTCCAGAAGTGAGCTTTATGCCAGAAAGGTGGAGACGATGTGTACCAACCCCCCCCTGACTGAAGACAGACTCTTACCACCCAGAGAATGATTATCTCTGCTGATTTCTCTGTATCAGATGTCTGAAGAATAACCTCACACGTCCTCAGGGTGTAAAGCTCTGTGTTGTGTTTATTGATCCAGCAGCTGTCTCTGTCTACAGGAAATGATAAATCCTGTGTTCCCATCTACCTGCCACTTTTTTCAGACATTGTCCTCCTCTAAAGGAAGAAAGATTCCACTTCAACGTGATAACATTTGATCCTACTGTAAGCCTGTTGTTTCATGTTTAGCAGCTTGACTCTTGTGTATCTGAATTAGGACTATCATCATCATAAGTCCAGTTCATAAATAAATGTAAGGAAGATATCATCCTGTAAAGCGATTATATTATAACGCAAGATTCAGCAATTCTACAAATACTGTCCCAGAAAAAGATTACTTTGAGTTTTTACATTTAGTATTTTTTTGTTAGTCTTGTAAAAGTTCATGTTGTTTGTAATGAAACTTCAAAAACTGGCATGAAATTAAAATAAAGTTGAGATGAAGACAAACTGTGTGACCGTGGTTGGATCTGTGTTTGAGCGAGGTAACTATTGATTAAGTCTGAAACGTATCTGCTGTACCAGCTATCACCACAGGTGTCGCCACTGAGAACAAATGAACTAACGCTCTTTTACTCATTTATTCCACAGGTTTTGATTGTTCTGCAAAGACTTCTTCAACCAATTCAATTCAAATCTTTACGTATTCTGGAAAGGACATTGACACAATTTCAATGCCGTCAAGATTACAAGCACATTAAAACAAGCGAAAACAGTGTACTGGGGTGGGGGTTATAGTAATTACTTTGCATAGCTGAGATGCATTTTTAACCAAAGAATTGTCTGAGCACAATACTTTATTGTCCCCTTGGGGTGATTAGTCTTGGACTCAAAGTGCTGCCAAACATTCAGCTGCTTCCACCAGACTCAATAAAAAAAACACCCACATGTAAACAGAAAGGCCAATACCAATGCAAAACAACACAACATACAGTACAGTATATTGCACATTGCCCGCATGGCACAGGATTGCACAACCCGCACAACCTTAGAAAATATAAGTCATAATTGTGATTAACATGGGAACAAAAGAGTTTTATAAAGCGGTTCATTTTACATCAGGGGACTCAGAGTGGAAGATCAGATACAGGTCAGACAACACTCTGTGCCTGTCTGAGAACAGACTGTTCATATATTGACTGTAGGGAGATGTTTTCAGTCCTCCCCATCACCTTCAGACGAGCCCGCTTAGATTTGAACCTTGATAGTTGAGTAGCCATGGAGCATGTGATAGACCTGCAAAGGTTATGGTTCGATAGAGTAGGTGACATTTGTTGCATATTCTTTTTTTCTCTCTTCTCTTTTCTGTCTACATCTTCCCCTCAAACCTGTCGAATGAAGTTGATAAAAGCCATAAAATTATATCTTAGAAGAAGAGCAAGAGTCTGAAATCAAACATGTTTTTCTATTTGTTTTCCAGGTGAACAGGCTCTACTACACGTATGACTCCATGTGCTACACATTTATGATGTGACGCCCATGGCTGTATCGATACGCAGCACTGATCTTCTTCCCTGCTGCGCGCTGGACGGACTGCAGACTGCAGACCTGTGCATTCACGCCGCTTTGGATTCTATCAAAACTCTTTGTGCTTGACGGGATGGTAATGTAATCCATGTCCACACTGGCATTTCACAATCGGCAGAGAGACATTAAATCCAGCTTCGGGGTTTGACTGAATTATCCAATTGCCTGGGAATTGACCATGTGAGCTCATTAGTAACATTAAACTCCACTGGCCTGTGTGTAGGTAGGCCTGCTGGTCTGTACTTCTATCTCACAGTCTTTACTCCTAAATCATGACAATCCCTCAGTAAAGTTGACACCAGGGAAAATGACTCGATTCTAGGTGATAGTCTTTGTCGACGATGTGGTAATCGCGTAGCAGCGATGGCTGTTGCCACCCCCCCAGAGATGGATCAACCTCTCCTCCAGCTCCAGAAAGTGGACTCCAGTCGACTCGGGAGTTGTGTCCTCTCTCCGATCCTCACCTCCCCCTCAGAAAAAAGCCAGCCCATCTGCATCCCCTCTCCGTACAACGACCTCAGCCACGACTTCGGCGCAATACCGTTCTACAGTCCAACCATCTTCAGCTATGGTGCTCCGGGAATATCAGACTGTCCGTCCGTCCGGCAGTCGCTGAGCCCTTCATTATTCTGGTCCAGCCACGGCCATGTCAGGCCCCCCGTACCTCTCCACCACTCCCAGGCACGTTCTCAGCCTGTTCAGCCGATACAGTCTCCGTCCAAATGGGTGGAGCTGTCGCAGCTGGACGCCGTCTTATCAACCAGGTAGGATGATGCATCACTATCACTTTCACGTCTACTAACCTGGAGTCGCTGCACTTTTTTTGATTTGTCAAAATAGAACCTGTAGCTGCTTAATCAAACCTGATACGCGTGCTAAAACAGTATTTCTGGTTCCTTTCTTTGGATGAAATGACGAGTGTGGTTTTTCTCTTAGTCAGAGTGTGAGGAGGCGTTCTCAGGAGAGCGAGGAGGAGGTGGTGTCGTCCGGTGGGAAGGGGGACCTCCACTACTGTGCTGTGTGTCACGACTACGCCTCAGGGTACCACTACGGCGTCTGGTCGTGTGAGGGGTGTAAGGCCTTCTTCAAGAGGAGCATCCAAAGTGAGACCCAAAAACGTACCGTATCCCTTCATGTATGACCAACACAATCACAAGGTTCTTAGTTTGGTGTGGCTCTTAATGCTCTTTGTTTTTGGAGGGGGGGGAAATGTCATTGAGGGTCATTTCAGAACCTTAGAGAGATGTTGCTTTTTATCCCAATGAGTCATTTAGTGTTTTAGAGTTTTTCGAAAACACTATTTCTAAGAAATAGCCTCCTTAATCCAGGATGAAGCCTTGAGTCTCAAGATGGCGTTGTCAGTCTGTAACTTTAATTTTGGGTCTGCCAATAAAGGGCAGTCTTTGGCTTAGGGTTAGGGTTAAGTTGGTTGTCTCTCAATCGGAAGGTCGGGGGTTTGATCCCCAGCTCCTGCAGCCAAATGTCCAATGTGTCCTTGGTCAAGACACCTCCCCCCACCCCCTTGCTCCCTATCCCTCTTCCTGCATTTTATCCCATCTCTCCCCCATCCCTTTCCAACCCTGGCGCAGTCTAGGCCTGTGAAGGCTGTTTCATCATGAGCCGGGGATCCGAACGAAGATTTCTGCCTTTTAATAAGACAGTTTTTTCTTACCACTGTAACTTTTGTTGCTTTGCTAAAGTGCTCATGATGGATAGGCCGGATCTTTGTAATATAGCAATAAGTAAGGTATTTTACCTGCGCTTTTGTAATGTTAAAAGACAAAGAGTAAGGTCTTTTACCTGCGCTTTTGTAGTGTTAAAAGACAAAGAGTAAGGTCTTTTACCTGCTTCTTGTGTCTTGAGATAACACTTATGAGTTGACGCTATACAAATAAAAATTGATTGATTGACTGATTGACACTTAACCGCAAATTGCTCCCGCTGCTTCGTCGACATCATGTGAATGTGTATGAAAGTGTATTGAATCAGATAAAGTCAGAACACTTTCTCTGTAATGAAAGTCTCTGTCCACGTTGTGTACCCAAAGAAGTGTACGGTGCTTGAGCACGTATTGGAGCACTCACTAGTCAAACCAACTGGACTCTAGAGGTGAAGTGTGCTTAGGCATGGTACGGATTTCCTAGTGTGAATGCGCCCTTAAAGGAGAAAAAAAACAGCCTGAGCTAAGCTGATGGATGGTGAACATGATGGGTATTAAACCTGTTACATGTCGGTCAATTAATCACTGTGACATCACAGAGCTGCTTGATAGGCTCTGATATGTTTCATCAGACCTCTGTGGGGAGTTGATCCCTTTTTAACACACCATATCGCAACTTGTTATCTATATTTATGAGCTCGTAAATAGCTCACAAATCAAGAACAAAATTTACGAGCGTTGGTGTTTTGCCTGCCATGTTACTGTAGCTGAATCTCACTGTTTGAACTGCAGTTTCCACACTCGCTGACTCAGCCTTCCGTTTTACGACCATGTCCACGGTTCATAAATGGGCTTGAAATTATCCCAAAAGAAAAAAAAAACAAAACAGTACAAGCCTTTCATCAAGGCTCATTTTGCAGTGAAGCAGTTTTATGAGGCCCTCAACGCGGCACTTAAGCCTTTTCTTTATTTCAATACTTCTGATTATCCTTCCCCGTAGTTGTGACTTAACCTTCTCGCTCTTCTCTTCATTTCAGGACACAACGACTACATCTGCCCCGCAACCAATCAATGCACTATAGACAAAAACCGCCGCAAGAGCTGCCAGGCGTGTCGCCTTCGCAAGTGTCATGAAGTCGGCATGACCAAGTGTGGTTAGTGTCTTTCTATTCTCTCATTTGTGTTAGTTTTGTTTCCCTAAGAGCTGCTAGTTTGTATTTTTATTTCTTAGCGAACATGAAGCTGTAACAGGATGACAGATCTTTTTCTCTTTCTAACCAACATGCTCTTATTATTTTTTTCTGAGGTCGTCTGTAATATTACATTTAAGGAGATCATAAGTTATCTGTGAATGTGTTAATTCAACAATGTTTCCCTAACTGTTCACATCCAGAGTGTGTGATCCTGCTGAGGGAATCCAGCCAGGATCGGTTGTTGTCTTTCAGCTGTTTGAGATTTCTAGTGTCCCCTCTGTATTCATTTATTAAAAGTATTGAAACTAAAGGAACTCTAGTTGTCATAACTAAATGTAGATGTCCTGCCAGCAACTGTTGTGTTTGATTCACTGTTACAGCCTTCACAGTGTCAGTTTTAGCCTCTGAAAGCCAATATTTTTTTTGTTTTTGAGAAAAAACAAAACTTTACACTGACTGCCAACACCCTCCCCAATAAACGCCTGAGAGAGTTAGCAGCTATATTCTCTACAAATCACATTTAGAACGATTTTTCCCTAAAGGTCCGAACTGAATCCAAACTTAAAAGGAGATTAAAGATTCTAATAAAAATGCTTCATGTCATTAAAAGGCTGGAGTTTGAAAGGCATGATGGTTTTCAATATTTCAATCTGGAGGGACTTAAGTAAGTGAGTTTACAATTATACCGCTAATAGCCTAGCGGTTATGACGCGTGCACTATGTACAGAGGCTTTAGTCCTCAACGCAGAGGCCGTGGGTTCGAGTCCGGCCTCGGCCCTTTGCTGCATGTCATCCCCCGCTCTCTACTCCAACATTTAGTGTCTCTCCCCAGCTGTCCCATCTCAAAAAGGCAAAATGACCCAAAAAATATCTTTAAAAAAAACATCTTAAAAAAAACATCTTAAAAAAATAACAAGTTGTCCTCAGAAGAATATCAGAAGTAGAATTTATAACCTACAGTGTAAAAGTCTGCAGCTTACTTTATTCTTCATTTTCTGTTACAGGTATTCGTAAGGAGCGTGTGAACTTCAGGACGCCTCAGACGAGGCGCGTGACCCGCCCGCCGCCACAGAGCAGAGCCAATGGACCGGCTCTGTCGACCGGATCAGCGGCAGCTTTGTGGAGCGCGCCCAACCCTTCTGCACTGACCCCAGAGCAGCTGATAGAGCGGATAATGGAGGCGGAGCCGCCGGAGATCTACCTCATGAAGGACGTGAAGAGGCCGCTGAACGAGGCAAACATCATGATGTCGCTCACCAACCTGGCTGACAAAGAGCTGGTTCACATGATCAGCTGGGCCAAGAAAATTCCAGGTGTGTGTCGAACACTTAAAAAAAAAAAAGTTATTTCAGTCTTTTGGAAGTAATAAAGCGCTTTAAACCAAAAGCGAGAGCCACATGTTGTTTAGCCCTTTGTCACAATTTTTATTTGTGCTAATTGTCTTTTTGTTGTTCTACATTTAACTCTGTATAACTAGTTCATTTTCACAACACAAACTTCTAACACTCAACCAGTCATTTGATCTTGTCTCAACTTTTTAGTCTTGAACCGAATCAATAAAAAGTTTGGTTTGTTTTGAAGGCAAGAGCTGAGGGTGAGTTAGCTTAGTCTGAGAGCACCATGGCAACAGCAGGCAGACATGTTTGATGCGTCTACCCTTTACTTTCACTAAATATATGAACGAGAGAAACGTCAGCAGGAATTAGCTGAGTACCTCCAGCTGGCTAGGAGGGAATACTTGTTGTGATTTAGCGTGCTAGCTAGCTTGTCTTTGTTATTGTTGCTGAGTGTGAGTTCATGTGAGACAGAGAGAGAGTTTTTAAAGGTGTAGTCAAACTTAAACTTAGATCTGACTTTGACTGCCATCTGTGGGAAACTTTATTAACAATTGTCAACGCTCGGTCCTTATTTAACACATACAGTGTGAGCTCATAAACTATACGCGTTGGTTATGAGTTGTAAACGATTTACTCGATCAGTGTGAGATGACAGTCCACCTAGACTGTATACAATCACACAGCGTATGCTCTATTTCTGTAATTAACACACAAACATGAGAGTGGAACCAATGTTTTAATTTAACTCTTGGCAAAAAATCAGTGCCGGCTTTTCATCTCAGGACTGATAATTGTGTAAATATCACAGGCTGTGACGATTTGTCATTTTTAAAAGGTAAGTTAGACAATTTGCAATTTTAGCCACTCGCTTTTGAAGACAATACAGCAATCTTCAAGTATCTGTTGTTCTTCCACTGCTTATTTGTTTTAGTGTTAGACACCGAGGAGCTTTAAAAAAAAATTCATCACTCCTGATTGAGAAAGTGGGTAACTCAGTGGAGAATTGAAGGTACAGCTTTTGAAGGATTGAAAACACAAAGAGAAATCTTTGGCTATTAAAATAACACATTTCTTCTTTTTTTAATCAAATAATAAAAACTGCATCAAGACACAATGGCTGTAATGACATGACACACAGTATCATACTGTGTGTCATGTCATTACAGCACATACTGTCAGTATCTGGATTATTTTTAAACCTCTTGTCTTCTTGCACAGCCTTGCAGAAAAGCGCAGAGTTAATGACTCATCCTGGCCAAACAAAGTGATTGTCTGTGCTTTATTTAGCATGTGAGCGCAGTCCTGCAAAACTCAGTAGACATGACACACAGTATCATACTGTGTGTCATGTCATTACAGCACATACTGTCAGTATCTGGATTATTTTTAAACCTCTTGTCTTCTTGCACAGCCTTGCAGAAAAGCGCAGAGTTAATGACTCATCCTGGCCAAACAAAGTGATTGTCTGTGCTTTATTTAGCATGTGAGCGCAGTCCTGCAAAACTCAGTGGCAGAATGTCTAGAAGTTGAAGTGGACAATGAGCTGTGACAAAACTTTTTATCACTTTGTCTCTGTTAATTATACATGCACCACTTCTTTGCTAAAAAAAAAAATAAAGAAATCTACGTTTTTGAAATGAGTTTGAGCTTTAGACCGCAACACAGATTGTGACACAGAAACCTTTTACCTCAACCTAAAGGGACATGTTTGTGTGTCCTCGGTCAGGTGGAGTCCCTCGTAGCCCGGCTGCAATCAGATAACGGCACAGAGTGTACCTCCCTGTTACAGAGTGTACCTCCCTGTTACAGAGTGTGCGCCTTCAAACAAATCGCTTCTCTGACCTCATCTGGAGCCTCGTAAAAGACATCGAGGCGAAAAAAACTAATTAAAACTGGAATCATAATTATCATACATAGCATTTTATTTCTTATATCTTGAAATTGGTGTTTTAGTCTACACATTTTTTACAAGAAATCTTGATTTCAACTGCTCAAAATACTAAACAAAATTAGAAAATCATTATTTTAATCAAAATCATCAGCTTTTTATAATTCAACAATTAATTTAAGCACCAGTTTGAACAATTAGACATTTCGACTTTTATACTCTGTGTCACATTCTGTGCTCTGATTAAGCTTCCTCTCTTAGCTTCCTGCTTTTAATCACCACTTTAGTGAAATAACTGAATGCACACTGATCCACACAGTGTGAGTCAGCCGATAATGATTTCATGGTTATGTTTCTCCAAATTATTTCTGCCTTTGTAAAGCTGTTGGTCTGCTTGTGCTGTGTTCACTCTGCAGCCTAATGGCCTTTTTAGTGGGAGTTTCATTAAAGACTGAACCAAACGTATCACAGATAAATCTCCAGCATTCCCCACACCTCCAACAGATGCACTCGTTGACTTGATCCTCTCTTTTCTTCAGGGTTTGTGGAAATCAGTCTCCAGGACCAGGTGCACCTGTTGGAGTGCTGCTGGTTGGAGGTGCTGATGGTGGGACTGATGTGGAGGTCCGTGGACCACCCAGGGAAACTTATCTTCTCCCCCGACCTCAGCCTGAGCAGGTACTGCTGACAAAATGTCACATCAGGAACAATCTAACAAACCTCATTAAAGAGACAGGTGCTGGTGGTGCTAATAAAGGAATGAGGGCTAACCCAGTTAAAAGACCTTACTCATTTCTATATTACAAAGACCTAACATTAATCTTTCATGAGCACTCAGTAACATTTATCAAAGTTCCAGTGGCAGCAGAAAACTTCCTTTTAACAGGCAGAAATCTTGGGCACATCCCGACTCATGGTGAACAGCCGTCTGCTGAAACTGCGCGGGGCTTGAGAAATGGGATAGGGGGAGATGCAGGATGAAGAATGGGGGAGGGGTCCATAGCAGCAGGCCGTCCCTGCCAACGATCCAGAAGAACCTACGAGACGAGAGACAAGAGAGCTCCTAGGAAAATACATAGACGTTTACATTTTTTTTTTTTTAAATGAGCTGTTAAAAGGTTTTTTTTTTTTTCTGATGTTTTACTATTTTAGCCACAGGTTGCATCAAATCAACCAGGATAGTAATCTTTTTGGATACAACTTTAACTGATCTTATGTTTGGTAATGTTAATGTAAAACAAAGAATATAGGCTGGTTTTTCTTTGGACAATTGACCAATCTTTCTTTGATCTTTTTTTTTTTTTTTTTATAAATGAATTGCTCTGGCAGAATTTTGTATTTCTCCAACTCACTTTAAGCAGTGTGTTTTTCATCCAACAGAGACAGACAGGTTCATGGTATCTGCTCCTTCCATCTGTCAGCTCATGATCCGGACAATAAAAAAGCCGCTCTGCAGCTCACCATGTGTCCACATTTGGTTACAAAGATAGACCTGCTGGTATTTAGCAGTCATCAGAAGCTGGAACAAAGTGTTCCCAGCTCACAGAATGTGCATCTGCTTTGTGCAATTCAACATTTCCTTTGTGGTGTCCCTTATGATGTTATCATGTGTTGAAGTCTGGGCAGAGCGTGCTGCAGAGCATGCTGCAGAGTCCTGGGAAGATGACAAAAAAAAAACTGTCAGAGAAGGTGTTCACTTCATTTTCCTACAGCAAAGGTGACACACTGTACACATACTGCTTCACAAGGGAATTTCTGACATTCTTAAAGGCAGAATGAGTTGGATTTGTAAGTAGTGGTTTGTAAATATGTACCGTAAAGGGCCCTCCTTTTCACCTCCAAGACGTTAAAAACTCTCTCTTGGAGGCTGTTAGGTGGGGGTTGTTTCTGTTTGTATAAATCCAATGAAGAAATCGTGAAACAGACTGGAGATTATAACACCGTTTAATCGGCCGAGGTCAGACAACTTCATCAAACAAGCATGCGTCCAAATCACTTGACTGACAAAGTGCTGACAGTTTTCACAGTGCTGCTTATATTCTGTCAAAAAGGTGCAACCCACAAATTCCTTTCCATTTGGGTACATCACCATAAAACAATAAAGATGACATGACACTGATTTGTATACGTATCAGCTGTAGACTCTCTGTCTAGCAAACAGTTGCTGACAACATATAGTTGGCTCCTCTCCAAACATAGATCTGCTACTACTTAGGTGCTTCACCCATATAAGGTAACAGCTTCAGACACCTAAAGGTAGGAGTGTTAACACGTGGTAGACAGACTTGAATAATACATTTCACGAAGTTACCAAGATTAATGAATTTCATGAAAATTCGTCCTAACAGAGGCATTCTGCAAACAGCTCTGATTTCATGTCTCCTCTTCTTAGGACTTCCGTTCTCCTGCCCACACACACACACACACAAACATCCAGTACACAATACAAAGAAACACACACTTTGAGTCGGCTAATGGAGTGATGATTGACAGGGTTTCTTTTTCTGTGCACCGTTTTTTTGGAGAATCGTGCGCAGTTTGTCTCGAGGTAGAAGTCGGAAATATCAGCAAATTGTATAAAACATAAAAGGACGTCCTCTGTCTGAGTTACATCACGTTATTGGTTCATTATTGCATTATACAGATCATAGCCATAGTGGCAGTTAGATTATGATGCACTTACACATGCAATTCACTTACTTAAATCCACAGGAATCTTCTGCTGTGTGATAAACTGCTCGTTGTGTCTATGTGTTTGTGTGTCAGAGAGGAGGGGAGCTGTGTGCAGGGCTTCTCTGAGATCTTTGACATGCTGGTCGCCGCCACGTCCAGAGTGAGAGAGTTGAAGCTGCAGAGGGAGGAGTACGTCTGTCTCAAGGCCATGATCCTCCTCAACTCCAGTGAGTCTACATGCTTGGCTGTGTGTGTGTGTGTGTGTGTGTGTGTGTGTAGAGTGTGAAGCAGCTGTATTAGCAGTGCAAACCCTAATGGGAACATGTTGTGTTTGGTGTGAGTCTGTGAATGAGTCACAGGCAGTACCTGTGTGAAGACGGACAGAGCCAGACTAATCTTTCTGTTTGCCAAAATGTTCTTTCCTTTGGATCTTTTGGATCTTGACTCTTGATCCCTTAGAGTTTTTTATATAACATTTTAACACTGTTTATCTGTGCACAATAATTACTGCAATTATACATGTGTCCCAGTTCAGTTTCAATAAATGATCCCCCCTGTTTAAAGGACTGCAGGATGGATGAACTCTGCAACACACTGGCAGCTTATCCTCTTCAGTTACTCTCTCTGTTTAACCTTTCCCCTTCTACAAATGACGCTCCTGACTCCCCCACACAGTCTCCTCTGGCAACAACAACAACAACAAGTTATCTGTTTTGGCTTTCTGCCTGCTGCACAAACTAGAAGGAGGCTGCAGTATAAATGGTAGTTAAACTCAATCTACATGAACAAAATGCTTCCATTTTCATTCTAAAAGAAACTAATAGGATCACAGGTTGTCAAACATGAACATATTCAAGTACGCTTTCCTTGAATTACTCATTAAAATGCGTGACCTAACACGAGACATACAGTAGCTGCTGATCTGAGATGTGAGTCAGATTTGTGTTTAATTTGGATCGTGTCGATGCGATCATTAATGTTCTAAACCAGACTGTTTGTCGGGTCACTCTCATTAAATTCTCTGACTCATTTTGACTCCAGTCTGAACGATCAAATGTAATGGTGGCTGGATTCCATTTAGCTGCTTCACTTTCGGGGGTTGTGAACGCTCTCATGTCCCATCGATGAAAGCCTTTGTGTTAACATTATCCTTTAGTATTAGGGACAGTGTATCAAGTTGTATTCCTGGACAATAATCACAAACTGTGCTTGCCAGAGATGGAAGGCAAAGCGAGAAACTTTTCTCTAGTCTTTTTTTGAAGTCAGAAGTTAGCACAACTACTTATGGCTAAACATGACATTAAGACCAGTGAGAACAGAAGTGGAAACTGTAAAATACCACGATTAAGACATAGAAAGGACAAAACTCCACATCTAGAACAAGACAGTAAAAAAAAAAACCCATCAAATGTTGGATAATGGTCAAAGTGAAAGAAACCTAATTGATCTTTTATTTATTTCATGTTTATGAACTAGTATGTTAACTGTTGCTACAGCATTTATAGCTTAAGCTCATTTGCAATGCCCGTCCCTAGATATGTGGTGTTTTATACATGCACAAAGCTTACATGCTCTGGACACTGTGTATCACAGAGCTCTGAGGTTCATCACTCATTTGAAATCCCTCACTCATCACTGTTTGTTATATGAACGTGTTGGATGGACTTCTCTTAACCTACGGTGTACTTTAATCTACAAGTCTATTTTAGGTCCGCTTCCTTCGTACCTTCTGTCCTCCATCAGTCAGAAGAGTACAGGGACTTATAATCTTCGATCTCAGGACCTTTTTTCTTTTTTTACTGTCTGTTCCAAAAGTCAGAACTGACCTGGGGAAAAAGGTCTTTAAGTTTGCTGTTCTCTTTACTTGGAACGAATCACAAAAAGAGCTGAAACTTTATGAACTTCTCTAATTGGATGCTTTTAAGAGGAAGTTAAATGACTTGGAAGCTGATTCATCTGGCTGTAGATGTTCTTCCTGATGTGTTTATGGATGATTTTTGACAAACACTTGCTGTTCTGATTTTGTTATTTGTGTCTTTTAATGTCTAATGTATTTTGTATTTGAAAGGTTGGCCGCTCGTCGTCCGTGTGAAACCCTGTTAATGTTTTGCTGCCTGTCTTGGCCTCTTGAAAAAGAGATTTTTAATCTAAATGAGTTTCTTTCCTGGTTAAATAGAGGTTAAATAAAAAAAAAAGATAGGCCTTTAAAATACATCAAACTCAACTACACAAAGATACACAAAGAACAGTACCGAACTAGCACAACAAAACACAATACAGGATTCAATATATTATACGATAAAAAAGTCAAACAGGGAAAAACAAGATCATACATGAGCACTACACTGAGTCTTGCTTTAACTAGCTCTTATTCCTCAAGACAGAGCTGGTCTATATATAGCCGTCTTTCTGACATCACTTACAGTAACAGATGGATTAACGCCGGGTCTTTGTAATAAAGCTATGAGTAAGGTCTTCTACCTGCTTTTTGTAAAGTATCTCGTGATAACATTTCCTATGAATTGGCGCTACACCAAAAAGGATTGATTGATTGAAACCCAACATTAATCGACCAATGAGCAAGGAAAAATGTATTTTTGACAGAACCGTTGAGCCAAACCAGAGTTACAGGTGGATTGCCGTCTGCCTCAACCAGCGTGAGATCTGCAGTGTGGCTTCTTTAACGCCTCTCTGTGTCTGTGTGTCACCAGACATGTGCCTCGGCTCTTCAGACACCAGCGAGGAGCTGCAGAGTCGCTCGAAGCTAATGCGTCTTTTGGACACTGTGACGGACGCTCTGGTGTGGGCCATCGCCAAAACTGGCCTCACTTTCCGCCAACAGTACACCCGCCTCGCCCACCTGCTCATGCTCCTGTCACACATCCGCCATGTCAGGTAAAAAAGAAAGACCGCATGACGACACACTGCCAGGTTACATTTCTGTGTGTTAGGCCCCTGGTCCCTTTCTTGGCTTATACACTGATTTTGTTCACCATCGACTTATTAAAATGGTCATTTCATTTTCACCCAGGTTAGATTGAGCTGCTACTGGTATAATAATGAATATCTTAAGGTTGAACTATGTTAACAAAAAACACATTTTAAACATAATTATAGATCATAGCTCATGTTAACCTCAACTGCTTCCTTTGTAACATTACTGTTAGCTTGAACACCTTTCCAAATGAATCATACAAAACTATTAATAGTAATATTTAGCTAGCAGCCACTTTCTAGCTAAAGGTAATAGTTGCTAGGAAGCATCTTTAAGCTAATATTAGCTGTGTTAGGTAACAGGTCATGAAATCTGTGTGTATTACAAGTTAAAACATTGTTATATTTTAGCCTTTAACAGAAAACAGCTAATTTTTAAATTCAACCGCTTACTCTCTCAAATTGATGTTAGCTTGAATTTAGCACCTTTCCCATGTCCCAAACAGCACTTCAACCACTCTTCAACCAAGACTTTCTCTAGACAATATTAGCATGCAGCCTTTTTCTAGCTAACCATGATATAAGCTGGGAAAAGGCTGGAAGCATTAGCTGTCGTCTGATACTAGCTTAAGGGTTATTAAAGGTGTGCTTCAACTTCGAAAGTGGCCCAAGTTAACTCTGAATGTTTTCCCACTGTCACTTTTTTCAGTTGTGATTCAATCAGGAAAAGATGAATGATTATGCTTCTCAATATAAATTTAAAATAAAAAAATAAATGGATACTTAAGCTTCAGACCATGAGCGTCACTTTTAAAGGAAAAAGGGTCACGGTGTGAAATGTTGAATTATCAAACATTTACAGCTCATCTTTAAATATGAAACATTTTTATTATCTAAAACAAATACATGCTCACTACTGTGCTGAACCCAGCTGTTGTGATTACTCTTTTATCCTTTCTTTTTTTCATTTTCTTACGCAGCAACAAAGGCATGGACCACCTCCACTGCATGAAAATGAAGAACATGGTGCCTTTGTACGACCTGTTGCTGGAGATGTTGGATGCTCACATCATGCACAGCTCCCGTCTCCCTCCCCGCCCCCCCCAGCAGGACTCCGGGTGCCCGAACGAGGCTCCCGCTCGGCCATACAGCCCCGGTCGCGGGGCCTCGAACACCTGGACCCCCAGCAGCACGGCGGCTGCAGGAGACGGCAAACAGCAGTAGTCCAGTGAAGTGAAATTTTAAAACGCTTTTACACATTTCACAAGACTGATGAGACTTTTTTACTGGAACATTCTGCAGAGCACAAATGTCTGTGAATTTAAAGCTTTGATACTCTTGTGCACTAACTCTGATGAACTTTTTGAATCAGATTGACCAAACCTGCCATATCCATTGCCTTACCACAACATACGGAAAGAAGACGATAAGCATCCTTATTTGTCCAGTAGCACCAGCACTTGCTCAAATGTTTGTGTTCTATGTTGCTGCCATAATTGTCGTGGGCTGAGCTGCTTATTTCACGTCATTACTACATCAGTAACGTCTTTTCTAACCAGACTCACTGCTGTCACAATTTTCTGATTACACATACCTGGTGTTCACCTGGAGGTCTGACTGAGAATGCAACTTATGAGAAGATAATTTGGCTATAAAAACATAGGTAACCCTTTGTTTTAACGTGCATATCCATGAACCTCAGCTAAATGATGACACACATACGGAGAGATTTTATTATACTGGTTCATTGTGTGCATTACCTTCTGTTACTGTAATTACAGGATTTTGTAACCACGTGACATATTACCTTAATGTGGTAAAAGATTAAATAAAAGAGAAAATATGAAAATGTTTTTTTCCATAACCGTAGAAATGATCCAGGGTTGAAATCGCAGACAAAAATATGGTATTATTTTGTCTTAAAGGTATAGTCCTACATTTTGTTTTTTCTACAATTCTACAATTCACTTAGCAGACGCTTTTATCCAAAGCGATGTTATCAAGCTCGTAAAATTAATTTCTTGAGGAGAATTCCTCCACACACATCTTCATACTAGCCATGAAGATACAACCAGTTGATAGCTTGCTTAGTTTAATAACTACACAATACTAAATTGTTATATGATATAATTATACCTTAAAGGTATAGTCCCACATTTTAGTAATCATCCATGCCAAGCGTTTAATAAAAGATTCCCTTCTCTCACATCTCTATTCTAAATTCAAAGCTACAGTCAGCAGCTAGGCATGATATCAAGACACTGCTCATTAAGAATACGACACAGCAGACCTCCTGGTGACCACTAGAGGGCGCTGTACGGCTTACTCCTGATTACTTTGTTGTGTACTGTACAGTTCAGGCGTTATTGTCATACCTGTGAAGAATCAAAACCACTATTTAAGTGTTGCTTAAAGAAAAAAGGAAACTATTTTTGTATTTGAGAACTTGCTACCTACCGCTGCTTTTGCGTGCACAGTTGTGGTGCAGATCTGACAATCAGGATCACAGCAAGAACTATGAATACTTTCCCTCCATGAAATCCTGCACTGGTTTCGCCCCGTCTGCTTTTTTGCTTCACTTCTAGCACACACTCTTATCAGAGGACATGGAGAACAGTTCGATCACTGTGTACTCACTTTGTGCTCCGCGTGCCTGAAGAGTTTCATTATGTATCCGGTGCATTATGAGGACATGTTGCAACACATTATGTCTGGTCTTGGGGTTAAGTTGGTGTTCTAGGCTTACATCTCTAAATCTGGGCCTCAATCGTTCTAGACAATCTCCAAGTCAGGATCTGGTGTCAAGTCAAAATGTTGGAAACTTCTGCTTCTAAAACATAGAACACAGATGTCAGTGTATACGAGCACCTTTATGGAGAACAGGAACAGGCTTTCGTTAAGACGAGTTTGTGCAATCCTGAAGACGTTCGATTGGTTCATCTGCAGCTTTCTCAGCCAGTTATCAAACCCAACCTCCTCTTTGTTCATCCACCTCACATATCATCAGTGTTGAATCATTGGGTCCCTGTTTTTCATGTTTTATGAAGGTGATAATTTGTTCTCGTTGTATTTTCATACATTTACACATGCTCTGTTTGTTATATCATAAAATAAAGCAAACATGTTATACAGATGACCTTCTTCACTTGGACTGAATTACACACAGAAAAATCAGCATCATGTTCTCTGAGTTCATGTGTTTTGTTCATAAATTATTCATGCAGGATAATGTGATCAACTTATGAACAAACGAGAAATTATTGAAAACATTTAGTCAGCAATTCTAATTCTAATAGTATAACTATTAGAGCATATCAAGTGACTATCAGTATCGGACACTTTTGTTGCAGATATGTGTAGATATTACTAAATTTATTTTCCAGTTATAGCATTTCATTTGAGTTTCATTGTATAACACTAGCAGTTCTCTATCACCAGCAGAGGGCGCTATATGGATTACAACAACTATTATCACTCTCCAGGTTGACAAACAGTGATGCAAGCACATGAGCAGTTACTTTCAAGTTGAGTGACCATCATATCTTCGTTATGTATCTTTTCTTTAAGTGTTTGATAACTGCATTTCAGGGATCAACACAATAAATGTGTTTATCTATATTTATATCTACAGATCGACGATAGATCTAAGAAAGATATCGTCCGACATATCGCTATCTGATTTATTTCCCTGATTAATATCGATATAATTATCGGCCCCAAAAAAAATCCCATATCGGTCTGTCCCAAATAATTATCAGATGATAAAAAATGTAGTATTTATAAGATATAAAATAGACATATTTTAAGCATTGAAATGTTTTGCTCAGCCTTATTTTTTCAGGGAGGCTTTTAGTCTTAATTTCTAACTTATGAACCTACTGTACTAATCCATTTCCCTTGTTAGTAGAGATGTTGAAGGACTGCCCACCATTATGTGCAAGCCTGCAAGAACTAGGAACAGGTATACTATTCTTTGTTTGCTCCTACTTCAAGCACAGCTGTTTGTCCATTCAGCTCTGGAAGCGGGAGCTCTCTCTCTCTCTCTGATTCCTGTCTCTCTGGGTTAGAAGGCTTTATAGTCAAGCACAGAGTATTTATAAGTTCATCACCAGTTTTGTCGACATGAAGAAAACACTCGGAGTAAAAAAGAGTTAAGACAATCAGTGTTTACTACCAGTCAATCAGGAGCATAAATCCACCGTTGGATGTCATAAATAAACATTATATTATTACAATCTGTACAGACACATCATCCCTCTATATCTACAGACAGTGTTCAACAGTGCAGTGGAGGTGTGAAGATGTCTGCTCACAATCTATTCAAGACAAATAGCATCTAAAAAAATATACCATTTTGTGTACAAAACTGCAAAACAAAACAAAAACAGCTTTGTTATAACCCTAAACCTTTGTACTGTTGGCTGTATAAAAAAATAACATTCAAATTGAACCAGTGTCTTCTGCTGAAAAAATAAACATTTTCTTCTTCGATTACAATCCAAAACAAAAAAAATAAAGCGTGCTCTGTTTTTTTTTTTTTTTGCAGAGCCAAGATAAACATGATGAAATGTTAAACTACAACAACAAACTTAGACGAGCATGACAGGAGAGGTCTCTGAATACAAACATGGAGACATTTGGATGATCAGCTTCGAGTTTCGCAAAAGAGCAAGGTGGCTTATCTTTCAGTGTTTTTCTTGTGAAGTTGCTTAAATATATTTGCTGCTTTCCCTCCTCAAGTCATCATCTTCTGCATGAATCCACTAAAGCTGTCTTTAATAATAAACTGATTGATCAGACGGCATCAAGATCTTTGAATCATTCAACTAAAATATCTGTTCTTGTGTTCACAAGGCGTCTTTCCTGATTTATAATAAATAAATACTGTCAAATATCAAATCTTTTCAAATAGATAATTAAATACGATTTATGCACTTTGGACTTTTTTTTAAAAGAAGAATCATTTTATAACATCTCATATGTTCGAAAGTTTAGTGTCAAAAAGGTGGCTTGTGTTTCTCAGGGTGAACTCGATATATTCTTTGTTGTTATCATGTGGGCGGGGGGCCGTTGGTGTAGCGTAACATGGGGTAGAAGGAGCGGGCGAAGTTGTTGGTGGTGGTACAGGTGGGGTCGCTCTCTGACATCGGGATCAGACAGGGGAGCAGAAGCAGGAAGAGCAGGAGGAGGTGGAGGGGGAAGGCGGCTCGGAGGACCCGGTAGAAGAAGGAGCGAGGCGGGGACGAGGCTCTCCTCTCTCTGCACCACAAACAGGAACACAGAAACACAGAAAAATCATCGTGTGAAGACTTCAAATCTGAAGAGCCGGCAGAGTCATTACATGAAACACTCTTAATTTGTAGTCAACAGAACTTTTTATTTATTTAACATAGTTTAAAATCATGTTCAGAGGACTTTATTCATAAAATACTGCCTACCTTTGAGCAGAGGAACTTTTCTTTGAATTTGCAGCGTCTTGAGGAGGCTCTGCCGAGACGCTTTGGCCCTGAACCTCTGATGCAGACCCACATTCCTGCATAAAAGACAAAGAGATGTTATTCTGTCTCACAGCACGTAAACAAGTTCAGAAACACAAGTTCTTATTTTATTTTAGTGATGGATAAAGCGCTCGCTGTTTTCAGAAAATATATTCCTTTGAGCTGGACGTCAGAGTCCCCACACTCTCCATCAAAATGGGTATCAGAGATGGCAAACTGTAAGCCACTGCAAAAGAAATTGCACATGACCTTAACAACAAACACGATGTATTTGTAAAGATCGGGCAACCTTTTATTGATTCCATGGAAACGTTACCTCGAGCAACCTGGGACCGTCTGTAACCCGTAAACTGTCTCCCTTTATAGAAAAGTACTAATTTCCAAGTGTCCTTGAATGAATATCTTGGTGAAAACTTTTATGAACTTCTTGTTGGTACATATCTAATGTATTTGTGTTTCAATCCTTGCATATGTGCACCTATCTATACATGTGCAGATGTGTGTGTATATATGTAGAGATGTAAATATAAATTTTTTTCTTGTTTTCTAAACTTCATGTTAGTTATGAATATTGCATAAGTTGTTTTACTGTCTCTATTGTTTTGTTACTTCATAATGAAAGAGCCTAAAATAAACCATTCCCCATAAAAAAATATGTATTCCTTAAAAAGTATGTGGTATGTCTACTGTCTAACTTTTCATTGTTTTTGTCCGATGAGATGTTTATCCAGGACTAAGTGCAACACAAGCAGGCTCTTACCAGACGCTGCTGCAGGGAGCCGAGGTCCTGGCCCACCTGCCTCAGCAGCAGCTTCAGTTTGCTCCTGGTCACATGAAGCTTCTCCTGAGCCTCGTCGCTCTCCTCGGCGTCGTCCTCCGGCTGCAGCTGATACCACAGAGCCTGCAGGGAGGCCTGCTGAGTCTGTCTGCACCGCAGCTCCGTCTGCAGATCCTGAGAAAAAAAAACAAAAGAGAATTAGAGACGATGCATCGCTGCAGTACAGTAAACCATGACTGAACGTGTTTCTCCTCTCACTGTGAGCGTGCTGTGGTGTTGCTGCAGGGCTCTGACCGACGTGTCTGGGTGACTGACGTCCACTGCGTAGCGCCGGCTCTCTGCGTGGGCCAGCCACAGCAGCAGAGAGTGGAGGCTTTCATGGAACTCCTGTATGAAGAAGATAAGATGTTTGATTCTAATCAATAAACATGCATGTGGTGGCTCCGTTTAGTGTTAACTTCGTATTCTGTCATTGCAGGAGGACCTCAAGTAAAACAGTAATGACCTGATAAGAGGTCTCACTTGGTGATTTCTACATCAAAACTCTTTTATAATAGTCAGTTTTTAAATAATCTTCTCACCTGGCATTGCATCAGTGTCTTCCTCAGACCGGTGTCCCACTGCTGCAGACCCGTACACGCTTGACTCCAGTCTCTGTTCATACCAGCCAGTCTCTCCTGAAGTTCTGGAGCTTCCTGAGCTTTCAGGTTCACAGACAGCATGATGGACTTGTAGTGTGTAAACGTCTTCTGCATCTCCTGTATGAAACATACCCATGTCTATCAGCACCAAAAAGAAATACTTACAAGCATATCTTTCCATTTAGACTTATGTCTCACCTTCAGTTCTTTGGCTCTGGCTGCCATCTCCTCCATACCGACCGCTGGCTCAGACTGCTGTAGGCGCTCCAAATGTGGGATCACGCTCTCTAACCAGGAAGTGATGTCATCGAGGTCAGATGTGAACTGTGGGGACTCCTGAGAGTCAGCGTGCAGGTCGCTCCTGGACTGAGCCTTTAGCAGCTCCCAGCGTTCGATCACACCTGAGGGAGGTCAAAAACATTCGCTGATGATTCCTGAAGATTTGTTTTATTATGATTAAGTAGCGCCCATATTTTCTGTCTTAACAAACAGGAATGTGTCCGTCTACATGTCTTACTGACTCACTTTCATGACTCTAGTTATTATATGTAACATAAAGTATCATCACTTTCCCTTTACGGATGAAATAAAAAAACTATTTTCACAAAGATTCTCACTGGACTGTTTGTCTGAGGAGGTCAGTCCCGTCAGGCCGAACTCCTCCGGCTGCTCCTCGTCATCCAGGATCAGTGAGACTCGCTTAATGTTCTCGATGCTGCCGCTGCACTGAGACATGAGCCGCAGCTGGACACACAACAAACACAACAAACACACGGTTAGTACTGACTGGCTGAAACTGCAGACAGGCTGTACACACAAAGAGTATTAGTTTGACTTTTTGTAACTTACATAGCCCGGCTTCAGCGGCGTGCTGGTAAGGGTGGGCGGAGCCTCACTGTGGAGAGATTGTGTTTCGGCATCTTCCTGTGAGCGCCATCTTGGAGACTCTAGTGTGGACATGGAACTGCTGCAAACTTTGACAAATGAGCAAAAAAAAAAAAAAAAAAATAGTTTAACCACAGGAGTTGAAGCAAAACACCCTCAGCTTCTCCAAGGTCGAATAAATAAATAAAACTTATCTACTAAATTTATGATTTCAAATACTGTATCACTGATAATTAACCCCAAACAGTCTGTAAAAGGAATTTTCATATACAAGTCATCAAAATCTTAGTTTAAAGGTCACATATTATGCAAAATACACTTTACCATGTTTTTCTAACACTAATATGTGTCCCTAGTCTGTCTACAAACACCCCAATTATGAGAAAAGTCCATCCTCTCCGTCTTTTGCCTACTCAATTTTTCAGAAAATGTGTGCTCAAACAGGCCGTTTGGAGATTTTCCCTTCATGACATCACAAAGGGCAGTAACCCCTCCCCCATGTGGGTGACACAACCCAAAGCTAGGTGTTTGTTCTGCCCTCTGAGTCTGCCTTCTCACCGTAAACAATAGTTCATGTATCGAGAGAGCCCGAGCCACATCCCCTTCCAGAGAGGGGGCGTGGTCAGACACAGCTCATTTACATTTAAAGCTACAGACACAGAAACAGCCTGTTCTGAGCAGGGCTGAAATAGAGGGGTTTATAGGCATGATCAAATACAGGATCAGAGTGGATTTAGAACAAGACACTTTAAAGACATGTTTTTGGGAACTCTGAGACTTTTTTAAAACTTGTTCAAAAGGAGGAGAATATGTGACCTTTAAAAAAACTTTTGTTGTAAATATTCTCATGTTGGTCAAAGTTACATTTATATTTTTATCAATTCCAATTTATGCTTATATTCGGCTCTGTATTTGCAAGATATAAACTTCAAGATTAAAATATGACTCATTCTATTTTTCCAGGAACTCACATGCTGCAGGACTTAAATTATTGTCAACACAATTATGTCTCAGCCGCTTGAAGAAGCTGAGTGGTGATCAGTGATGAAAAACATCCATTAACACATTTCAGGCCAAAAGTCTGCAGGAATGAACTCAAGTAAAGAGCCCACCAAAGCATGAATCAGCAGTCTTAAGAACAGAGCAGCTTTTTATCTGTGGGATAGTTTAATGCCATATTTCATTCTTCAGCAACAGGAAAGAGAGAGAGGTTATGGTGCCAATACCAAAGCAGGGCAAGCTGCAGAGGGAAACTGCAAAACCAATTCTTACACAGTTTAAATGAAAATCATATTTAATAGCGTTCATTTTGAAGTTTGGTGCGGCCATAGGCTACGTTTTCTTTGTTCTGTGCAGTTTGTGACACAAAGAGTGAAATGATGAATCGACTATAGGTGATCATGTCGGGAGAAGTGAGGTGTGTTTGTGGGAAAGAAAAGAAAAAGCAGAAGGTCACTAGGAAGGCGTCCAATTTAACAAAATGTGGTAGAATAAATTGGAGATCAGTGAGTGGAATAAAAAAAAAAAGGGAGGAAGATAAAAGACGACATGTCTGAGGAGAATGAAGGTCACATAGGAAGAGGAGGATTTGAACACAGCAGAGACGAATTCAATAGGTGAAAAGAAAGGAGGCTTGTCAGGACAGACAACAATATGAAAGAATGCAAATTCTGAATGAAATACATCCTCAGAAAGTTTGATAAGAGAGAGACGTGTCCAACCAGAGAATAAAAATATGCATGAAAATATTCTGCTAAACTCAAAGGATAAAAACCCAAAATAATGAAATACAATAGAAAGTCAGACGAGGCTTTGACATTTAGAGATTTCTGATCTTTAATTCTGTCCAACACATTGGCCAATTAGAGTTCTTTTTTTCCAACGTCAGACCCCGTTAAACTGAAATGTGTTGAAGAAAGAGAAGAGAAGCAAAAAGTTTGCTTTGGCATTAAAGGATTCCGCAGACCACAGAGGCAGAAAGGCGGCAGCATCATGTCGAGTGATACAACGAGCTGCTGGAAAGTGTTTCATAAAGATTCATTTTCCCGTGAAGAGCAGATTATAGTGGTGAGCTTTCTTTTTGCCTACCCAGTGAGGAGGCTCGTAGGGCATCCCGGGCCTCGAAAAACTCCTCCAGGCTCTCCATCAACTCCACCTCTGGAGGGGTAGGGGGTTCAGACCAGAGGTGTTTGGATGTTAATGATTGAGTGAGACCATGTTGGTGTTAAAAATGGATACTAATATGAAGGAAATCCTATTAAATAGATTTTTATCTCTTTTTGCGGTTATCCTTCACAACCGCAGCAACTTTTAAAGACACCCAGGAACTTTTTCAGAGACTCAAAAGCTCTGCTTGTATTTCAGCTGGAGGAACCCTGCTCTATATTTCATGCTGATGCTAGATGTTGTCCTCTTTAGGGTTTTTTTTGCCTTTATTTAGATTGTCATATCTGTTATATCATCACAATAACTCCAGAGTGTGCAGTGACTGGCTTCTGGTGCCTTTATTAAATGGACTTAACATGAAAAACAAACAAAAGTTAAAACAACAACCTCGTAAAACGCTTTCAGCTCTATGTGTCTGTACTCTAAATCTACCTGAATGAGCGCTGAAGTAAGTTCTCCCGTCCTCCTGGTCTTCCTCCTCCTCCTCCTCCTCCCCGTCCTCGTGTGACGATGACCCTCCCACGTCTCCGGTGTGGTCCCACTCCAGCGGCAGGGAGTCCACGCTCACCGGCGTCTCCCGCCCTGAGCGTTCTTGTGCACCGGCCAGCAGGTGAGTCGGAGTGGCCGGGAAGCTTCCTAGACTCCGCCCCAGCCACGGCCGGCCAATCAGCTCCAAGCTGGACTCCAACGAAAACGAGGTACTGGAGAGCTCGGGTTCTTCGTTGATTACCTGGTGCAAAGAAAGACCACATGGAAACCTTTGTTGAGTCTTTGCACAGACTCCAGCAGATTATAGATTTGAATGATGACTTTAAAGACTTCTTATGGTTAGATTAGAAAAACATGGGTGCAGTGTTTTTGTGTGTGTGTGTGTGTGTGTGTGTGTGTGTGTGTGTGTGTGCGCTCCAGCTCACCGGGGGTTGGCTGAGGCGCTGGTGGAAGCGGACCAGTCTGCTGAAAACCTCCTGGCAGTACGAGTGCAGCTCCTCCAGCTCGTCCTCGATCAGAGCAGCATCCTGCGGTGAGCTCTTCTGGATCAGACCCTCTCCAAACACGATCAGGCCGTCAATACGCTCCGTGTTCAGAGTGATCTCCTTCTGGAAACTCTGCAGGGAGACAGTGGCGTGGACGGATGAGCATAAACAGAGACAGATGAGAAGAATGTAACAGCGAACCAAACCGAGCCAAACATGGTGAGCAAAAAGTTTGTGTGATAGAGGACTCAACCAGAAACCGTTTGAAAAAGTCAGTCATCATTTGTGCACGGTTTGGAGTTTATTTTTCCTCCTCATTGGTTATGAAAAAATGTGTTCATGGAAAGGAAACGAGGAGTGTTGTTTCCCCCACACAGGGAGCATGACTTTTGTTGACTGGTTGAAGTGAGTCCTCACATTGAGCTGCTGGATCTTTTGATGAACGTCGCTCTCTGAAAAGTGTTCCACGTTTGTGAGCTGAAGGTCCAGCTCGGTCAGCCACACCAACATGCTCTCTCTGGTGCCTTCAAAGTCCTCCCTCTGGCTGGTGAAATACTGACGGACAAGGGGAAGACAAAGTGACATGAATTAAAGACAGGAAAGACGTTTTCTAAATTACATTTTGGACGTTTTGTGACTTGAATGTGTTTCTTGGATTTTGCATCATTTTAGAAAATTGTTAAGTGCTTGTAAGATGTTTGGTTTTGCACATTTTTTTATCAATCAGATAAACATATTTATATCAAGTAAAACTGGAATAATAACATCAGACTTTAAGTCCCAGGATGTGCCCAGGATATCATACTCTAGTTGATATTAGTAAATGTCATTCAGACATTTTACGACAAATCTGACAGCTCATTTCTGTTCATTTGCACATTTAAATGTCACCAGTTAATCTCTCTACATTATGATTAACTACCCAGTATTTATCTTGTGAAACAATTAAGTATAAACCAAAATATAGCAAAAAAACATGTTCCATCTAAAGTCCAAAGTTCTTGGTTTAACACATAAATCCCTTTGTATTGAACAAGAAGGCGTGATGATGAATCTCTCCCATTTGTCCTCTGATATGTTTCAAAGAAGAAGAAAGACAAGCTCTCTGTCTGTCCTGTTTTGGTACCTTGAGTCTGCGGAGGATGGAGGCCACTCTGCGGTGCAGCGTGTCCCAGCGTCGGTTGCCCTCGTGGACCATGGCTTTGAGCTGGCTGGCTCGATCGGTGCGGTTCTCTCTGGCCAGGCGGCGGTACTGGTTATTCACCAGTTCTAGCTGGGTCAGCTGCTCGTGAACCTGCCTTTGGAAACCCTAAATAAAGGAAGAGGGAAAGAGAGGACTTTTATATTAACAATAACAGAACGGGGCACATGCATCACTTTAGCATTTTTATGTTAAAGAGTTAAAATGAGCTCCAAACTGTTTTTTTTTTTGGGCAGTGGAAATTAATATCACAACACACTTTGTTTGCGTTATGGAAAAGCAAAAAGAGAAACATTCTGCGTGTCTGCTAAATTCATAATCCTTCTAAACTCAGTAACATTAAATTGAATGCTGAAGAATTACAAAATGTTCCCCCTCTATGAAACAAAACAAAACACAGCCACTTGTGTCTGAAGCCGCCTCCCGACCTCCAATCTGACCTCAAACTTCTTGAGCTCCTCCTTGGCGACAGTATAAAGGACGTCTGCAGAGTTGGGGCTGGCAGCGGTACGCTCGGCCATCTTGAGCCAATCCTCAAAGCGGGAGTAGTCATCGAGGAATTTGCACCAGAGGCCCCACGTCTCCTCAATCCTACAAAGAAGCATCAGACTAGACTTACTGTCTGCTGGAGGTTTTTCTATGGCACTATGTAAAAGTCTTTATCAGGTTAGATGATCTACTGCCACCCAGAGCAGGGAACATACGATTCATGTCTTTATGATCATTGTGCAAAACAACCAAACAGGAAGCAGAGTAGTACAAAATAAAATGAGATCAGTGTTATAAAAAAGTATAAATAAGACAAACAGCAGCATTTACAATAAAGTAAATTGGATATCAGAAAGTCAGGGTCAAAGTACCGCAGGAGAATTTGTTCATACAAAATGTATTCATTGCATTTTGTTGACTTCTTTCTTTCTATATAAATAAATATAAGGTCTGTCAAACGATCACAATTCTGACTTGCATTTTAAATCACATGTTTAAAATTCCATTATTACACATTAAAAATAAAAATTGTTTTTTTTAGTTTTTATTTTGAAAGTTTGTGCTGTTTAAGCTGAGAGTACTTTACTTGCAGTTTGAATTTTAACCCTGCTTTTATTTTGAAATAAAGTAAGGACCTTCTGGTAGATCCAAAGGTTACGATATTAACTTAACCGCAGAAAAAGAAACTCGTTATGGATCAATCCACTACTGTGACTACAGGGAGACGCTGGGTTCATTAGCAACATGTCATCCAACATAAACCCTAAACTTTTTTATCACTGCTAAATCGGCACCTTTAAATCTGAAAGGTATCTGATAACTAGCTTTAGCTTCATCCGACAGTAGAAATATCAGTTTTAAAAGTCGTGGATAAAGAACACAACTAAGTTCTTAGTTACAGAACAGCATGTATAGATTAGAGTCTGCACTGCTTCAGGTATGTGAAGGATAAACACAGGACATGTTTGAGTGTCTTTGTGTTCCTACTTGAGCCTCCTCTCCAGAGCCAGGGCACAGATGGTCCTCCAGCGCTGGTCCAGGCTGCGGCTGGTCTCCTGCAGGGAGTCGCTCTCCGCCTTGGTGCCGCCGCCGCCACCAGCAGCATCTTCATCCCGCAGCAGGACGTCACACAGGCTGAGCACGGACGCTACGCCCTCCGTGTGCTGCTCGATGTCCCTCTGCAGCTCCTGGACGGACACACGGACAGACGTGAGGACGGACATGGGCACGAGGCTCATAGCAGTGAAGCCATGTGTTAACCATCAGTCCACAGACAGAGGACTGCCTCTCCCCAAATTAAACAAAGGACAGATATGAATTATTAATCGCAGAGAGAGACAACGAGTGAAAGGGAGTGACAGTGAGCTGGAACAACAAAAGAGAGAGAAGAGAGAAAAGAAAGCAGCAAGGAAAATATCACAAACCAGAAAGAAGAGTCGAACAGAAAGACATGAAAGACGAGACGAGAGAAGAAACCTCATCAGTATAAATGGAGTCATGTTAAATTCTTGTGTGTTTCTGTGTTTTGGTGTGTGTGTTTTGTGTACCTGCTGCTCGGCCAGCCTCTTCTGGATCTCCTGGTGGTGGCACACGCTGTAGGTGATTGGTCGGGACAGCTCGGACTCGATGCGTGAAAGCCAAGAGCGGATGTTACTCATGTTCTTATCCAGTTGCTGCATGGTCACCAGAGTCTCCTTCAGCTTCTTCACCCTGACACACACACACACACACACACACACACACACACACTGTTTTAAACACTGTGTGACCTAACGTCTATAATCAGTATATAAAAGTCTGCTTTAAACTTCTTCAATAAGTTGCACGGTTGAACAACATCTAAACTCTTCTGGTTTGAGACCCATTCTCTGCAGCTGCATGTGTGAACAAAAAGAAATATTGATTTCCAGCACAAAGAATATGATGTATCAGATAAAGCCAGTGGTTGAACTAAACACAAAGAAGCTTTTCTTTGCTGTGAAAAAAAAACAAAGCAGGAGAAAAAAAAGACAAAGTGAAAACACAAAAGTAGAGAGATGAAGAGAAAAACTAAAGGGATGGACAAAATAAGGAACACAAGGAAAACAAAGGCAGAAATAAAAGAGACAGATAGATGACCATTCAGAAAGAAAGAGAAGAAAAACAGAGATGCAGAGAAAGAAAGAGAAAAAACAGAGATGCAGAGAAAGAAAGAGAAAAAAACAGAGATGCAGAGAAAGAAAGAGAAGAAAAACAGAGATGCAGAGAAAGAAAGAGAAGAAAAACAGAGATGCAGAGAAAGAAAGAGAAGAAACAGAGATGCAGAGAAAGAAAGAGAAAAACAGAGAGATGCAGAGAAAGAAAGAGAAGAAAAACATTGAGAAGAAAAAAAGCTGGACGAGATCCCCGAAAAATATTTAAGAAGCGACGTGGTTAAAAGAGGAAAGAAAGTCAAACTATTCACTAATCTACAATGTTCTTAAGTATCTTACACTACAACTTTCAACTTCACCATGGCAACTGACCCCTTTGTGGACGCACGCACGCACGCACGCACGCACGCACACACACACACACGCACACACACACACAGACTGGTGTCATAGCAACGCTTGGGACAATAAAAGCTCTCTTTGGAGGCTTAAAAGCCTGAAGTGTGCCCCATCAGGGAGTTTGAGTTAATTTCCACATTTGATCCTTCCTCTCCTGTCGGGGTCCAGCGGGGCCTGTCGGGGCTGAGAGGGGGAAGCTCTCCACCGAAATAATAAGCACTACAAACAGCTGGGAGTGTTAGCGGCAGGCTAAAAGAAAGCATGAAAGGGTCCCAACAGATGCCGGATGCTGGGCCGACTATAGAGAAGTTGAGTGTGTCCTTTTCGAGCTTTTATTACGAGATCTAGTTAGTGCGTTGAATCCATTCAGAGTGTTGAATATTTGTCTTTTTGGATGATGCTAACTCCTTTAAAGAGTTACTTTAGCTTTCATGAGTTCATGTGAAGTTATCCTAATGCCTCTACAGCTCGGGACCACTTCCATTTGAGGCAGGGTTTGCAGCGTGGTCTCTTTCACTTTGTGCTGGTCATGTATTTGCAGCATGGCTTCCTTTCATCCACATCGTGTTTCAGTCATTCTATTTGTTTTAGAATTTCCTTGTCAGTTATCAATATTTCTGTATTAACTGTGTTATCCTAACAGAAGTCGTTGGGCCGGTGCAGGTTGGTTTGCCTTTGTCGGCCAGCGTACAGACAAGACTAGAAGAATCCCTTTACAGTCCAAGTCCATTTAGCATCAGTTTAGCGACACGTAAGCGACGGCTATCTACATGCTCACGTTTAGCATAGCAGATAAAAACTACAAAAATCTCAATCTGACTTTTAGTGCCTCAGCATGCTTACATTTGCTAATTTGTAATGATAACTGAAGTTTATGCAAATAATGCATGACTACAATGGGTTTTTTTAAGAAATAAATATCAATTTCTAAGAGTAAAGTTTAAATATAAAATGCTAAAGAGTTGGTTTTGTAAAGAAATTCGTTTTACAAATTAAATAAACTTCAAATAAAATCAACATTTTTATTATGAATTCAAAGTTTTGACCAAAATATGAACAAAAGATAAGTATTACCTCAGGTTGTTATTCTGGAAATGTCAGATCTCAACATTAATCAAGCTAGCTATACACTAAGAAGTGCACTAAAAGCTGTACATTGTTGGAGTTTGTACAAAGGCACAGGTGTCAGACGGACTCGTTAAAAGGACTCACTGATTCCAAACCCTATAGAGATCAGGAATAATGTACAGTGTGTAGTCAGGGGAGGTTTTGTGTGTCATTAATGTGTCTTCATGTTTACGGCCGTGTAATGAAAACACAGGCGAGTCAGTGTATCATACTGTCCAGAAAACACTCGTCCCCTCTGCTGATACGACCATCCTCGTCCACTAAATTGCCTCTCCCTCTCTTTCACTCGCGCTCCACCTCTGACAGCCTAACAAAGACCAGCAGCTTCATGTGGAGGCCCGACAAAGACACAAAACACGGTCAGGGGTCCTCGATGAGGGACAGAGCAGGAGCAGAATGGATGGAGAGAAAAAACCGAGCAGAAAGGAGCTGTAGGATAAGTTCAGATAAATGGTTGAAGGGTCGAGTTAACGACGTACAGCAGACCGCAGGAGGGCTCCAAGTTACTCACACGCCTTAACTCCAACTGACATTTCCTTCTGTAGTCACTGTGATCCTGCAGCTCTTTACTGTACATGTGCTTTTTACTTTTACATAAATAATCAGGCTTTGACTCTCAGGGCTGGCAACATGAATTATAGAGTGCACATTTTACATTAGCCTACTTGATTATTGCATCACATTAAACGTGTTGTTGCTGTAAACTAAAGACACAGGGAGTTCCTCCAAGATGTTTGGTAGTGCTAGTAGAAGCTGCCATTTCTTCTATAAGTGTGGTAAAAATCTATATAAAACAGAGGTGCCATGTTTTCAGGTGTTCAGAACCTCTTTACAGAGAAAAGGGAAATAAAGGGCTTTACTGATCACTGGTTTTAAAATAACTTCCAATCAAAAATAAGCTTAATGTAAAAAGTATCACTCGAGGTGTCACTTTAGGAGGAGCTTCAGATCACTGGTTTTGAATTTAAAGACCCAAAAGTCCCCGTATAGTTATGTTATGTTGTTGAATGTTTTACTACAGGTTTGACCACAACTTTTTCAAGCATCGGCAGAAGGCTGTTTCCAATAATAAAGATGAAAAAATAAATAAAAAAATAAAAGACTAACATCCAGGAAAATGTCCAGATGTGGCATGGGGTGGCATGGCAATCCGATTGGCTAAAACCTAAACTTGAATCGGCTGTTTACCTCGCCAGAGAATCGAGTTAAAAACAACTACTAGGCTGTGTTGCAAAAAGCTGCTGGTAGCTTTCTCAGCATTTTAAAATATCACATTTTCTCGAATGAGCGCCTGAAAATTTGGACTTTGAATTTATTTTTAATCCTTAAAGAAAAAAACGTTTGGAAGATAAAAATGTTGTCACTCTGTTGGTTTTTTTTTTTAAGTCTAAAATACAGAGGATACAACATGTTTTTATAAAACCATTTTAAACATGATCCTTTAAGGACAGTTGAAGAGAGAGTGGGTGATGACATGGACCAGAGTGTTGATGATTCAGAGTTGAACTGGTGACCAGTGTGAAGAGGACAGTAGCCACATGCACATATGCTTCATGCCACCCCTTCATCAGTCAGCACCCTGGTCGGGCCACCCTAGCTTGTTTGGGATCATCCCCTCTGAAACCTGTTCATTCTTTATTTAAACAGGGCCCCCGCTTTGAGAACCAGCGATTAATGCATGCCGACAGACCCCCGGCCCCTCCCACACCAAACCCCCCCCTACCCTGTCAACCCACAATCTGACAGGGTAGAAAAAAAGGGAGGGGTGGAGTCATTGTCCACATGAGGACATATGGCGCTGTCTGAGACTTAAGCACATCTTCTTTTTTTTTGTTGTCGGTGGTTTAGGAGGGGAGTCTGCATCTCCTGCTCTTCCACAGGACTGTCCATCTGTCTGAGGGGAGGGGGGGCAGCAGGGGGGGGGGGGGGGGCAGTAACAGTTCATCAACACGGGGGCTTAACCTACAGTCTGTACATTAGAAGGCATGTACTCCTGACAGCTGCAGAGCAAGACTCATCTCAACAGCAGGTGGATGGATTCACATCAGAGCTATTGGTTAATTAAAGGCTCCTTGTTAAAGCCTTTGAGTTCATAACAACGCTTGTTAATGCAGAGTGGCGTCGTGTGAAAGGTGCTCCTGCAGAAGGCTAATTACGGGAGGCAATCAAGTGCGTAGATGACAGCTGAACTGCGTAACCTTCTAAACCAACAAAAAGCCTTTCCCTTTTTACCTCTGCTGCTCCATGATATCCACACACTATTCAAGCCATTCTGATTTAATCTGTTTGCTTCCTTGTTGTGTCACCTTCAAAAGCTTAATCGATATAAACACCCACAGAGCTTCCGGCCTCTGTGCCAGCTGTGGCCGCTCTCACCTGGCCTCGATGTGGTGAAAGAGGTTGTGCCAGCGCTGGTTGACCTCCTGCAGAGAACTGTGGACCTGCGACTGCTTGGCCTCGTCGCTGGCCAATAGCAGCTGCTCACCGAGCTGCTTCAGGTGGCTTTTGTTCTCACTGAACAGGTTGATTTCTTCCATGCAGTCCTGTGGAGACGAGACATTACAACATTAGATAAGATCTGGTTTAAAAAACAACTCCAGGGATTCTATTATACCGCATGCAGACGCTTTTATGCCAATGTTCAATCAATATAGATGTGGAGAATACAAGTGCCCAGTTTTCATCATTTCATTCTCACATTGGTAATCTGCATGTTTCATGCTCGGGTACAGCAATGTGTGTTCCCTTTAGAGCAAAGGGCATCACATGGATGAGTACAAGAGCCTTCGTTTTGATTAATCTTCTACAGCTTTGAATCAGAAACACATTTACGGGTAGGGATTTCAATACAGTTTGAAATGTCAAAGTGCCATGAACAAAGCTCCCTCTTTTGGGAGGGAAAGGCACCAAAAGGCACCAGAAACAAGTCAATTCAATGAGAGCATCAAACACATTTGATCCATAAATAAAGCATCAACTAAAAACAGTTAAAGCGCAAGCCAAACAGGACACATGTTGAGAGACAAAGATATGGCTGGACTTTATACAAAGAGGGAGTTTTGTTCCCCCTCCTCAATGTCCCTTTCATTCATCTTGACAAACACCTGTTTCCAGCCCTGGAGCACTCGTCATCACCAGGAAAAAACGACATTTTACGCAAACCAAGTACCGTAATTAAAAACAGACTATCAAGGACTAAGAGTCCAAAACTTTCAGAAGAGAAAGATTCTGCAACGCTCAAATCCAATATTTTCTCACATTCATTCTGACACATGAAGGTACAAAAGGCTTTCATACACTGAAAGGACAACTGTTGTGTAAGAACAAAGGACATGGAGATATTCCTTTCCAGGCCACCATCTGTTATAAACAACATAATCCATGTTGCACATGTATGGAGGAAAATTTACACAAGTGACGTTCAATCCAGGAATCAAGGGTTTGATGGTGGGGATTACAGCAAATAACTTTTGAAGGAAGTGTGTGAATATTAAAGTGAATAACGTAATTCACATTTGCAATATGTGCTTTAATCCAGCTGTCATATTTGAAGTCATGTTAACCCTCAAACACGGTTCACCTGTTCTTCCATGTGTTTGTGTATCAAGACAAACATATTCTTTGGATTTTCTAACCTTCTTCAGTTTCTCCACCATCTCCTCGATGCTCAGGTCTCCGCTGTGACACACTTTGTTCTCCATCTGAGTCAGCCAATCGCAGAACTCTTTGTTCTTGTCGTTGAAGATGGTCCAGGCGTTGAGGCGGTCTGCAATTTCCTGCCGCCGCAAGGACACCTGGGAAGAATCAAAAAACAGCCCTTGAGTGTTTATTTTTGTACATTTGACAGCAGTCAGAGAAACGACAACACAGAAGAGGGACCAGTGCTCACATATGTGCAATATCAAGATCCATTATATTACTTATACTTTGTTTTAGCGCTGCTGTGAGGAACTTTAGTTTATGTCGCTTATAGAGCCTTCTGAGCACAAAGTGTTGGTCTTCTCTCATTGATGATCTCTTCCTGTACATGTGTAAGTAGTGTTTTCTCACCAAATATTTCACCCTTCTTTGTTTTAAATGTCTCACATGATATCAAAATGAATCTTTGCTTCGACATGCTGTTTATCAGCTCTTCTGACGCCTACCCTGTGGCAGTGATGACAGGCAAATACAACAACTATACAGACATAATCAATCTGATCGCTGATGGCCTTGTTTGCTTTTGTAGCTCATATTGATTTGTGTTTGTTTGCAGGTTCAAAACTCCCCACAGGAGCTTTTGTGCTGAGCTGCAGAACAACTAGACCACTTTGAGATCTTTATCTACATCTCACCATCATCAGACAAAAGCTTAAGTTGCGTTTTTACAGACATTTTACAGGTTTAAGATTGAACTTTGAACGCCACTTTCATGACAGCTGTGATAACGCGATGATTTTACAAGCGAAAGAAGGGATTGAGGCCGTTTCCAACAAGAGGAGGGTTCATAGTTTTTCTATTTGTTTACCTTTGCATAAACACATGCACATATATGGGTATACGTATGTTTGTTTACATTAAATACATTTTTTATTTTCTCTTTCCTTTATTTCTTCTTTCTACCTTCATGTTTTTATTATTTTAGTTTTATATAAGTTTCTTTTTTTAGAGGGAATCAATTGTATAGTCTTTTTTCATAACATTGATTTTTGGGCTTTTTGTGCATTCGAATGAGAGACAGAACAGTGGATAGAGTCGGAAATCTGGGAGAGAGAGAGAGAGAGAGAGTGAGGAATGACATGCAGGAAAGGAGTCAACGGCCGGATTCAAACCCGGGCAGCCCGCCTCGAGGACTACAGCCTCGGCTCATGGGCCGCACAAACAAACCACCAGGCCACCAGCTCCCCGTTAAATTGTATTGTTGTCTGTACTGGATTCTACATGATGAAAAGGCCTAAAATAAAAGTGCAGTCCACAGTTACACAAACCATGAAAGTGACATCACATTACCAAAGTAAGACAGAAGTATTTAAGTCTTCAACTACGACGTTACTTTCTTTACTAAGTCCATGGTACTGTAGACGTAAAGGTCTCAACTGTTCAACATGTGCTGCCAAAAGCCCGTCCACACTGACACAGGGTCCTTTATTATAATACATCCTGGTATGTATCCAAGCAACCGTGACCTAATTCTACTGCATGAACGTACATTTAGTCGATGTAAGTTAGGAGCAAGCAGCCTGTAACAACGCTGGAGGACAGTTTTTAAAAGCTTTAAAAATACTGTAATTCCAAGAAGTATCTTTTGATACGACGGATGACACGGAACAGACGTGGATAAAAGACGTAGAAACGACCTGAATATGAAGTCTTTATTACACTGATGCAACAGCACCATTAAACCTCCAGCATACTCAGAATCAGACTGAAAATGAGAGAAATCCCTGAGGGGATACCCAGAGGCAGTTTGATAAAATTAACAAGGTCCATTTTCCTAATGACAGCTTAACACCATGAAAACACCCCATTACATGGTTGACAAGGGGGAGGGGGGGGGGGGGGTGATGATCTTTTTGAGGTTAGAGGGCTTAGCCAGCCCCTGGGGCATGTTCCAACCAGCTATATTTTACTGTTCACTGGCATTTATTTGATTTAAATGAGCCCCGCTTTAGTATTAATGTACTCGCACTGCAGGAGCTTTGTTAACTCTGGAGAATTTAGGGGTGCATTGTGAGCTGCTGCCACCCTGTGAGGACTTTGTGCTTCTCCTGGAACAATAGAGCCTGTCCCCTGAACCCTCTTTTAGCCCAGCCAGGCCATCTGCTCATCGGACTCATTCCAGTGGCTTCCCCCCACCAACAACCTGTTAGCTCCGCAGAGCAAGCTGCCCTCCGGCCATGTCAGGAATTAATAACAGGGATGAAGAGTCTCATATGATACTGCAGCTGATACAAGTCAGTGCTTCCTCATATTACATTAAATACGACTTTTCTCTGAGCAGCTCAGTGTCCAGCTGGAAACTCGATTTTGTGTTGGCTTGTGATTTGCTTTACAAAACATTGGAAAACAACACCGATGATTCACGGAGGCTTTTATGGATATTGTCAGAGACCTTTCTTTTCTTGAAGATATCTAGTAATCCTTAATATTATATGTTGCATGTTTTAGTTTTTCTTTTTCTAAGGAAGCCCTCAGAGGACATGCATCCATTCTGTTAGTTACATGGTTTTCTGAGAGTTACCAATAAGTCCAGATCTAAAAAAAAATAGCTGACATTAACTCATGACAGGAAAATTGACAGGGCTTCCGTAGTTTTCACATTAACACAGGTCAAATGAAGTAGTCAGGGTGAGAAAAACCTCGGCTGTACAATAACAGATACAACTTCATACAGAAGCGTGCATTTCACACTTTCTATTGACTCCATGCATCAATAGAAAACCTGATGATGGGACACAGTGGCTGCTGCTGCTGCTGCATCTGTGAAGCCCAGTCTCTCCGGCCAGCACAGGAGCAGGTGGAGGCAGACACCGTTACTTTGGGATTCAATTAGCATTTCTGAAAATGATCCCTCAACCCTGAATAGCTGATGGAAATGTCAGAAGCATGGCATAACTGTTGGTTTCTCCAGAACAAAAGTGCATTTGTGTTTAAGCCAAAAAGACTTAACTGCAGGAATTTGAGCCTGTCTATGTTCAGTCAAGCTTTTTTTTTTCAGCGATAATTAAGTAACAGAATTAACAGGCTGCTACAGTTCAATAGGCTGAGTCAGGAGAGTTTCAAAGTGAGAAGCTGTTGAGGGATTTTTAGAAGATTTAAACCAACTTCAAAAGGCTCATATGCAGAAAAAATCCAATTTAAAAAAAGGATTAGGAAGCAAAAACAGCATGCATACAAGTCAAAGAAAACGCTTCTGTTCTGCACCTTTGTAAAACAAACATTAAGAAAACATATAAAACTGCCCTGATAGGAAGCAATTTGAATTTGAATGTTATAGTTTTCCCTCCATGAAGCTGCACATGGTGGCTCTTTTCTCAAACAAATGAGTGTGTGTATGTGCCTGAGTGTGTGTGTGTGTGTGTGTGTGTGTGTGTGTGTGTGTGTGTGTGTGTGTGTGTGTGTGTTTAGCCCCAGTGGTGCAGAGGCTTTGTGCTGCTGGACACCACCAAGACACCGCTGGTAGCAACTTTTCCCTCCTTCTCTCCCCCTCCCTCCTTTCCTCTCCACCTGCAGCCTCTACAAGCTCTTCTCTGCTTCACAACAAAGTTTAACAAACTCTCTCTCTCTCTCTCTTTTTCTGTGTGTGTGTTTCTCCAGTTCTCACCTTGGTACACAGCTCTTCCCATTGACCGTGGAGTTGTTCCAGCTGCTGCTCCAGCAGAGCCGAGTCAGCGGCTGCAACGTACTGCGACAGGTCCGTCTTCATGGTGGTCAAATCCCTCAATCCACTGTTCAAACACTGCAGAGAGAGCTCTGTCTCCTGCATAACACACACACATACACACACACACACACACACACACACATATACACAGACACTTGAACACTGAGTCAGATAGCCATGAACAAGCTGCATGAACACGCTTCTCTAACTCTTTCTCGCTCTGACCGTCCAGATTAAAGAGCTGTGGACAGGACAGGGGGAGGGGAGAGGGGGTAGAAAGGGGGAGGGGAGTGAAAGCATGGGGTATTATTAAATAAGGGAAAGGGGGGTAAACTCAGAGGGGCTCTGGTGGTAGAGGATGGGGGTCGGACCCTGATGAAGTGGAGGGTTGGGGGGGGGAACTATGGTCAGTGTAGGGACCAGCTGACCTGTTTGGTTTCCATCCAGCAGATTCATGTTGCTGATTTATCGGAGCTCAAACAGCAACTTAACATCTTAATATCATAAACAGTGTGAAATGAAAACTATTCTTCAGCGTGATTACTTTGACATGAATTTCTCATTTGACTTTCTAATTTTCATCCAAAACCAGAAAATAAACTCTTCCATTATATCAGGTCACGCTAGGAGGTTTTCCTCTGTGACTATTTTTCATGCAAATAATAGCACAGAAATGTAGAAGTTATTTGAGTTTCAGTAACTCATTAAACCATTTTTTTTGGGCTTTAGTAGAAAATGTATCCAAGTGAGCTGCAGCACTGTTAGTACTAAATGTTTTGTCTCTTTGCTTTTCTGACAGAAGACTGGACACTTTTATCTACAGGGACTAGACAAGGATTCAACAAATCAATAATAAATAATAACGGCTTCGTGAGTCCAAGTGTTCAAAAAGATAAGAGTCTTGGAATTTTTACATTTGATTATCTATTCTTCTTGTTTGTGTAATTATATATTTTTAAAGTCTGGGGGATTTTAGCACAAAAACATTTTTAAAAATCCTAATATCAAATACTGTCTTTAATTTTTGTCCGTTCATGTTTATTGACTTAAAGCAGCACATAAAAAAATAAATAACAACTGGAATCAGCTTTAACATGGTTTTGTATTATTTCCTAAAAAAACAGTGTATTTCCTTTCAGTTGCTATGAGCTGTTAACACTCTAAAAAGCACTGCGTCTAAGGACCATACAAAGAAAAGAGGGGACTGTAGGACACTGGAATAAAAAGGTATAATTCTTGTTTCAATAGCAGGCAAAGCTGGTAACAACCAGTACAAAACGAATGATTACTGATCGAGAAATGAAAAGTCATTTCACATTACTTCAGAATATCAAAGTGTGATATTTGAACAGGGCTGCGCGCTTTAGTTTTTCTTTCATCTCTCATTATGGAGTGCACCGTGCACCGAGGCAAATCTAACCCAGAGGAAGCAGCTTTCTGTCATCGTGCAGCACAGCGAAAGAACTAATGACCGGGTGGATTTTGTGAAGCATTACTTATCTAAACAGCCTGTGTATTATTATTTTGATATACAAGGAGATGGTGGAGGGCTTTTTGTGCCTTTCTTTAGAGATAGGACAGTGGATAGAGTCAGAAATCAGGGAGAGAGAGAGAGAGAGAGAGAGGAATGACACGGGGAGAGAAGCCACAGGTCAGGTTCAAACCCGGGCCGCTTGCTTGGAGGACTACAGCCTCCGTACGTCGGGCTCGCTCACTAACCACTACGCCCCCGTGATGTACAAAGTTGTATAAAACTAATCTTATGAGTTTGTCTTATATGTGTCATGTCCATTTATCTTTTGATTAAGTTGTTTTAGTTTAGTTTGTGGCTCCTCTTTACAGCTCTCTGAATCTGTGTGTGTGTGTGTGTGTGAAATTATCTTTATAAAACAAACTCCCCCTGTCGTCCCGTAGTTAGGCACTCAGCACTACAACCATTGAGCCTTACAAAAGGAACAAATACGTAATTTCTGTTCACTAAGTAAGGATGCGGTTGATAAAGGTCTCTCAGAAGTCATGATATCTTTAAGAGCGGCAGTATAAAATCTGTTCCATCAGTCAGTGTTTTTAAGACAATGTAGAATATTCAAGTGTTGTTTTCTTTCTTTTCCAGTGTTTGGGAACAAGAAGAGTGTAGAGTCATGGTAGAGTAATTACCTGAATGTGTTTCTCCTCCTCTGAGTCCTGTGGTCTCTCTGGTCGTGTTAGCCTGTTTTTCATCTCATCCAGGTCGGACATGACGCCGGTTATCCCCTCCTGACACTGAGACCACTTCTAAATGAAAGGCAGAAGACACAGGGAAGAGTTTCTTTTACAGGAGTCAGTTTTAAACATCTAAAATGATCTATAATCAGAAACCACAGAGATCCGGACTGCTTTATATTGCTATTTCTATAAAGTAAATCCAGGGGTGTATCTGGACTTTTTTGACTGGGGTGGCCCAACCCGGGCACTGACCTATGCAGGGGTGGCCTGAAGTGTGATGTGCGCACAAACACACACAAATAAATCAAAATGATTCACAAATAATTTCTACTTTACAACACAAGCTAATGGATACATTAGCTTAATCTTTTAATGACACAAAAATAAATGTATGTTAAAGTCAGAACTTAAAGAGTTAAGCCAATCACAGTTTAGGATTTTTTGGGTGGTCTGGGGTGGCCAAACACATTTCTAAGGGTGGGGGGCATTGCCAACCCTGGCCACCCATCTGGATACGCCCATGTAAATCACAAATTGTCTGGGGTGAGATAGGGACAATATGAATGTTGACAGTGGTATTTTGCATTACAAGAAAAAGAAGAAGTGGTTTTGGTTTTGTTACCTTTGCAGTAAAAGCATCAGAAACAATGCAGTGTGTTTCCTGATAGAGTTTGTAAAACCATGTGAAAGGTAGGATTGTGCAATACTATCTCTGGTTGTCTTTATTAAATATTCCCAGAAACATCAATCTTTGTGAAGCTGAAAGGAATGTTTTGTGAACAACTAAATCATTCTTGGAAAAAGGACACAGGATATCTGCTTTAGTGATTTAGTAACTGGAGTCTGGCATCAAGCTAAAAAAGCAAACTTTAAGTGGAACATAACCACGGCCAGATCGCATTCGTGTTCACATAATCCTTTATTTTGTTAACTGTAATCTGATGACCAGGTTGGTCTCATGCTGCCAGTTCCACTTTGTGCAGTGATGCTTCTCGCTGTGTGATCTTTGACATGTTGCTCAGAGGGATTTCCCTTCTCTGGGGTGGATCCTGTTCAGCTTACAGGGGTCAACACAACTTTCCCTGACCTCTCTGCGCCTGGGCACCAACACACAGCTACACTAGCCAAAGTAAAGTCATTTAAAGTATTAAAGGTCACATATTATAATCATTTTTCAACAAGTTTAAATAACTCGCAGAGCTCCCAGAAACATGTTTGTGAAGTTGCCTGTTCAAAATCTCCTCTGATCCTGTATTTGATCATGCCTATAAACCCTTCTATTTCAACCCTGCTCAGAACAGGCTGTTTCTGTGTCTGTACCTTTAAATATGTAAATGAGCTGTGTCTGACCACGCCCCTCTCTGGAAGAACTTTTGCTTTCCTGCACCATGCCCTATTGTTTACAGTGAGAAGGAGGACTCAGAGGGCAGAACTAACACCTAGCTCTGGGAGTGTCCCCCATCTGGGGGAGGGGTTACTGCCCTTTGTGATGTCATGAAGGGAAAATCTCCAAACGGCCTGTTTGAGCACACATTTTCTAAAAAGTGGAGCAGGCAAAAGACAAAGAGGATGGACTTTTCTCATAATTGGGGGGTTTGTAGACGGACTATAAGGCCATATATTATTGTAAGAAAAACATAGTAAAGTGTACTTTGCATAAATATGTGACCTTTACTCATTCAGTATTTACAACATCATTTCTGTCCCACAACAGCCAAGAAACACTCAGTGACAACAGTGGTATCTTTTACCCCTTCAACACAATAACATGTTTTTAAAGGCTTTATTGTACGATACATAAGCGATGTAGTGAAATAATGAAAAGAACAGACGCTGGTAAACAGCCCTCTCTACATGTGGATCATGGTTAGATTTAAGCTTCTCTTTGATCCCTCTTGGCTGGAGGCCTTTGCCACGGCAACACACCAGATCCTGTGTGCGTGTGTGTGTGTGTGTGTGTGTGTGTGTGTCCTGGATATGGGTCATGCAAAGCTGACACCTCCTGCTCTTTTTGTTAATACTGTTAAACATGCTGTCATTTCGGTCAAACACTAAACTTGTCAGAAAAAATCTGCAATTTTCACAAGATTCTACAACCTGCCATATCTGCAGAGGAAGAGTGTTGATATTTCTAGACAGTATCAAACAAAGAGACGTTCACTCGAGAATAATCTAGGATATTTTATAATAATGCCTTAGAGACGTCTTCGCTGCAGTTTAACGTTCAGTCTGAACAGCTGGCTGAAACGGTTACACTCATAGAAAGGTACATCTCTGTTTTATTTATCATTTCATTCCATTTGAAAAATACTCCAACACTCTTATGTTATTTGGGTTTCTATAACTCTCTTATTACATGGTAGAACAGGTGATATCAGAATCAGGTAGGTTTAAACATACAAGGAATCTGTCATGTTTTTTGTGTTGAAAATCATTGGCCACAGAAGAAGATTAAAAAATGCAAAAAGCTATAAAAAATCAAAACTCTTACTGTCCAGGAACTTAAACAGAGTAAGATCCAAACTATATCAAAACTAAATATCTACAAATAGTGCAATATTTATATTTATATTCAATACTCCATGAGCTGTGGAGTTGTTAAGGAATGTGACAGATGATGGTAATTGTAAATATCTTACAGTTTCAAATATGTGCAACAGACAATCCTCGACTTCAGTGTGCATTGATGTAACGTATAAAGTCGGATTAAGATCTTAACATCAATGTACTGTAAAGTGATTATGGAGCTGGGTGGAAGTGAGTGTCATGTTAGATTTAATTAGTTGTAAATAAAATGTGGTAAGATTTAATATGACAAAATGAAAATGTGGTAGTCTTGGACCTAACCTGATGATTTGTGTTGACCAGGTCTCTTCTCCTCTCCAGCAGTGAACTGGTTCGCTCCCAGGCCTCCTGTGTGGCCTGCAGCTCTGACAGCAGTCTGCTCTGACACTCTGAGTCTGCCATGGCGTCACATAGCTGTCTGCCAGCCTCCATCGTCTGGGTGTACACGGAGGAGTGCAGGCGCAGAGCCTCCTCGACACACTTTAAAGATGAAGGATGACACAGAGCTTGTTGGTTAACTTCTCTTGAATTTCATTTGACCACTCCTCCCCGACAGAACACAACCCTAAACCTATACACTGACCTGGTAATCTTCTGTACAGCTCTGTAGCTGATGCAGTGTATACAGAGTTGGTCCAGCAGGGGGCAGCAAGGGGTCAACGTCCCTCAACAGTTTCCATACAATTTTCGAGCCCCGATTGAGGATTCTCCATTTTCCCACTTGTTCTTTTATGGAGGACCTGCGCTCGCCTGCCAGGGCCACAGTGTTGAACCAGCTCTTCCTCACACGAGTCACTCGTGCGATGAGTTCAGATCTGTGCAAGAGGCGCAGCTTTGTTAGAGTTAAAAAAACAGAAGACAAATGACAACTGTTGTAAAATGTGTTGGCTATAAAACACAGACTGTATAAAACATGGACGTAGTCTCAGTGACATCCCCCAGTGGATTCTGAAGAGGTGTTTTGACAATTGTGGTGGCCATATTGGAAATGCTGACTCTTCCTAACTTTTGGTAGTACAACTTTTACAGTACAGTTTTTACCAATGTGAAATTGAGCTTAAGAGACAAAAACGGTTTATGTACCAGGCTGTAAACATGTTTAATTCTGCTGTCAAGATGGGCTCTTTAACATGGGAGTTAATGGGGATTCCTTGATTTTGGAGCCAGCCTCAAGAGGACACTTGAGGAACTGCAGTTTTTTGTGCCGCCTTATTCATTTCTATTAACTTTTAGTTTATTATTTAGTTGGAGAGGATACATTTAACAATTCTGTTTCTTATTCATTTCCCCCAAGTAATAACAAATAAGTCAAAAATGCCTTTAAAAGAGACTTTACATCAGTGGTACTCAGCCTTGTTAGACTTAAGAGCCACACTGACCAAAAAAAAGAATTCTGCAAGAGCCATAATCAAAAAAAACCTCTTACTTTCCTAAAATATGTGTGGGAAACACAGTGACATGACTTGCAAATAATGATTTCTGCTGACAATGTTTCCCTTCTTTAATTAATTACATTGTTTTTTTTTTCTCCAAGTAGGACCTAAAAGAGCAACAACTAGTCCCAAATGAGCCACATGTGGCTCGAGAGTCTCGGGTTGAGTATCGTTGCTTCAGATATTTAAGAGATGAGATTTTTATGTACATGCATATGTGTTCATTTTTAGAAAATTCTAATGAAAAGTGTCTAGTGTTGTATTCAAGACCACACTGACCGAGACCAAGAAATACCCGAGACCAGAGCCAAGACTGACTGATTTATTTAGTCATTTATTAGAGGCAGCAAATCCACATCATTGAGCCTCTTACTGAGGGTAAATATTGTAATCTATGCCTAGAAACACAAACTGTGGTACGAGTGGAAAGATTGAAAGATCTCCAATTAATAAAAGACTCCATGGGTATAAACACTTAAACAGTAAAAAATGTGTCATAGTTTGTTCAGAGTCTATCTATCTTTCTAATTGCTACATGGACACAGCAGGATTTTAAGACTCTCGTAAAGCCTTGAGCACCAGTTCCAGCAGGGGTTTGAAAATACTATTTTCTTCAGATTCTTTAAGAGCTTTTCAAGCTTTCCAAAGAATGCAAAAAAAAAAGAAGAGATTTAAGGAAGTATTAGGGATAGAGACATCCAACTGTTCTAGGGCAGGAAACACCTGCACACAATGCCTTCTATTGTGCGTCAGTGTTTAACCAGTCAGTGTGTGGTTCTCACAGGAGAAGAAAGGAGAGTGATGATGGGCAAACCTCGAATCTCATGCAAGATTAACCATCAACAAGATCAGATAACTGTGGACTGTGAGTGTTTAAACAGATTCTCTGCAGCATGACAACCAGACAGAGCTGATATGATTCCCAGGGATAAAAATAATTACTTAATGGTAAATGGACTTGAGCTTGTATAGCTGAAAGCGCTTTTACACCACATGTCACACCTACACATCCACACACTTATGGTGGAGGCTGCTATGTAAAGTGACCATCAGTATGAATTAATCCCATTCATTCATATACATTCTTACGGCGCTGACATAGCAGCTGGAGCAATTTGGGGTTAAGTGTCTTGCCCAAGGACACATCGGACATGTGGCTGCAGGAGCTGGGGATTGAACCCCTGACCTTGAGAGAGTTGAGAGATGACTGACTCTACCACTGAGCCACAGCCGCCAGAACATTTAATCCCTTCTCGAATGATTAAACACACAGATTTAAGTTTAAACTCCCCTTCTAATTCTGATTGACTCTCAGTCAGCTTTCAATGCCACAGTTTTTAATCTTTGTTTCATCTATTCTATTATTTGTTGAACATCTAAATTTAGTTTTTCTCTAGTGATGCACCTTTGAGAAGCAGACAGACCTTGAACCTTCATAAAAAAGAAGAAAAATAGAGAAGGAGGAGTAGAAGGGAAAACTGCTCTTAAAATGTGATGAAAATGAATAAAGAAAATGAAAGAGACCTAGACTCTTGTCTATTGTGCCTATTTGGAAAGAATCACTACTGAGGACTAAGCTAACCCCTGAAACTGAAGAAAGCTAAGATCGTCTCTGAATTCTCGTCTTGAAAAGAAACAAAGATGGACAGCAGAACCGGAGAAACGAGGGCTTAAAGCAGGAAGCGGCCCCCAAAGCTGGATGGAGTGTTTTAGACTCTCAAAAAGGAAAGCTCATTAAGGTTACACATTCATACAAGCGTTGGATTTGAAGTATTTAACTTACATCCTCGTAGATGTTTCCATTACTCACCTTTTCTCTTCTACTTCTGTTTCCATGGACTCGAGCGCCTGACAGAGAAGACTGTGCAGGAGCTGGTGTCCATTAATCATCTCAAGCTCAAGCTTCTGCAGGAGAGAAAAAAAAACAACAGGAGGAGAGAGAACAAGATGAGATTTAAAAAACATATCTTTAACTAAACTCACATCACTGCAGCACATGAGACAAAATAGTCATATATTCTATATCACACTGAGTGATACTGATTTTCAAAACAAACTTTTTTAAACTAAGTAGCATGCACTATTTAGAACAGATGGCACTCGTACCTCCATATTCTGCTGCCATGATCATAATGATATGTTAAAAATGTTGTAGGAGCTATTTTGTTAATTGTTTTTTTTTTGCTTTTGTTTTTGGCTGTCCTTGAGGTGAACACCGGGGGGGGGGCAGTGGTCACCGTGTCAGGTGTGTCACTGTGAGGTCACACATCAGGAAGGGACGCAGGTTTTCTAACAGGAGAATGAAATGCGGCACAAAAATGTTTGTTCGTTTAGCGTGATCTTCAATTAAAATGAAGTGATCAGTGACCAGACATTAAACGTCCTTATTCCCTGCGTACGGACCAACTGGAGCGGGTCAATAGTGGTCGTTTGTTTTTTTGACAAAAAGCCACAGTTCACAAGCCGCTGATGAGGTCATTCATTCAGCTTCCTGATGCCCTGATTACAAAATATTTTGTGTTTAATATTATCAAATATAAATGTTTATTGTGTACAGTATGTAGTAACCTATTGGAGGGAAAGCCTTAACCAAAACTCTGCAGAAAAATGAACTCTGAAGTGAGAACAGCTGTTAAGTTTACTCTACTTCAACCCAACAGAGCAATGAGATAAAGTGTCATTTAGGTTTAAGTCATTCGAGTTTTATGCTTTTTTCTGTTTGCTCTGATGCAACAAACATAAAGCGCCTTGAATGAGTACTGCAGTAATGCAAACCAAAAAGCCATAAAGAAATGTGGCACCTGTGAGCTGATTAAATCTAAATGATGTGTTAAAATGAAATTAATGAAGAGAATCTAAAATGGTGATTTTGTACCTGATGATCAGAGAGCATCTCCTGGAGACTGGAGTAACTCTGAGGTGTTTTAGACATCAATTCTTCTTCAAGCTTTGTTTGGACGGACTTCAGGTTCTCACACTTCTCCTGAAAACTCAGAGAGCGCTGATGCTCAGCTTGGAGCTCTCTGGGGAAAAAAAAAAATACAATCTCTCATTATTACTGTACAAACTGGAAAAAACACAACAATCATGCTTTAAAAAGCTGCAGCTTGTACCTTTAACAAGTTAGCGTTAAAGGACGGTCAATGCAACGATTTTATTACATCATTACACGTTTGCTCAAGAACACTAGATGATTTTGAACACACCAAAATAAAAAAAGATTGGTCATATTGAGCATATTAAAACAACGTAAAACACCATGATGACACCCTTTCTCTGTGTGTCTGAACTTTCTCACCTGTTCATGTCAGACATGTGAGTCAGGCGTTCAACCCATTGCCTGCTGAGTGTGTGCAGTCTGTCCGTCTCCTTGTTGTTAAGGCTCACGTAGACACTCATCTCTTTGACGTCAACCAGCGGTGCAAACAGGTCACTGAGCTCAAAGAGAACCTGCTACCCATTGAGAAAGAAAACATTTTTTTTCAATTTGGGACCAATTTTGGTGACTTTAACACTTAAGCTTCAGGGACCTAGTTGGGCTCTACAGTTGTGACCTACAGCTCCCTCAATGTTCGGGTTCAGTGGATATGAATATAGTATATAACATTACCTTGGACTAAGATACTTAACCCCCAAATATTTGCATAGTTCTCTTCATTTTGGAAAATTGATGCCATCTATACTACCAACTATACTACCAGTAATCAAATTCTAAGGAAAGCATAGAAATGTGATGATATTAAGGAAAGTTCTGGAGTTTAAAGAAGGGTTTCTTTTGATATCTAGCTGTGAATGGATTTATTGACGAGGGCAGATAAAGTGTAATTCATGCCTAACCTAAAAAGAAAAAATGTATCAGATCTATGTGTTTCGTTCTATGAGTTTTGTTGAGTTATGACACATAGAACAGCTCATGCCTCACTTTTACACAAAAGTAAGTGTCATAAATTAAAGGTAAATTAAGTTGAAATCAGAAGGATTCTGTACTAACCTTCACTGAATCTGTGTTATTCAGGCTTTTGTTAAGTTTATCTTGAATTTCCTGCGTCTGCTTTTCGAAGGCCTCCAGACGAGCATGAAGTAGTTCCTGCTGCTCCAAATCCTCCTGCACGGACACGGAGAGATGTCATGATTATTTTCACCTTGATTTGTTTGGTCTGAACGCCAAGAAACAGTTTCACATTTAACTTCAATGGAATTTGCATCATCAAAAATGTCACTGATTGAATATGAGGATGACTGATAGTCGCCTCAGAGATGAGTTCAAGTGAAGCAACATTCCTGCCTTCAACATTTGTTCTCACCTGAAGATGTTTCTTTCTTCCTGAAATTGCCTGGCTCAGCAGCAGGATGTCACGTGACAGCAGTCTGGTCTCTGATTGGATAAAATTTGCAGCCAGAGGTTGTAGCCGTCCAATTACAGGCTTGGAAGCCGAAAGAACATCTCCCATGCCTCTTTGCAAATCTTCTGCAGCCTCCTGCAACTTCTGGTGTCAATGAACAGACAATAAACAGCCAGTTGGACGAAGTGATGAAAGATTGCAATCACTACATTTTTTAAATAGATTCATTGGGGTGGCTGTGGATCAGCGTCATGAAGATGTATCCTTGGGCAAGACACTTAACCCCAAGTTGCTATTAAGAATGCATATGAATGCGTATAAATGGGTTAGTTCATACTGATGGACACTTTACATAGTGGCCTCTGCCATCAGTGTGTGAATGGGGGTGAATGGGAAGGCGTGACCTGTGGTGTAAAGCACTTCGAGTAGTTCAAAGACAAGCTCAAGTCCATATACAGTTCTTACCATTTTCAATAAGTCCATTTTCTGTTTAACCATGAAATAAAGTTTTCCAAACTGTTTTTATCTTTGCACTAAGTAATTATCAGGATATAACGAGCTAGATTTTCATGCGGTTCCTGGTTTGTTTGGACTCAGATGTTCCAAAATACACTTTTCTGTCCACTTTTGTACAGGATGGAAATGGAAAATAAAATGACGTGAATGGAGTCGCAAAAAATGTGTTTTTCCACAAAAATGTGCAAAACAACACGTGATGTCGCATGTAGTCACTCCAGGTACAAGTAGTACACAAGAAATGAGATTCCATCCACTAAGAAGAGCATATCTGATATTTCTGCTCATGAGAGCACGCAGTCTGTTCTTTTCCAAGAATAAAGAGACTCGGCTCTTTGAAAATTAAATAGTGAATGTAAGGCAAAGAGTCTCTGAATGAGCTGAGATGAGACAAGCTGGGAACGATGGAAGCTGCATAAAAAAGTAATCATGTTTTTCAAACTAGTTCTGTTTGCATGTGCTTGTTTCTCAACTCAGTTGGGAGTTCATTAAAATCCGATATTGTCGAGCCTGTTCAAATTCTTACAATCTCAACACATTGTGCCAGATTCACCACATGTAACATTATTCAGTTTATTCACCGAGCTGATAGAGTGAGCTGTGACTACATAAGCAACGGCTTTCTTCAGCTTAAGCCACATGAGTCTCACTCAATCCTTTCTTGTGTGAAGTCAAGTTCTTACAAATGTCCTCAACAGTAATGACACTTTTTAACCACATAGAAACAAACCACCAACTTAGAGATTCTTCTGCGTTCTAAAAGCTCCTGTGAGGAACTTTTGGTATTTGTGGATTCTGGCGCCCCCTGTGGAAAAATCTGCACGTCTTTTTTTTCTTCGCTAATCTAGTCCTGCACATGTTAAAGTAGTGGGTTTTTTTAAAATCAAAAAGCCTGATGTTGCTTCAACAAATCACATCGTTGAGATTTCCATAACCATCAGTTTCTGCTTCACACCGACACAAGAATCTGATCTGTGGACTGTACTGACCTGGACGATCATTGGCTTTCATGAGGGTGTTTTGGCTTCACTTGTGTAATGACATGAGATGGAGACGCTGTCCATATGTACAGTTGCAGGAAAAAGTATGTGAACTCTTTGGAATTTCCTAGTTTTCTGATTAAATTGGTCATAAAATGTGTTCTGATCTTCATGTAAGTCTCAACAATAGACAAACACAGTCTGCTTAAACTAATACCACACAAACAATTATATGTTTTAATGTTTTTGTTGAACACAACATGTAAACAGTCACAGTGCAGGGTGGAAAAAGTATGTGAACCCTTGGATTTAATAACTGGTTGACCCTCCTTTGGCAGCAATAACCTCAACCAAACGTTTCCTGTAAATGCAGATCAGACTTGCACAACGGTCAGGAGGAATTTTGGACCATTCCTCTTTACAAAACTTTTTCAGTTCAGCAATATTCTCGGGATGTCTGGTGTGAATCGCTCTCTTGTTGTCATGCCACAGCAGCTCTATCGGGTTGAGGTCAGGACTCTGACTGGGCCACTCCAGAAGGCGTATTTTCTTCTGTTGAAGCCATTCTGTTGTTGATTTACTTCTGTGCTTTGGGTCGTTGTCCTGTTGCATCACCCATCTTCTGTTGAGCTTCAGTTGGTGGACAGATGGTCTTAAGTTTTCCTGCAAAATGTCTTGATAAAGTTGGGAATTCATTTTTCCGTAGATGATAGAAATCTGTCCAGGCCCTGATGCAGCAAAGCAGCCCCAAACCCTGATGCCCCCTCCACCATACTTCACAGTTGGGATGAGGTTTTGATGTTGGTGTGCTGTGCCTTTTTTTCTCCACACATAGTGTTCCTTCCAAACAACTCAACTTTGGTTTCATCTGTCCACAGGATGTTTTGCCAGTAGTGCTGTGGAACATCCAGGTCCTCCTTCTGCAAACATCAAGCGTGCAGCAATGTTTTTCTTGGACAGCAGTGGCTTTCCCCGTGGTGTCCTCACCATGAACTCCATTCTTGTTTAGTGTTTTACGTATCGTAGATTCGTCAACAGAGATGTTAACATGTGCCAGAGATTTGTGTAAGTCTTTAGCTGACACTCTAGGATTCTGCAGTCATCTTTACAGGACGGCCACTTCTAGGGAGAGTAGCAGCAGTGCTGAACTTTCTCCATTTATAGACAATTAGACGAGGCTTTTAGAGATTCTTTTGTAACCCTTTCCAGCTTTATGCAAGTCAACCATTCTTAATCGTAGGTCTTCTGAGAGCTCTTTTGTGCGAGGCATGGTTCACATCAGTCAATGCTTCTTGAGCGTAGCAAACTCAAAACTGAAGTGTGTTTTTTATAGGGCAGGGCAGCTTCAACCAACATCTCCAATCTCGTCTCATTGATTGGACTCCAGGTTGGCTGACTCCTGACTCCAATTAGTTCTGTGAGAAGTCATTAGCCTAGGGGTTCACATACTTTTTCCACCCTGCACTGTGAATGTTTACATGTTGTGTTCAATAAAAACATGAAAGCATATAATTGCTTGTGTGGTATTAGTTTAAGCAGACTGTGTTTGTCTATTGTTGAGACTTACATGTAGATCAGAACACATTTTATGACCAATTTAATCAGAAAACTAAGAAATTCCAAAGGGTTCACATACTTTTTCCTGCAACTGTATACACTGTTTATGGTCTTTATACATGCAGTCTAATCTAAACACTTAATTATTTAAATTGTTAATTGTTAGTGTTTGATTTTTTCTTTCCATAGTAAGGATGTAAGGATGAACCATAGCTTGACATTCCAGTTTGTGCCAACAGCTAGAAAACAGCTGATAGAAAATTGGAGTCATAACCCTCATGATTTTGGTTTACACACTCACACCTGACTGCTGAACCAATCCTCCTTTAACACCCTGAACTCACCTCCACTGACTGAACCACATCCTGAGTGTCCTGTTGAGGGGACGACGACAGAAGCTCCTCACACTGAGTCTTCACTCTCTGCAGGCTCAGGACGCTCTGGTCAGAGAGCTGAGTGTACTCCTGCCAGAGGGAGAGTGTCTCTGCAGCCTTCATGTGCTCATCCTTTAGATCCTGCAACGCGTCCTTCCACCTGATGCAAGCAGAACACAGCAGTACTGGAAAACTCTGTCATGTGTGTATTCAGACAGTGAGGCTAAAACTGTGTGGTAAACTGGAGTACATTAGAAGAATAAGAAGATGTGATTATTTAATCCAGCAAAGGGAAATTCAATTTTACACTGTTATTAAGACATGCTACAGACACACACACACACACACACACACACACACACACACACACGCACAAACAGGATCCTTTGGACATGCACTAATGGGGGGACATCCCTCCAGGATGGGAGGTTATTTCTGTCTTTTTTAAACCTTTTTATCACAATATTTTTTGTATTTTAAGGCCTTTCTTTGCTCAATGTCATATTTCTGTGAATGCTCTGAGTGTTCCAGTTGTTCTGTTTTTATTTCTGCAGAGCACTTTCAAAGAGTTTCCACTGTGCAGAATACTTATATCTTCGTGCCACTGACCTTTTTCTCTCTCTTTCCATCTGATCACTCAGACCCTGAGCTGCTACATGATGTAGATTCTTCACCAGACCCCGGTAGGATTTGTCCAGGGACATCCAAATCTCTCCCTCTATTTCAGCCTTTTCTTGAAATTGCTGTGGGGGAAAAAAACAACAACAACCTTTTATTGGTTTTCTTCAGAGAGGTGCACATACTTTCCTTCATTGTAAGTACCGTGACTGTCAAATACTGAGAGCTTCAAGTCCATGAAGGCTGGTACCTCAATGAATCTGTCAAAACTAGATGGACAGGCTTTCAACTTCATACAATTACAACTGGCTATTTCAGAGGAAAAAAAAATTAAACTGCAGCTTAAATCTGTCAAGCCTTTAAGACTTTTCTTAACATGCCGGAGGCTTGAAGTGGTAAAAAAGCACCCGAGTGATTGTGCAGATTATTATGATAGAATGTGGCCTTTATGTGACATGACAAGTCAGAGCTTTTTTTTTGTCTCTCACCTGGAGGACGTCCTTGTCTCCTTCTGCCTGCTTGAGCGAGAACAGAGGAGCTCGCTGATGCTGCAGAAAACAGCGCGTCCTAGTGGTGTGCAGAGACGCCTCCCTCAGATCGCTCTCGAAGCGTCCCCACTCCTCCACAGTCTGTCGCAGAGCTGGTGTCAGAGCTTCAATCTGCAAAATGAGCACAAAGACAGATAGCATGTTATTCGGTAGAAGGGATGTCAGGACACCAGAATTTAAAACTTTGATTCAGCACTTACGAAATCAAACGATATTGATAACTATTTTTAAACCATGGCAACAAAAGTAGAAGTCCTGGGCATTCACTTTTGTGTTTTTAATGACCCAAAAACCAAAAGAATACTTCAACACACTGTCTAAATAGCACAATTGAATCAGAATATTTATGGAATGTATTTGTGCAATGTAGACAGTGACCTCAGTTGTCCACATAATAGGGGAATGACCCACTTCAAACATGTCATCTCAATTATCACTTACAGTATAATGTCGTCTAAATTGACCTGTGAATTTTAATGAACCACCGCTGCTCTCTCTCTTTCACTCATGGCAGTTTTGGGGGGAAAATATGACTGAAGAGCTGTAGTGTTTTGGTACTTTTTGATACCATTGGTCTTAATAATTATAGAGATGTTATGGTGGTATTGAAGAGTATCACAGTATTGAACTTTTTGACAACCTTATTAAGTAATAGTGTTTCCTCCAGTATAGTTTGGAGGACTCACTCATTCATTTGAGAGTATCAGGTTGCCTTTTTTGAAAATATATAGCAGTGACTTTTACCCAGATTTGTTTAACAAGCAAACAAACATTGGCTTAAAACAACAAAATGTTTTGTACCTGTTTACCCAGATCATCACAATCCTCACAAACTCTCTCTGTCTGGCCAGAGAAGATTACATCACAGGTGTGTTCTTCATCCTTTCCATCACACACTCGTGTCAGTTTCAACTTCTGCAGAGCTGCAGTCACTTTCTTCACTCGGCCCTTAACATCCTGGGAGACAAAGTAGTCTCAGATTAGGCAGAATGAGCAAGCGAGATGATTTAGACAAAAGCACCAGTTTTTCATCCTGTCACCGTACCTCAGACGCCTGCAGAGCCTTACGCGCCACACTTTGACCACTCGGCTGTTTCCAGTGATCTAGCTGCTTTTTCTGCCGTCTTGTCCAGTTCTTAAGATGCTGTAAACGCCTTTCTCTGTCTGCACACGTGTGATGTATCTGTTCGGCTCCTCGAATCTGAGGAGGGGGCGGAGACAAACAGTCGTTGATTCAAGGCAGAAATGCAATCTTCATCTTTTTAGTTATTTTGACGAGTCCTGCAGCTGTTTCCACTGTTGTTGTCATGAACTGAATTATCTTTGTGGTTTCACAGGCTGGTTCAAATGTTCATAAACTTTTAACCGATATGTCTACTCATAATCATCTTTGAGCCCTTCGTGGTAGAGACATTTTGATTTCTCTTCGATTCTTTGAGTTTGAATTTGAAAAGTTGTTTGCCTCAAGATCTAAGCCACCCAGGAGAACATTTTTTTTTTTGCTACATCAGCTCTCTTTCACAACAAGTCCTACTAACATTTTGCATATTTGCTTGTTGCAAACTTTGCTCCAACTGTACACAAATGCCCTGGTAACCTTGTTTTGATAGATATTTTAGACCAGAGACCTCAGGAGAAGGATGCATTTGGAATCGCTTCACTGTTGATTCTGCAGCTCATGTACTCGAACTACATAGTAAACACACCTGGCTCTCCAGCTCTCTCTGAACGTGAAGCCACTTCAGTCTGAGGGCGCCGAGGTCCTCTGCAAACGTTGTACGCTTAAAGTGGAGAGCATGGACGTCCGGTTCAACAACATGAGGCCCAGACTGGCACAAGAAATCGAGGAGGAGCTGCCCGTTGACCACGCCTGCCTTTAACTCCTGAGAAGGAAACGTTCATATTCAGAGAATACAGAAAGTTATACAGAGAGTTACATATGAAAAACAAGCCCACATCATCCAGCTGTGATATTATACAGGTACCTCTGCTGTGCTGCTGAATTTGCTTACATGTACACAGTGTTGAAAGCATACTTTATTTATTCCTCACTGTTCTTGAAGTCTGAAAATCATTCACATTTAAATGAGAGTAACAGCTATAAGCTTTTACTTCATCTTTGCCCATTAAGAGAATATTATTGAGGAGTTTTAAGCTGGTAGGGAAACTGACTAATTAACACTGATGCCTTAATAATGTCTTTAACCGCTGCCACAGGGTCACAATCAGACGAGAAAATTGCCGAAACAGCCTTTATTTGCATTTAAAATGATAAAGATATACGATCAGGTTATAGGTTATACCAGTTGTAAGTAAGACTATGGGGGGGAAACGGTTTTTATTTACATACTTTCTAAAGCGGAGTATGGTTGAGTTGTTTTTTCTTTTCTGAGTGAAAAAGGTCAGACACATGAGAGAAACAGCTAAGGCCAGTAGGATCTCTTAGTGTGAATTGGCGCTATTGTGACGACCCTGCTGGTTGCTTGTTTTGCTGGTTGTGCTGTCTGTGTGTTTCAGATGCTCAGCAGTGTTGAGAACACCTGGGACGGGTGTTCCCAATCCATAAGAGCAGGCCTCACTTCCTCATTGTTGGGAAGAAAGAGAGACAGAGAGAGAGAGGCTGCTCCCCGATTTAGCCATGCTCCTCTTTCCTTTTGTATGATTTTAAACACTCATACCTTTGCTCATGCATACACTTTAACACTACTGATTGAATGACTTCCACATCTCATGTTTGTTGAACTCACTAATTAACTTAAATAAATGTAACATATTGGAGTAACTCCTTGTCTCCTCCCGCCATTTGTCACTGGCTTTGAGCCGGCTGTATACAAATAAAGATTGATGTTACAGACTTAAGCTAATTCACTAAACGTCTTTAAAGTTAGCACAGCGTGTAATGTTGAAATACAATCATTATCATTGGAATAAACACTCAAATTAACCAGTTCTTTACAGAAACTTAGAGAAACAGTGTACGTTTGAGTTACCTGGTAGTGCTGCAGGTGTTCAGTGATGTGAGCAGCGTCTTCGGCCTTGAGGACAGCGTCTGTCTCCTGGTTCAGTCGAGCCTCCTGCGTCCTCAGCCAGTCCTCCAGCTCACACAGCAGCCTCAGAGGAGGCCAAACTGTCAGCAGGCGCTAACGGACAGGAAGGAGGTTTTAAAATTCTAATTCTATGCTTGCTCTTTTTAATAGTTTAATTAATTCTGTGAGTTAGCCATCTGCTAACTCTCAGTTGGATTACAGACATCTGGTCCCGTCTAAATGAATGAACCTTTCTTTGGTTGATAACATCGTGACATCATCTCCTCTGGTGATTGACAACGTCTTAGATATAGAAATGAACTTTCTGCAAGACAGACCTGGCAGGAAAGTTTTAATTAATATAATTTAGGATCTGCGGTTCCATTCACTGGTGATGAACGGCGGTGGGGGAAAATAAAAAAAAATGACCTTCAACTCCTGAATTCCTGAAGTCTTTAATCACCCCAAAGCTGATACAGCACAAAGACTCCCCCTTTAGGAGGAGTGGGAGGGGATTTCTCCAAGGCTGAGTATTTTTTGAATAGAAAAAGGCTTTTCAATGGATTTGGATTTAGTGATATGTCCAGTTAGCATTTCGTCTCTGTTGAAAAGACGTTTAAAAGATGTCTCGGGCAGCCGTTGAAATTATGTTCAGTTCAGACCAGAATTCACCGGGAAATCTGCTCTTGTGTCAAGATTGGTCACACGTTCCCACACATGTTAACGCCAATTCTCAAATCCAATCTCATAAATATTGCTGATAAAATGATTGCATTGACTGTTCAGGGCATCGCCGTCACTGACCACAAAAGATTTCATGGGTAGGGTGGGATTTGATCACCAGATGCCTGCATACAAGCTCACCGCTAACCAACATCTCCCTTCACCTACAAGCCGTTAGGTTAAGATCAACTAGGTCTGCACCCAGATCTAGAAAGTTTGGATCATCATGCCGTGGTACGCATCAGTGCATCTGTATTTATAAACTGATGCCCTGTGAAATCTCTCTGTGAGTACTGTACCTGCTGCAGGCGGTCTTGTATCTTCGACAGGTCAGAGGTCAGCTGGCTCCAGCTTGAATCCAGCTGGCTGAGCTGAGCTCTCAGCCCGGGACAGTCGGCTTCTCTCAGGTGGAGCAGCTGAGAGGCGTCCCGGGATACAGACGCCCTCTGCACTGACTGGGACTCGACCTCCATGGAGAAGTCCTGAGGGGGGGTTTGTGAGGAGAAGCAGTGTCAGAAAATGAATCAGTTATGTGTGATTAATACTTTAAAGAGGTGATTGAGATTCATGTCACACAACGACCTGTTTCAATAACAATATTAAACTGAATATCTTCTGTTTAAAACATTTAGATTTTAATTATGAGCAACAGGAGTGCGTTGTTGTTCCGAAGCAGACAGATCTTATTTACTCGGCTAAAATGAAACTTCTAATATTATTTGATTTTGTTCTGGTTGTTCCGGTCTTTTCTGGAGATTCATGCTGTGTTATGAGATTCAAATAAATACCAATAAATAAATAAATAAATGAAGCAGGTTTTTTTTTTCAGAGCGAAAAGTCCGTCCAGTCATGGAGAGTAGAGATGTGGATCGAGCCTACGTACCAACATTTGACTTGATCTGAATCCAAAAACTAAGATCTGATTCAGAGACTATTTCTGAGAATATTGACCCATTCAAGGGATTTTTTTTAACACATTTTTTTGTTTCATTTTACTTAATTAATCCAGAGGGGGAAATTGTGGTTTACACTCTGAGAGACATGCTTCTCACACACTTGCTCAAACAGGAGCCTGTGGACCTGCATTAATGGAGAGATGTCAGAGTGAGGGGGCTGCACATGAAACAGCTCAGGAGGTGACTTAGCAACTCTCCAGCAACCAGACCAACTTCCTTCCTCTGGTCCACATTGGGACTTGAACCAGCAACCCTCCGATTCCCAACCAAAGTCCCTACAGACCGAGCCACTGACCCCATTTCATTCAATGTGATCAGATCATTTAATCCAGCGTTTTTATTTTATTTCACGGAAGTGAGAAAAGAAAGGTAAACCAAATGTGTGATTTTTAAATTATCCCTGTGCTTCTTACATTTCCAACTCTAGTCCGACTGCACAAACCAGAGGCACAAGTTAGAGCTAATTCAACTTTGAAAAGAGATGTAAAAAACCAACATGTGTGCACAGTTGTCATGTGTCTGCTGAGGAGAACAAAGACCGTGTTCTTGTGTTAATACCACACAAATGGAAACAGGAGCCGTCCTCACAATATGATTTATAAATGTTCTAAGAAGACTTGAAGCGTTACCAGCAGCTCGATCAGATTGCTGTGAACACACTCGGCGCTCAGCTCAGAGGTGTCGGCCAGGTTTGACCAATTCTTCAGACGTTTGTTGGCACCGACCAGCCAATCGCTGACCGAAGTAAAATCTGTGTGGAATCTGTGAGGAGGAGGAAAGAAACCATAGAAATTAGACTAATATAATAAGAAAAATGTACTAAGTAGGGTATGAGTTTTTGCAGTGTTCCTCGTTTAAGGGATGGATCAAATTGCCGGGAAGGTTCATTATCCGCCTCCTTTTTGTTTGTTTATTGCAGTCAGTCTTACCTGGTCCGGCTGTCCTGGATGTCCATGCAGCGTTGAATCTCCTGCTCTGTCCACCTGTAGGCGCTCTGCCATCGCTGCTCAAGGGCGCTCCCCGTGTGACTGACCGCGGCGATGAGCGTTGGCTCCATCTGCAGCAGCTTCCTCTGATCCAGGAGCAGTCCTAAAGCAGCTCTGCTCTCATCCAGCTGGACCAGTGTTTGCTGAGAGGAAAGGTTGGAGAAGAGACGGTGCTTTTTCTGGCTTTCATACAGTTTTTATTAGAAATTCTATTAAAACAAAAGACAATCTGACATAAGGGGCAGAAAATTGTGGCAAAATTGCATCTGTGAAATGTAAAAAAGGTTAAATTACAGAGAGGACAAATCAGCTAGAGAGTTAGATACCACTGATTATGCTCTTTGAATAACCCCACTGCTATGGTAACGGGTCTTTTTTTTTTTCTCTGGACAAACACATCGTATCTGATCCCTGCCCTGAAAATATAAAAACAACCAAAAGAAAAGAGTGGAGTCAGTCAGAAATAAAAGGGTCAGATGAAGAGGTGACCTCATATAGTCGAGTACTCGACGATTCATTCGTCAGAGTCGACTGCCAATCTCATCGTCGAGCACAAGGATCACTGCATTCCAGCTGTATTGGGTTTTTTATGTCTAAGTTTACTTTTTCTCTCTCTGAGCCAAACAGAGAGACTAATGCACGCTTTCATCACTAGCAGGCTGGACTATTGTAACGCTCTCCTTTCTGGTCTTCCCAAAAACACAACCAATCGGCTACAGCTACTACAAAACTCTGCCGCACGAGTACTGACAAAGACCAGAAGGAGAGCACGCATCACACCTGTTTTAAAATCTTTACACTGCCTGTTAGTTTTCGTGTTGATTTTAAAATTCTTTCATTAGTTTATAAAGCATTACATGACCTTGCACCAGACTACCTATCAGATATGATTTTAGTTTATGAACCAGTACGGCCCCCTCAGATCCTCCAGCTCCTCTCTCTTAGTTGTTCCGCAGAGCAGAACAAAAACCTTTGGTGATGCTGTTTTCAGCTGTTACGCTCCGAGACTGTGGAACGACCTTCCTGAGGGTCTGAGAGGAGCCCAGAATATCAAGATTTTTAAACGCAGTCTGAAAACTAATTTATTCAGTCTGGCTTTTATATAGTGCTTTATATAAATTCAAATCTTAACATTATTTATCCCACTACAATTTTAAATATTCTTCTCCTATGTATTAATTTTAATATCTTTTTGCTTTTATGTGTTGTATTTTATTTTTTCATTTTTTATACACATTTCTTAATTATTACTGGTGTGCATTAGTCTCTCAATGACTTTTAACAATGATTTTATAAACTACTTTTTTTGTCAATAACTTTTCTGCACTCTTGTAAAGCACTTTGAACTGCAATTTAATTTGTCTTAAAAGGTGCTGTATAAATAAAGTTTGATTGATTGATTGATTGATTGACATAGACTTGCCAAATAATTCATGGCTCATAATTCATACTTTAAATGCAGTTCTGAAAACCACTCGTACATTAAATCAATCTCTTTAGTGAGTGCAGAAATCGCTCTGAACACATGTTTTAATGACAATATCTATAAAGTTCCTGTCTGAGATGAATTATAATCACATTCTCAAGATATTATAATGTGTTTTACTTTATTAAGCAAGACTTTTGCCATGTCGTCATCTATCATGACACATTCAATTCAAACCTTTTATTTTTATTTTTGAAAGGACATGGAGGTGTTCCTTTATTGCACATGAGGATCACAAGAAGCTCATTAAAGCTGGGGCAGAGACGTCACTCCCTCCACATACTCTGCAGCACCATTTAAACATGTAAACTAAGTTAAGAGGCAAGTTGACTGGAAAGAGTAAATGTTATGATACAAAAAGAAAATCTTGTTTATTGGGTGTCTGAGTGATTTAAAGAGATCTGGGTAAAATCAGAGTGAGATGAGTGGAACAAATTCTGATGAGGCAGCAAACACTGAATGATGTGTGTGTGTAGTGTTGGAGGTGTTGTCACCTGGCAGAGATGTGAACGATCCTTTACTAACTCCTCATCGTCTCCCTCCGGTTCCTCGCTGCTGATGAAGGCTTCGACATCGTCCAGCAGCCTTCCAAGCCGACCGCAATTATCCTCCCAGCGGTTCCACTCCTGCAGCATGCACACATCCACAAACATAACATTTGAGTAAATAACATTTGATTTGTGAGCACAAACACAGAACACAAGGAATTATTCCAGCAGAGACCCCACTTCTTGTTTATGTATGAACTTTTTATGGCCCTCAGCAAATGTGCACTACAAACCTGGAGTCTCCTTTGAGAAGCCGCTTCCAGTCCCAGAGCCTGTTGCTGCAAAGCTTTGGCTCGGACCTCCAGCTGGACCCGCTCATCCTCCTGACATTCGAGCGCTTCTGGCTCACGCTGGAACAGATGCTGAACAAAAGCCAACTGAGATCTGAGGACCTGCAGGAGCTTCTGGATCGACAAGAGACAAGATTCATGACAGAAGGGAAGGGAAATTATTGCAAAGTAAGCCTGAGAAATGAAGCCAGAGACTCTGAATGTAAACCGAGGCCAAAACATCTCTGTTTTAACAAAAAGAGAAACACAAAAATCAAGCACAAGCTGTCGTTTCAGGTTGTTTTAGCACTGAATATCCCTTTGATATCTATCATGAGGCTTTCTCTACACCTTTGGGATAGTGCCTAAGCATAAATCTGGTCTCCCCCTGCCTGTTGAACAACTTGTTGAAAGCACAGTGAGACCTTGTGTCTGCAGAGAACGGCTTGAAGTTGGCAGCGGTTATGGACCTGGTTCATCTGCCTCTCTGTGAAGCATTCTTCACCCAGCTCCAAGAGACGAGTCGTCCCCTGAAGCAAGGACCGGGAAGCCTGCTGTAGCTTGACTTTTTCCCCTGGACCCTCCCTCAGATGTCTGCCCAGCACACACAGCTGAAAGTTTAAAGGACATGTGTTTAAACTTTTGAAATGCAGATATTTATACCTAACTTTATCATTTAAACCTCATCAAGTGTTTTTCTGCTAAAGAGGAAGCCTTTGTATTGTCTTTCAGTTTTCTAAATGACCTCTGAAATGTTCATTATATCATCATAATCAGAAAAATAACAATGAAGCACTTATAGCCATTGCTCTTTGGACCAATTAAGCCTTTCTTAATCGTCCCATCTTTGTTCTTAGAGAACATTAATCATCATTAACACATTTTTTCTTGGACTTTTTTCATCAGTGAACATAAGCAAACAAAAAGCAGCCGAGCACTCGTTACCTCCAAACTGGGAGCTTCCTTTATGCTGGGGAAAATCTCTCTTTTCCCCTGTTCAAACTCGTCCAGAAGACATGGCCTGTTGGACGGGAGCTCCTAAGAGACAAAAAGTACCGATGGGTTTTCTCAGAGTGGGGGGAGAAGAAGTATTCAGACTAAAGTTAAAGTACCACAAAGTAAAAAATGATCTATTTCAAGTCCAAGACTGAAAATCAAATGTTTGTGTAAAAGTTAAGAAATTAAGTTGCACATTTCATAAGGGGTGGAGCCAGACTGAGTGGCTAAACTGGGGCACTGACCTCTGCAGGAGTTGCATGACTTCAACTCCTAACATTGAAAAAACTTAAAGATTTTACATTCCTGTGTATATCTCGTGACTTTAAAAAGTAACCCAATGCAGTGGTAACTAAATATTCACAGCTCACGTCTTTAAGACTCAAAATGAAAACGTACATCTAAGTCAAAACAAACAAATATCCAACGTCACGATCTAAAGAACCATCAAAGAAAAATGTGTTACTTTGAAATGCAAAGAAAGTTATAGCAAAACTCGACTCTAGAACACAATGAGCTGATTGTATCATTAGTCCCGCCTCTGAAAAGGTAAATAGCCAATCATAGTTAAGAACTGTGGGGCGGCTCTTCGGAGAGATCAATAATGGGTCCCTCAAACTCTGCCCTCAGCCCTGATTTTCACAATACTATTAGATACTGTAAGAAATGAATCCTTGATCCTAGAAAACACCAAACCGTGTGACTGATCTGTATCCCATACCTGATGTTGGTGTGCCATGCCCAAATGTTGAAGGAGCTGATTGCGGGATGAGGTGGAGATCAGCTGGACTGTCTGTAGACCATCCTGAAGGGAGGTCAAACACTGGAGAGCTTCTGGTTCTTCACTGGAAAGCATCGGTTCGGTGTCTGACTCCACTTTACTCAACAGTTCAGACACAGTCACCATCTCAGCTGAGACGCACTATGAGGGAAAAAAGGACAGAGCCACAAAAACAAGAACACTGAAGAGTATTTTTTAAATTGATGTCCTAATCAAAAGTGTAAATGAATAAAAGTTTGAAAAGTAAATAAGATATTTTTCTATAATCTTTAGTAAAATAGATTTTACACAAAAGGCAGTACAGTTGGATATGATGTGTGTGTGTGTGTGTGTGTGTGTGTGTGTGTGTGTGTGAGTAGCATCATGGTCAGTCACCTCCTGCTGTATCAGCCTCAGCTGGTCGTCATCTTCCTCAGAGCCACAGGGCGTCAACAGAAAGTCGGTCAAATCGCTCAGACTGAGGAGGACCTTCCGCACCGCATCGTACAACTCCTCACTTACACCTGGATGTGAGCCGTCTGCAGAGCTCACCTGGGAAAAGAAACATTTACAATTACAGACCGTACTACCCATTACTAAACCCATACAACCAAATATCTACTTAGATGTGTCTACACAAGAAACTGTATTTAAGACGGGTCACCAATCTCTGCTCCTGAACAGTAGTGATTCTAACGAGGCAGATTTAACCTCTGGTACAATTCTACTTACTATTTGTCTCAGCACGGAGGAGGACTCATTAATCCCATGGAGAACAGAAGAAGCAGATCCGGATGACAACATTTCTTTTTCTGGATCCTGAATTTTAAAAATAAAAATTGTTCTCAGTGGTAGTTTGGATTCACAGTGAGGAAAACATGCAAGGAGTTCAAAGTAGAGCCCGACAGATTAATCAGCCAGCCGATAATGTCGGCCGATATTATCATATCTAGTGACTATCGGTACCAACATTTCTAATCGGTCGGGCCCTTGTTAAAAGAACTTCTGCAGTCCCTTTTTCTCTTTTCAGGATAAATACATGTTCACTTGTAGTGTCATTGAAAGGAGGACAATAATCAGTCTTATTGTTGTCAAAGATTTAATGGCTACTGCAGTCAAAGAAACTGAAAAGTTTGCAACAGTCTTGCTTCTAATTTAGAGCTGATAGCGAGTCGCACACTTAAAGAATACTCTCTTCTTTTTTTACTCTATTTTATTCTTTTTGTTTATTGTTTTGCTAAAAAAAACAAAGGACTTTCTAACTCTCAAAGTGGGAGGAAAACAAAGGACCGAATCATGCCTTTACCAAACTAAGTGATTGTTGAACGTTAAGCCTGACTGTTGCCATGGAAACAGATGTAATGATGGTGTTGCTTTCCCTGTGTCTACTTCTTGGAAATCATTTTGCGTCAGTCTATCAGGTCCCTCCTGACCCTCGTGACCCGTTGTGCTCAGCTTGAGAAGATCTGATTCATCGCTCCCTCAAGGTGATCACGTGTCTGTATTTTCCTCCTACCTTTTCATGAGTCGCTCCGTCCTTTGAGCTGAGGAGCTCCTGAGGCTCCTCCTTCACTTTTTTCAGAGTGCTCACTTTTTGAGAGATCTGGGTGTAGAGTTGACTCCACCTCAGCTGCTCCGTGTCCTTTTCTTCCCGTCCAGCCGAGCTATGGACCGAAAGACACACATGCACATTAAAACACATGTCGGTTAATTCTCAACTCCTATGGCACCTTTCTCTATTTTTTTGTACCTGATCTGCAACTCAGGGGACTTCTCGGCTTGTATGGATTCCTCCACAAACCCACTCTGACTGATGCCATCTTTCTGTTGCTTCTTCAACACATTCAGAGAACCCTGAAAATTGAAGAAGAAATGCTGAAAATAAAGTTTTTTGTAGTGTAGTGTGTGTGTCTATCATGCACTGCATTGACTGCATTCATTCACAGGGTTTTTATTAATGTGCATTTATCACCACACAGGTACTGTAACTAAATCAGTCTTGGCTTCAAAGCTGGACGTCACCGACAGGTTAATATGTCTGATGAATGTTGGAAAAGTCTTCTGAAAACTTATTAGACTGCCTCCCAACAGGCTACTGTAAGTAATGTAACTGCACAACCCCCTTTTGTAGCATGCATATAAATACTGAGGATTTAAAATGATACATTTTGCCTAAAAAAAAGGAAGAAAATGGTGATATTGAGTAGAAAAAAAACTTTGAGAAATGTTCAATTTACTGGAAACATGACTCACTGCAGACTATTTGTGCTCCCTGTACCAGCACAGACTTTTCTCTGTTAATGTTCTCAACCATCCTCTGATTAAAGAATTCTAAAATAAATTAGAAAAGTACTCTGAAGCGGTCTGTTTTCTTTCTCAGATACGTACCAGGTCTAAAGACTGGTCTTTGTCTTCCTCTGCTGTAGATCTCTCTGAAGCTCTTGCGTCAGTGGATGGAGTTACAGGAATCAGTCCTCTGTCTTCCACTGCAGCTGCTGCCTGATGTGGTTCTGTTTGAGGGTCTGTGCTGAGGGTTTCTTGTTGTGGTGATCCTTGTCGGTCCACTGTAGTCGCAGCAGTAACCTCATCTTCGGCCGCCGCAGTGTCAGGACCAAACGCTTCCCCAACATCAGCTTTGTACTCCATCGTCATCAATGTAGCGTCTATACGTCCCGAGAGAGAGTCTTTTGAATCCAGCTCAGGCTTCACAGATATTGTCTCCGTGTCTTCTGAACTCATCTTTACATCAGTAGAAACGTCACCAGGCAAACTCTCCAGTTTCTGAGAGGCAATAAAAAATAAGAACCGATAAGACGACATTTAATTTGAGATTATCAGTTTATGGAAGAGACAGTGAAAAGCGAAGGGAGGACGTTAAATCGGTTACTTTGTTCGCATAATTACTGTAACTCCCATATCATTTATCAGAACAGGTTTGTTTACATTTGGAAATAAAGAAGTTCTTCTAAACACACAAAAAACAAACGTGAAAAACATCATAAATTCTTCTCTAACAGTTTTTAATCTCTGAAATCAAATATATAATTTTACCTTAACTTCTGATGTTGGCTCCCTTTCATCGATATCCTGACTTTGCACATCTAAAGCGTCGAGCATGTCCTCTGGGTCCTAACACACATATTTAGACACAAATATAAATGAAATCCATGCACACACACACACACACACACACACACACACACACACATGCGTTCATGCCATTCTCATGTGTGTGTGTTTCTCCTTGTGTACGTGCGTCAGACGGCAGCTTTCTAAGGAGCAACATGTTTCTAGCAGCTGCCTCTGACAGTGTCAGAGTGGATTCATGAGGAAATAAGACAGCCTGTGTGACACGGCTCAGTTTCAAACATGCAAAGATGTTGCTGAAATCCTCAAAACCCCAGAAAAAAAATTAAAGCAATTAAAACATGAAGAAAGGAGGGAAAGAGGAGAAGAAGCCCCGGAAATGTTGACTTTCACTCCAAAATACAGGGACGAGTTATGACACTGTCAGGTTTGACATTTTGTAATGAAACCCAAACCAAAGAGGTGCCCAGAAACGTGCTCTCCTGAGCTGTGATTGGGTTTCAGATTTACCTCTGGTATGCTGCATGTTAGTGTATCAGAGGACGACGAGTGACAACTCTTGTTCTCCTCATCCTCCTCTTCCTCTGACACCTCAGCAGCCTCCTGCTTTCAGTGGTGAGGGTGCATGATTGGATTAAAATTTCAAGGACGTTAAAGTTGTCTCACCAGTTTCTTGATTATTTTAAAAATAACCTGTTGTTCATTGTTCGTTATTCTGGTAGGTTCATTCAAAACAGTTGAATCATTTCATTTCTCCGTGCAGAAGAAGTTGCTTTAAGTGAGCTAAACAAAGTTCAGTTTTTATCTTTGCTCAACATTCAGGAAGAAGTTTGCAGCCATTGGGCATGATGTAGATCAAGGTGGGTAGGAACTATACAAGGTCAGAATTACCTCCCTCATCCCAAAAAATCCCTAACAACGGACATTGTTTCAGAAAACAGAACCCTACCAGGAAAGATTAAACCACTTCCTGGTAGTTTACAGTCAGCCAGTCGACGTCCTTGAAGAATTCAGGGATTGAACTGATGTTCCTTATTCAAATACAGCTTTTAGAGTTCAGAAAACAGATGAAGTCCTAATCTTAATTGCTGCCCTTTTCCCCTGAAATAGCTTGATTAAAAGTGGTGGACTGCTATAGATTATGAAATGATTAGTGAGGAAGTTCTAATGGTTTTAATTCAAACATGACTCGTGTGTTTTTGTTTGCACTGAACGCTTTATGTTATGATTGAGATGAATATTACCTGGACCGAGCCTATTTGTGTGGCTCTTGTTCCTTCAGACGAGTCAAAGACTTTAGTGATGCTGACGTCCTCCTCCCGAATGTTTTCCTATGTTTGACGAAAGGACGGAACAAACAGAGAAGAACTGAGAACGGACAATGTGAAAAACGAGTTGATACAAAAAGCATATTCAAGCTGTCTCTTTGTGCCTCTGTTTCAGGACGAGAAAAGAAAAGACACAAAGATTCCACAGATCAAACCTTGTGTTGCGTTCTGTACAGGAAAGTAACAAAAAGAAAAAAACTTTGAACTTTCTCTAACTTCACGTGTCATGCGTTACCTCCAGCACTGTGGCTTGTTGCTGGGTGAGCTGCTCCACTCCTTCAGCTGCTGCAGCAGCAGACTGGCTCTGGAGAAGACCAACAGGCTCTCCTCTGCTCCCTGTGGGAGCTGAAGATCTCCTTTGCATCTCTCCATCTCCTCCAGCGTCCTCTGCATCGACTGCACGTTGGCCAGGATCACCTTCAGGTTAAAAAAAAAAATGTTTAAAGTGTGTTCAGAACATTACGAGTCGGCTGTGATATAAAATCATTCAATGTGGTAAGAGAGTCATGTGCGAGCCTTAGTCTTAGTCGAAGTAGTTTGATCTTTTTACATATATTTTTATTGATTTTTTCACCTTTTTTCACCATTACAAAGATCCTTTAACACCCTAGTGCTCTAACATTCACAGCAGTGACAACAGGAATAAATAATAATAAAGTTTGATCCTTTTAAGATTTAAGCATAAAAAATATAACCAATGATTCTGTTACTTATCTTAGATGATGCTTTACAGTATTTATTTACCCTTAAAACGTATAGAGTCTTAATCATACACATAAGAATGCCAATACAATGAAGCTGCATATTTGTATCCATAGCCGTATGAGCAGTATTAGACATATCTCCATATAATAGGGAATGACCTATAAGTCATATTCTGTCGATGCTTCCTTTGAGTTAGAAAGATCCCTGATTCCAAATGTTTGTGTTTCATGTTTGTAGTATTTGCTTCTGTTGTCATGCTATAGTTGTGCCGTCCTTCTGTAAAGGATTTGCATGATGTTGAAACGTTTAATAAGACTAAATATGTCATGATTTGGTTTCTTATTTTCAGAGTTTTGTTTTTAAGTTCTCATTCTTCCCTGATGGTGTTGTTTCCCGTGTGTGTTTTCTAGGTTAGTGTTTCATGTGTTATTTTGTAACTTCATATCCTAGTGTTTCTTTATGTTCTAGTGTGTTTTGTTTCCTTCTTGGTTCTGTGTGTTTCATGATTTAGTTTAGTTTGTCCTCAGTGTTTCTTGTATTCCTGCCTCTGTGTTTCCCAGTGTGATTGCCCTGATTGTCTTCACCTGTGTCTTGTTAGTCTCACCTGTGTCTGATTACCCTATGTCTATTTAGTCTCTGTGTTTCGTGCCTTCTGTGTCAGTTCATTGTTGTTTGTACATCAGTTAGCAGTGTCAGTAGATGTCTGTTTTCCTCGTGCTCTAGTGTTACTCGTGGTTTCCTCTAATTTTCTGCTTTAGTAAGTTGTGTGTTTGCCTTTGGCCTTTTTGTTTAAATAAATATTTTTTTGTTAGTTCTGCATCTGGGTCCTCCTCTTAGTTTTTCTCGAAAATGACAAAATAACTGCACCTGTCTGTTTTGCAGATGCTCCGTCAGAGTTATGTTGGAGTTGTCCATTGAGGATAAAATGGCTCGGATCTTCTGGACATTCTTCTCCATCGTCTTCAGCTCCGTTTCGGTTTCTTCCACCACCTTCAAACGAAGATCATCAAAGACCTGATCAGCGTCCTCACTTTTGGATCGGGAGGGAAACTAACGACACACTCTAGTTTCTTACCTCAACAGCCTGCAGAAGCTGCTCCAGTGGCTCGAGGATCTTGCTTTGCATTTGTTTGACCTGCTGGTCATTCTGGTTCAACTTCTCCTTCTGGGTGCTCATGTCACACACAGCAGAGACCTCATCCAGGACTGGTCTGAAGTCCTGCAGGGCGCTTCTGATCCTCTCTGAGTCATCAAGCACCAGCTGCAGTCCAGAGTTTAAAAATCACATTTATAATGGGTATAAAATATATGAACATACTGGTGAATACCTTTTTATATATGATGAATCATGTCTATTAGTGTCAACATTAATTAATGAAAATCAAACAGGCTTCAATAGAGGAAAAAAATATCCAATGTAATGCGTCTTCAAAGGTTCAAATGTTGTTGTGTTTGCTGTCACTGACCTGCAGGGAGTTTGCATGATTCTGGATACTTCTTGCTGTTGTGAAGGAGGAGGGAGCACTGAGCCAAGACTGGGCCTCGCCCAACCAGCAGGTGCCGCTGTTTACAATGTCCTCAAACTCCTGAAGACAGCAGGGGATCTGAGGAAGCACAATTTCATCAACTACTTTTAAAAAAAAAAAAAGCCCCTCTCCTCAGTGATGACACAGAACATGCGACAATAATAACCAAGTGTTCCCCACCTTGCTGAGGAAGGCTGTGCGCTGCTCGGCCAGCTGCGCTGTATTTTGGTAGAGCTGCAGCGGTTGGGTGAGCTGGTCTATGAGCAGGTGGGCTTGATCTGGATGCTGCTCCGCAAGATCCTGAACCTCACATTCCAGGAGCATCAGGCGGCTGTGCCACCGATCCAACTCATCCCACACACGCTGGAGAACAAACAGAGTCCAGTGTGGACATAGTTCAGGGTTTGACTCGGGGACTGATCTGCAGTTTTGTAGTATTGTGGTCTCAGTATAATGACATTAAAGCTTCTTACATGTATCCATATTTGTAATAACATTTGTATTTGTATCCATACTGTATGTGGAGCTTTGAGGAGACAATGTAAGCAATGGTTGCAGTTTTTTGTTCCACTCGAAATATGAACAGACATTGTTCAGTTGTAAAAGACTCTGTAGTGGAAAGTGAAAACTTTCTGTGCTATCAACTGATTTTACCCCGAAGTCAGCGATGCCAACTGCTCCAATTAAATGTGAAATGAAAAAGTGGTGACAGATTTGGAAGATAAATTTCTCAAATATTTCAAAACAAACAAAGAAACATGTTCATGTTTTTAAACCTGTGTGTATTGTAACACCAGGGTTAAATTACATGCACACACACAAATCCTAAAATACACACCTTGAGTAATGTTTGAGCTTCGGGGACTGTCGGTGACTGTTGCTCCAGTGACATTTTGACTTTCTCCAGGCCGGAGCCCAACTCTGCCACCTGGCTGTTGAGCTTTCGGACTGAGATGCTCTTCTCCATGAGCTGCAGAGGGACCAGTAAAAAAAACACGTTTATGATATTTGTTTGGAAATTTGTGGCATCGAGGATACATTGATTTTCTGTTCTCTTCTACCTTCTCCTCCTCTCTTCTTAAAGACAGCTGAACCTCTTGAAGCCTCCTGTTGATATCAGGTGGTATCTCAGCATACCGGCTCTGCACACCGGCCATGATGCTCTGTAGTTTGGCCTTCTGGGAGGACAAATCCTTTCTGAGCTCCTGTCAGTGTGAAAATGAATGGGGGGAAAAAAAAATCAGAAGATGGAATATAAAAACCACAGAGAGACCGCATGAGTGATGAGATCAAAAGTTTAGCTCTAAGGTCCTTTTTTTCCAAAAAAAAGGTAGGTAAGCTCACTGCAGCTCCTCACAGTCTCGGTTATCTCTGTCTTTAAAGTAGAAGGCAGTAAAACATCTTATTGCTGATGGTTCATACTTTACCATGACCATTAAGGTCTCATTATTGAAGCCATATGTGCTCTGTAGCCGCATCTGAGAAAAACAGGCCTCTCTCTCTGCTGCTGTGATAGGCTTCTATTCAAGCTCAAATTTGAAAGCTTGGACTATAAAGCATAAAAAGGAGCCGTACCTGTTGTGTGCTTGGATTGGAACTGGCCTCCAGTGAAGTAAGAACCGCTGACACTTGTTGCTCCACCTCTTCTATCTCCTTTTGGACTTGTTGTCTCTCTTTCTCCTCCGCCTGTGCTGCTGCTACCACCTGCAGATTTTTCTCCTTCAAGCTGTGGAAGGAAAAATGATATTTTTTTAGCATCTCTGACATTAATGGGTAATCATTTTGCACATCAAACAGATCCCACCTCCTGACATTGTCTTGGATCTTCACAAGTGTTTTTCCAACAGGTCCGGGGCTGATGGGATCATGGCAACTAGATAAGCTCAAGGCATGCTCCAGTCGGTGCTCCAGCGAGGCCAAGGCCTGCTGCTCCTGCTCCAGCCCAGCTTGGTGCATCTCAGCCTGAGCCAGAAGCTCCTGGGGTTCCTCCTTAATGAAGCTCACAGTGGAGGAGTCGGGAACTTCAGCCTGAAGACTGGCCAAAAAGCTGCAACACTGCTCCATCTAAAGAGGAAGAAATTCAATCCTCAATAAACCTTTATGTTACTTTTACTTCCATTATATTTCATTTTGCATTTATCTGTTTTCCCCTTTGAATTCCACATGGTACTTCACATTTGGTCAAACCTTTCAAACTCTTTTTTTTGGGGCGAAACTCACACTTGTTGTGATGTCCTTCCATTCCTCTCCTCTCTGTTCTGTGTGTGCCATTAGAAAGCCGATACCACGTCGTAACGACACCCAGCGCCTCCAGAGGGCGCCCAGCTCACCGTCCTTTCCAACAACACAGCCCTGCATCGGACACCCTGCTCTCAGTTCTTCTGTTTTACCAGCGAGGCAGCAGAGATCTTCCATCAAAAGCTTGATAAAGTGATGAAAAAAAGAAGGTTAAATTTAAATTTGAATTAGGCAGATTTTCCCCAAGATGTGTTATGGACATGCAAAGTGCAGTCCTTTAACAATGGTACTTGAAACGGTCATAAACCATAGACTGTACAACACATGGACATCGTCTCAGTGATGTCATAAATTGGCTTCTAAAGAGGCGTTTTAAAGGCAAGCGACGGCGGTCACCATTTCAGATATGCCATGTGAAACTCACTTTCAATCAAGTAACAGCTAAAGAGGTGAAGCTAAAGGACCTGGGACCTTCTCGGGACTCCTTTGCATTTACATCCAGCCTCAAGTGGACACTCGAGGAACTGCAGTTTTTTTGCTCTTCTTCATTTTTCAACACCAAAAGGTTGCAGATTGGTATAAGAGTTTACAGCAATAATCAAATTATATAAATACAACTACTTATTCTACCCCTTCTCTTTAGTGAGACATGATTTTTTATTCTGTATCAGGGCCAATTGTGAGGAAAATACAGGAGATCATCAAAATTCTGGGCACTTTGAATACCTGTCCTAAATGTTGCAGTAGTTCTTTACATAAGATGGTCAGATATTGAAAGTCAAAAGGAATTGAACCTCTGTTGCAAATGAAAACTAAAGAAAAAAAACCTTAAGCATCTTAAAAATAATAATAACAGGAAATTTTCCTTTGGATCAAAATGGTGTACCAAGTAAAGGACCAACCATGGAGGTGTGCTGTTACCAAACCTATGGAACTTACAACTTACAAATTATGACATTTTAATGGTCAAGAAGACTCTGTGACTATAGAGCAATGCATATTTGCAAACCACCAACACAATAATGCTTCATCAAACCTACCGTAGCTCTTTTCTGTTGGGCAACACATCTATCATATGATGTCACTTGTTCTCCAGCACATTCAGAGAGCTGAGCCTCGAGCCCGGAAAGATGCTGACGTATGTCTTCATGACACCTCCTGTGGCTTTGCTGTCTTGCTTCACACCTGAAGTGACACATTCGTCTTTAGATGATTTTGATAGTTAAATTATGGACATATATATAGAGAAATAATAATGGAAAAAAGCTGAACACAACCACTTGATATAGACTGTACCCAGTACTCTCCAAGGACTCCAGTCTGAGCTGGGCTTGGGCCTCCAGTAAGGCTCGTCCAACCAGCAGCTGACTGAAGATGTTGATGTGGAGTTGCTCAGTCTTTTGGAGAAATAGGCAGGGTTGTTTGGGCACCAGCTCGAAAAGGTGGCAAATATGAGCCTGAAATCCATCCTCAAGAGTTTCTAGCGCCTGCTGCGTCTGTCGTTGTTCCTCGGTACAATCCAAAAAGCCTCCAGGAGCTGAGAGGAAGGTGGCTTCAGCATTATGAAGGAAACTGATTGCTCCCTGAGCAGCCCATTGGTAATCTTTCAGGGACTCTCGAGCTTGGGACAAACTGTCCTGTTGGTAACATGTCGATAGTTGTAAAATAGCATACACACAAGTTTAAGTTGTTAGGTTTTAAACTCTCAAAAGTCTGTTGAATGAATAAAATAATTTACGCTTACCATTCTAACATGACACTCATGCATGGTGGCATCTCTAAGGGAGTACAGCTCCTTGTTGTGCTTCAGGTTAGTCTTTTCTTTTCGCCCCAGGCCTTCCAAGACCCTCATCCCAGACTCCATATTTCTCCAAATAACCCAACACCTTCGTAGTGCAATATCTATGGCTTTCTCTTCTGGATCTACAGGTTTGGCTCCCTCCAGCTCCGCTCTCGTACTCTGGAAAAACTCTATTAAGGCAGGAAGCTCGGAGGAAAATCGCAGGCCGAGCAGAAGCTTGGTTTCTAGGTTCTTGACATCGTCTGTGACAGAATTCTCCCAGGAGACTAAAGTTTCCACAGTTTGGCGAATTCTCTGCCTCTCTGAATTGAGCTCAGTTGCGTTCAATTCCTGAGCTATGGCCTCCAACTGGTCAGCTGCTTCTTGACACTGTGTCTTGACCAAGGGAAGTTCAACCAAGAGTGTTTGGCACTGTCTGAACCTCTGACCCAAATTTATATCTTTATCTTTGGCACGCTGGATTTGCTCTTTGGTGATGTCCCTAGATGCTTCCATCTGGCTCCTCCTGTGCAGATATTTCTCTTGTTCAAAGGCATTAATACTGAGAGCTTTGCACTGGTCTTGCAGCTCCCCAATGGTGCACAACAGGGAGCTTCGCTGGGCCTCCTGGCAGTGCTGGATCTCTTGTACTTGACACTGATGCTCCATCAACATGTGTTTCCATTGGGCTGTTTTTGAAATGGTTTCATGTGTTAAAGGGAACATTTGTTGCTTCAGATCAGTGGAGATGTTCTCTAAACAAGCCTGAATGGTCAACAATTCCTCGTCTGACGAAGTTCTCTCATGAATCAGCTCCTCTAATTCCCAGCTGGTTGCTTTCTCTAAAGCTAGCAATCCATCTAATTCTGTCCAAAGTCCTGACAGTCTGTTGACAAGGTAGCGGCTCTCCCCTGGACTCAACCCTGCAGCTATTTCTTTGCAACTTTCTGCCATTCCTTCCACAAGCTTTATTGTGCTCTCAATCTTCACCGTGGCAAATTTGTGACTTTTCAGCTCGCTCTCCAGCTCTCTGATGTTGGCTTTTGAAACATTGTCGACATGCGTACAGGGGTCTCTTTTGGCATGCATCTCTGCAAGCCAGGCATCCATGCTAGCAAGCTGGCATAACATTGTCTCCCTTTCTTTCAGATCTTTCTTCATGGTGTCAAGAACATGATCCAAGCTGTCAGTGATGGCCACATAAAGGTCCTCTACGGTCTTGAAAACTTGGTTGCTTTCCTCCATTTCCATGCCAGAGGCTATGTCTTTCATCTGCTCCACTTCCGCTTGCATCTTGGACCTTCGAGACCAAATATCCGTTTGAAATTTCTTCATCTCAACAATTTGAATCCGAGCCTCCTCTGGGAAAAGAGCTAACTTTTTCCCAATCGAGATATGGTTTTCCGCCTGCTTGGCCCACGTGATCAAGTCTTGTAATTGCTTGTTTATCTTAGCTGAAGAGCTGTATGTTGAAATGTCAAGTTTGCTCTTGGTGACATTTATCAGAGAGCCCACTTCCTGGAGTTCACGTTTGATCTCGTCTTTCTCTTTCTGACCCAGAGAGAACTGGACAAGAGCGTCAGACTCGGACTGCAGGTGCAGATAGAGCTGGCTGAACAGTTTGAGGTCTGTGATGAGACAAACAGATTCTAAAGCGCTTTTGCTGTCATTGCTTTCAAAGCTGGACGTCTGAAGAGCTTCAAGCTTGGCTCTAAGCTGTTTGGTGTCTTTTATCAGAAGACAGGATTGAGAGGTCGAGCTTGAAGCGTGCTGCAGAGCTCTTTTCACACTTCCTTCTAAGAGCCTCCATTCCTCTTGGACATCTCCAAGCTGGGCAAGTAGAGCGCCGGAGCTCTCAGCGTCGCTCAGGTGGACTGATAATTGGCTACTTATCCGGAGCAGCTCTTCCATCATGTGTTTTTTCAGTACCATTGTTTGCAGCAGGCCATTGAGTTTGCTAGCTTGAAGGGCACTGCTTCCTAAAATATCTCTGTGAAAAAAACAACAATAAAATACGAGTGAATCCGGTGACAAATTCTAAATACTTATGATTAAGGCAATTAGCTCATAGAAGTACTCACAAGCTCATTTTTTCCTTCTCGACAGCTACAACGGCCAAGAAAGCTCTAATGATCTTCATCTGTCTCTGATACTGTTTGACCTGATCCAGCTGCGCTGCTTTGACCTGCACAGTGGCCGAGGCGTCCAGCAGTGCCGCACTACACTGTGCTTCAACACTTTTCAAGGCATCTGGGGGCACAAACCCTGGCACCACTCTTACTTTTCATGGCAGCCACTTGATCCTGCACACAGCACCTGTAGTCCTGCAGTAGACACAAGAGTCATCAGAAACATTTCTTTTTTCTTCTGATGATGATGAATCACGAGTTAAGACACAGGATGTTATTGTCCTCATTTAGTTAAAAGGTCAGAAAGTGCAAACAGTTTTCACGACTAATAAGAAAGAGAAGCAGTACCTCTGCATCCTGCAGTTGTTTGGCCATCGCCTTTATGTCGAGCTGTGCTGGTTGATAACGACATGCCAGAACCTTTTGGACAGTCCGTACCAATCGAATCTCTGGTTCCCCAGGAGAGGATTTCAGGTACCAATTCAAATCGATGTGAGGAGTCCGCTACAACAAAACAACAAAGACATAAAACTTCTCCTGAAAAGCAAAGCAAGTCAAAGCACTGTATGTCATTTGATCTGCAGAATTATGTTTTAATCTTTGTCTGGTTTGGAAAATTCAATTCAATTCAATTCAACCTTTATTTATACTCGAAAGATCATTGAGGGGCAACCCTCATTTACAATGACATCGAGTCATTACAGAAATAATTAGAAAACAGACATTAAATCAAAAGGAAAAACAGGGGACAGATAAATATAAGTCTGCTAAAATCAGTCTACCAAAGTCTAAAAAGATAATTAAGTGAGTATAAAACTGCAATAAATAAACACACTTATGTAAAACAGTTACAAACAGAGGTTGGGAGGCTTAAATCAGGTTTCTAAAATGCCCAAAAGGTAAAAGTTCATTTCCCTCAAGAAGATGCTGTATGTTAAAACGTAGGCTCTTTTCGTCACATGACTTAAAAGTCAACATGTTAATATATGCTTAAAAAGTTTGCAAACTAAAATATCTTTATCCAAAGCAGAACTTAGAATGACTTGCTCAACAATGAGTCAGTAAGGGAGCAGAAATGACAAAGTTGCTGGTTTGCTTTGCGTCCTCTTTATCAAGATTATACATGTCCACTTCGGACATGACTGAGTAATTAGAGACACTAATGGCCCTTCAGGAAATCATTGTATCTCAGATGTCCTTCCTGTGAACCGTCCTGACTGAGGCATCATGGGAACACACAAACATCAATCTAAACTTTGCTTTTCTTATCTCTTCTCTTGCTGAATGTAACTGTTAATTACATCTTGTGCCTTTTTTTTGGACACTAGAAGCTGTGCAGTCACACTAAAAACCATGACAATTCAAATGTATAAGGGCGATTGTAATCTGAATTTTTTATCAAAAGCTGCAAGCAAACCCAGGCACACTGTCTAACTTGAAAAACCCAAAACTTGAAAAAACATTAATTGGCTACAAAGTTTAATCAGGCAACCTGTTTTATTTAATTTAATTTCATTGCAGCTAATAAATTTATTTTTGCAAGTTAGACATTGTGCAAGAGTTTCCTTAGAGTCTAGTCTCGTAAGAACGTGTGTTTTAAAAATAAACATTGAGCTGAACTTGTGAATTCAAAAATGTCAGAATTTGCTTTTTTTAACGTTAACTAAATAGTTAATTCACCCATTGCAGCATGCTCCGTCTAAAGTAGATTTAACTAATTATGTGCAGGGAAGCTGTGTGTTAAACTAAAGCTAGCTGATACTCACATTTATTATGTTACTCCTTTCCACCAAGCTCTGGATGTCAGTCAAAATATCCTGCATGGTGGACTTGTGTTTGCGGGAGTCTTGTGATCCACCTGACGTCTCCCCGGCTGGCGGATCAGCTTTCAAACCAGGCGCTGTCCTCTCAGGCTCCATGCTCTCTGTGATCTGAGGCTACATACACAGAGGACAAGTGTGGTGCAACATATAAGCCTCCTGCTCTCTTGTGTTTGTCCACACATAATAACATAGCTTCCTGTTCTTTCCCTGCTGTAGTAAGTATTACTGTGTTGACGGTGGCCCGGCGAGTCAGCACAGTTAGCACAAGAATGTGCCTGAGTAGGGAGCAGTCTGCCCCAAGGGAAAAGTCTGCTCAGCTACAGAGTTGCCTCCCTTTCTTCTATAAAGAAATAAGTGATCTGTTATAACTTGGTAAAACAGGGCGAGTACCAAAACATGACTCAAACTGTTTGGTTGACTTGATACAAACAGGGAAGGTGCCTCTTGAAATATTTTTTGGTAAGAGCAGGGCGTGTCTTAGAGGAGAGTGCAGGTAGCGCGGGAAGTAGCTTTGAAAACAAACAGCTGGTTTCTGGTTGACAGAGAGATTGTCATTTCACACTGAGCAAGACACGTTTGACTTTAAATACTTTCTGTTAGAGTGGTGCAAGCATTAAGGCACATACATGACAAATATGTCAACTTTAACTCGAGGTGCTTAAAGTAAATTGAGCTAGAGTCTCACAAAAGCAAAACAAAGCTGGTTTTCTGATCACAACTGATTGATTTGTCTCGTCATTTTCAAAATAAAAAAGCTTAACTTTCATTCTACATTGCCAGAAAGCTCATTTCTGGCAATGTAGAAAACAAAACCATAGGCTGATCTCTGTGATAGGCCGGACCACAACATGCCATGCCAACACTAATGAGGTTAGCTAAGTCTAATTCTATGTTTGTTCTCTGGGGATACGCGATAAATAAGTCAAGATCTGGAGAAATCAACCATTTAATTAGCTGTCATCTCTCGGAGGAAACAGATTCAGTAAAATATTTGGATGCATGTCCTCTTAGGGCTTCTGTAATATTTTGTACGTCAGTCAAGCGTTGTTATGTACACATCAATATTTCATATTTCTAACCCTCAAGCAATTTAATGTAGAATCATTTGAATCATTCAAAATCAAAAACTAACAAAATATATCAGGATGCTTAACCGGTCAATATCCAGGGTGTTTAAAATGTTTGACATTCTTAAGTAATCTTATTAAAGTGTCAAAGAAAGCCAGTGAGTGATTTTTGTTGAATAGAAATATGTGGTATTTGAAGGAACATGTTGTCGGCTGTTTACAGAGAGAGAGAGAGAGAGAGAGAGAGAGAGAGAGAGAGAGGAGTGCTGTCATTGCTCTTGATAATGACAGGTTGAGACATTCCTCATGTCCTTTGAGCATTTTAGCTTGTTGTGCAGAGACACATGGAGAGCTCTACATGAGAACCTTTTTGCTAAGCATCACCAGTGTTACGTCTAGTTTTCAGTGGGTGACGTAAACTCCAGAGAAGAGGACTCAAGTGTGGTAAGGCTTCTGTACTTTTTCTTCAGATAATGACAGTTATCAAGTGTGCTATTGATCTCAGTAGAGCCCTCTTATCTTTGTTGCTACTGCAGGCTGAGCTGGTGCAGCTGGTGCATTTGTAGCTGTGTTTTATGTTCTTGTTTGTATTAAAGGTCACATATTATTCTCATTTTCAACAAGTTCAAATAAATCTCAGAGCTCCCCAAAACATGTATGTGAAGTTTCTTGTTCTAAATCCACTCTGATCCTGTATTTGATCATGCCTATAAACCCCTCTATTTCAGCCCTGCTCAGAACAGGCTGTTTGTGTGACTGTACCTTTAAATATGTAAATGAGCTGTGTGTGACCACGCCCCCTCTCTGGAAGGGCTTGAGTGGCTTTCTCACTCCGTGTCTGATTGTTTACGGTGAGAAGGCAGACTCAGAGGCAGAACAAACACCTAGCTGTGGGAGTGTCACCCACCTGGGGGAGGGGTTACTGCCCTTTGTGATGTCACAAAGGGGAAAATCTCCAAACGGCCTGTTTGAGCACACTTTTTCTGAAAAGTGGAACAAGCAAAAGACAGAGAGGATGGACTTTTCTCATAACTTCGGGGGGTTTGTTGACGGAACTAGGGACTCATTAGTGTTAGAAAAACATTGTGAAGTATATTTTGCATAATATGTGAAGTTTAAATGAATGTGTCTTCATTTTTATATGTATTCCCTGCAACAAATAAGCCAATATGCAGCACAGATTTCCTCCTTTTGTCGCAGGGAATGTGTTTTTTTTTCCTTCTCACTGCATGAACAGCATCCAGGTTAAAAGAGGATGATCAAAACCGGCCTCTGGCAAATGTTACGACATTCAAATGCCAAACGGTGGGAGGAATAAATACACTTCAAGGAAATAAGTTCCAGCTAACTCTTGTGTTGAATATGAGAGACAATTATACTCTCCAAATGTCACAAATACTTACTTTGTATTAAATATTCAGCCCTTACCTAACTCAAAGAGAAGGAAAGGCCAATGGTTTGGAAATGTCAAAGAAGACTGGGTGCTGGATTAGTGTAATTTAGCAGAGCAAGGACTGTAGATCTGGGTCTCCTGCCAGCACGATGCAAATCACTGGGCTGCTCTTCAGATTCATTCAACAGGTTGACAACTTTTTTCTGTCACTCTTTTGAAAGTTTTTTTTGGCTTTAATGATTCTAAAAGCTCCTAAGTAGCAAAACATAACGTTGAACTGGATTTCCCATGTTTGATTTCCTCATATGTTAAATAGATATGTAAATTTATGATATGTTGTATGTTACAGTTTAATATAGTTCAGCTGTCTCAATGTTTTTTTTTTCATGTCCTTTCACTTTCTCTCTGCCAACACCTTTCCTATAACCTTTACTTGCCATTCACTACTGTAGGCTGCGATGTCCTAAACATGTTGACACTTCAGGTATCAGGAGTTTAAAATAATAATGATAATACTGATCCAGAACAGTGCACATATCAAAAGCCCTTCATAGTCAGAATCTCAAAAATGACTGTAACATTTCTGCATAGCAGTTTAAAATATTGTCTCAACATGCAGCATATCGAAGGCTGATGACACTCATTAACTGTTTTCAATTTGAATAGCATTTAACGTAATCTACAAAATGTAATCAAGGCTCGGGCGCTGGTAGCATAGTGGTTAGTGCGCACGCCACATGAGGATGAGGCTGAAGTCCTCTCGGTGGACGACAAGCATGGGAGGGCAACTATCCAGTGTCCTCTGAGGAGCTGCAGCATAAAACCATCAATATACTTCGAGGGATACACTTTCAAATTACAATGAAACGTTGATTCCTTAGACGAGGAGGTCTAGAGAAATAGGAGCGATCATAGATTTGATTCCCTGAAGAAATGTTCAGATGTTTTTACTTTATTTTTATTGATTGCTGTCCACCTAGTCATTTGTTTTCTTTTAAATTTGCATTGATTCATTTTAATTATTTGCTTTTTGTGAAGTTGTGTGAGATGAGATATGTAGTCATACTGCAAACATTAACTCAACTTAACTGTATTGCTACATTTTCATCTAATGTTTGTTATTTTGTTATTTCCTTTGATTTTATACCTTTAGGCCCAAAAAAACACTGACAGGAAATAAAGTCTGAGTATGTTTCTAATTCAACACCTACCTGTGTCTGTGCCACCTCCCTGTCCTCTGATGAAGCAGGGACCATGGGTTCCCTCTCTTCTGTTGGCAGTGTCTCCTCATCTTGTCGTTCTGGAGCTTTTAAAAGTTCGGCCTCCGGGAGTTTAAGGCCCTCCTTGGTTTCTCTCTCTGTCATTTCCAAAACTCCTGGACTTGTGCTCTGTGCAGCAGCCTGCTGTTTGTTTTCACTGACAGGTATTTGTGTCTCTGTTACGTTCTCTCCCTCCACGCAGAAGAATGAGCTCATTGTTTGCCCTTCAGCCGGACAGAAATCTGTCATCTCCTCACTTCTGACACTCGGAAAAGGCGTTTCAGCTGCACGCGCTACACCGAGCTGACGATCAGCAACACTGCCACATGGGTTGGAGGAATTCAAGACCTCATCCTGCTTTACCTGACGGGTTTCCTGGAATGATGAATTTGCACTTGCAGAACTTACATCCTCAAGTCCTGCAGAAACTACCCGCATGGAGTTCTCTGACTGTGAATGTGCAGCTTGAGACTCGTTTAATGTAAGACTCTTTTTTATTTTCACATTTCTATCGCCTGATTCAGGACTGGTTAAAGTTTTAACGGGTCTAGATTTCTCCTCAGGTACTCCTACAATGGTGTCTTGTGTTAGCTTAGCATCATTTATGTCTGCTGCTGTTGAATATGGTGATATATCTGGACTACACGCTCCAACATTTTCCCTTTGCAGCATGTCCACTGACTGGAACTCAGGGGCTTCTGTGTCCAACACTTTCTTTTGGGTTTCACTGATGTCCACACTGAATTTCTCCTTCTCTTGAGCATCAGAAACTGCCTTAAAAGCGTCTGATTGTGCTTTTGTTTTCTTTTCTGATTTCTCTGATTCAGGGCTGATTTTCCAGAATTATTCTCAAGATATCCCGCACTAGAAACAGGCTTTGAATCGAACACTCCCTGAGAACGTCCGAGTACATCTGGACCTGCGTTTTCATTAACCTGCATGTCCCAGGGATCAATCTCTAACATTATAGTGAACACTTTCTTTGGAGTTACAGCGCTGTCCTCACCGTGTTTCTGTTGTGTTCGGGCGTCTGTAACTGTCTGTGCTGTTAGATTTTCAGACACATTTTCAGGGGTAAAAGGGGGAGAGTTATCTGGCTTAGCTGTCCTGTGCTCGCTGCTTAAAGGATGGATACCAGAGCTTAACGTGTCCGTTTCATCTCTATGCTCGACATGTGCCTCCCTTTTTGTTTTGGGTGGAGTTGATGTCAACAGTTGGGATTCTTGTTTGGTTTTTGACTTTTTTGTATTGATTAGTATCTTCTTTGGCTTTTTCCAAAATATCTTTGGTTTCCATTCGGTTGTCATACTGATTACTGGCGCTGTTTTCTTTGTGGCCTGTTGCAGAATGTGAAGGAGAAGCAGGAGATTGCATGGCTGGAGTTTCTTCAGGCGATGTTAAAGTTGTTTTGCTTTCACTTTTTGGTATTTCTCCAGCCACGTCGATGGACAAATGTCGGTTCAATTCCGCTACAAACTGAAAACCATTGAATGAAAACCAATTAACAACAAGGAAACCCAACTATTAAACAGAATACATCATCTACCTTTAAAAGGTACATGTTCTGTGAGTGAGACAAAGACTGACCGGGCTTTTTGTGAATTCTTGAAGTGTCCGTGCACTCTGACTGAGAGCCTCTGAAGCACTTTTCTGCAGCTCCTCTGACACTTGTGATCCCAAACAGTTCAAAAGAGAATCTCTATCAGAGAGTACTTCACGTAGAGAGTGTTGAAGCAACAAACCTTCATCCAGAGCGACCTGTGACAGACGCATATGAAAACTCAAAAATGACTTTTCAAGTTAAAACCAAATATAAGGATTTCAATTCAGATTCAAATCAATGGGGATGCAACAACCAGAGTTTAAAGTCGCAATGAAACAAAACTTAAAAGAGTATCAAGCAGCTGTGTCGTGACCTATTTCCTACTGAAACAAGATACTGAAAATATTAGTCACATAAAAGAACATTTAACATGAACGCTGGATTAAAATCTGTTTGTCATTTCATGGGGACAGCTATTGTCATGTTCATTTATTGTTTAGGTGTGTTGATGTCTTTTTAACTGAAGTTATGCGTTCTTTTTAAAAAGGGGCATTTTGCTTCTGATCACATTAACGACTTGGAAAAATAGCCTTTCAGTGGTGGTCTAGAACGCTCTTGATATAAAATCTGTCCAGTCTGAGACCGAGAAAAAATGCTACCGATTCCGAGAAGAGACAGAGACCTTCAAGAAGTGGTCTCGAGATCAAGACCGATTTTGAGAACTACAACACTACTATAAAGTCATGAAGTAAAATAATTCACAAAGAAAAGACCAAAAGTCCCCGACAGAGAGCAACACCTTCAAAGAGCTGCAGTGCCGATTGTTTAAAGAAACCAATGAAACCTCTGAAAAACAAAACTTCTATTATTCATTTATCTGAACCTGTTTATCATACAGGAGCCTACACAGGTTTAAAATTTAACCCTGAGCTTTATTCAGTGTAAATATCACCATCCCAAAGTAATCAAAGATAAATAAGAAACTGGAAACCCCGGCCAAAAAGAACAAAAGATGGGAAGGTGCCAAGCCAACACTTGACAAGTGAATGATTTTTAATTTTCAGTGAATCATTCCTCCAATAAGAAAAATGTTGGTTAATCATCAGTCGACGATTCTGTGTTGCATAAATGACATAAAAAGTGCAACTTTGTTAAAGTTTGTTGTCTGACATGAAGTGCGCCTACCTGTTTATGTTCTGAGTTTGAATAAATGGATGAACGTAAAAGTGTGTGAGTCTTACCTGGCTGGACGATGAAGGTTCAGCAGTTTGGCTCCACTCCTGCAGCCGGCTGATGTCCTGTCTCACCCTGTCAGCTGTGTTTTCTACACACTCCTGCTTACTTTGAAGAACAACAGACCTGAGGCTGTGAAGTGAGAACAAGAGAGAGGGTCAACAACGATGTCAGGAAACTTAAACACAGTCAAAAATAGAGAGAATACAAACCCTCCTTTTTACTGACATGACGGTGAACGAGTTTGAACTATTACTGTGGAAATGACCTTTCATCCACCCCAACCCCTGACCTCTGACTTAAAAAAAAACACTGAAGCCTTCTGACAAGCCTACATGTCTAATTCTAAAAGTTAAGAATTTAGTGTGAACACTCCTTATCCTCTAATAAATTCTTAGCTGTAATAAAACCATCATCTTAGCATTTATCAATAACAACTGGATGATCAATCATTTTAAAAATGCGTCTTCTCTGTTTTCAAACGATGATTGGAGTACCTGTCCAGGTCTTTAGCAGCTGTTTCCACAGACAACATAACATCTGGATGATGTGTTTCATGTGTGATGTTTGTCTCTCCAGTCTTCTGCAGATCAGAAACTTTTGCAGCCAATTCTTCCAGCCTGGTTTCACAATCCTGAGAGAGACAGAAATGTTTATTTGAGTGTCTACATGTAGGTGAATTTAAAGTTGAAGTAAAAATTGGCTTGTTCTCTGCTGTTATTCTGGGATTAAGTAAACAATACCTGTAGTATGTGCCACTGCTGATTGAGCGGCCTGATATCAGGTAACACTTCTCCCCTCCCACACAGATTCCCATCTAAACTTTCCATCAGCTCCTCATTGCTGTCTGCACACAGCAGATTTCTTCCTCTACTTGTTGTACTCTTCGGTTTCTGTTCTCAGCGAGCAGTGCAAGATTTTCTCTGACGCTGTCGTCTAGCGCCCTCTTGTGGCTCTGGAGGATGCCGACCTGCTGGGAGAGGCTGGCCCGAGCCTCGGCTGTGGCACTGGCTGAGATGGAGTCCTTGAGTGTTACAATTTGTAAAAGGTCTTTTTCCACGTCTGTCACTTCTTGTAGCAAAGCCTGAACCGTGAGAGAGCAACAGACGAACATTTTTAGGAACAGATCAACAGGTGGTTAAACCAAAAACGTATTTCATGGAGAAGGAAAAGTAGAAGGACTTTGAAATAAAAGATGTCTGACATGTTACTCTACGTTGGTGAGCTCCCTTAATGGATCTTACCTCCAGAGCCGGAGCATCAGTGATCAGTGCGGCTGAGCTTTCTTTCTGCTCCGGCTGAAAGGCTGAGAGCTTCTCCTGCAGGGACGTCAATTTCCGCTGGCAGTCCTGCATCAACTCACCAATTTGATGTTCTTTACGTGCACTTTCCTCGAGGCCGGAACATTTATCTGTGCATGACAGTTCATGATTCATCATTTCTTAGAGGTTGTCTCAGACATGCCACATGATAAATATCAGATTTAACAAGAAAAGTCTACTTATTTGATCATGTTACACACAAAACATCAATTCAGATGTCGAGCTACAAAGATTCCATCATTAACAATATTCACTAAATTGGAATAGCAAAGTACTTCCAAATAGTGCCAAATAATGACAAATAATGGCTAATGATGGAAATAAATGGCAAGTGTAATCATTAGAAAAAGCACGTAGTTGAAGGGCAATCATGAACAGCTATATTCACAGAGTATTGTGTGCACACAGGATAATAAAATCACTTTATGGGACTTGTAGGATGTTAATACAACATTAAAAAATGCTTTCACATTTTTATTTGTTAATGTAAATGGACTTGAGCTTGTAAAGCACTTTTCTCGTCTTCTGACTACTCAAAGTGATTTTACAGCACGTGCCACACCTACACATTCACACCCTGATGGCAGAGGATTCTTTACCATATTTAACTATTTCTCATATTTTTGACACTGACCTCCTCAAGGCGAGCCTCCTCTTCTGCCATGGCACTTTTCACAGCCTGAAAAACATTCACAGGAAGTATTAATGACACATTTTAATCTGTAATCACAGAAACTTGTCCCTGCACAGACAGACAGACAGACAGACAGACAGACAGAAGAGTGTTCTGCCTTTACTATCTGTGCAAACTATTCTGCCTTTTCAGCAACAATTGGACACTCCTTACTGCAGGACAAGTAGAAACAAATGCAGAAGAGAAAAAAACAACAGATCAGTGTGACCACACCCTCATGTGACACTGCTCCGTTACATGAATCACTGTTTTCTTACTCGATCACGTTGAAGTCTCCCATCTTCAGGATTCTGAGTATCAACACTTTCTCCAAGCACAGAGGCAACAGTTGGTCTCAGATCTGCGACTGAGGGCTGAGTAGACTTTGAAAGAGTCCGAGATGCTTCAACATTCCTGCTCGGAGAGCTCTGCTTCTCAGAGGAGCCACCCAGAAGACTGGTTTGAACGTTGTTGTATTTCTCCAGCAGCTTGCTCCCCTCTTCCACCAGAGGAGACTCCTGGAGGTTGCTGTTTTGTAAAGACGACACAAGCTCGTGTATATCTCGTGTCCTCTCCCTGCAGGGGAAAAAAATATGATATGGGCAATGATGATGCTCAATCACCTGCTATTCACACTTTCAAATGTTAATGATAGGACAAAATAAATGGAGGTTTTGGGGTTTTTTTGTTGAAAAGAAGAATGGAAGAAAGTGACATGTCTTGGGGCATGAGAAGAAAACAAAAAGGACATTTGAACAAGAATTGAACAAAGTTTTGTCTTAAAAAGAGATGATTTAACGGTGAGAGAGACAGCATGAAGCTTATAACTGATGTGCTAAGTGTGAAATGATGCAGCAGCAGCGTGGTTATAAGACTGTTTGGTATGAAAATACTTCATGCCCTACCTCCCACACCATTCATTTAAACAACAGGTAGTTAATGATTATTCTGGTCTTTTATGACGCCTCAGCCTGATTGCTGTCACTCAGAAGGCGGAGAAATACCAGGTCATGTAATAATACATGTGTCAGTCATCTCGAAGGTGTAACAGACTAAACAACTTTCTATTTGCTGACTCATCAATCAAAATCACTTCACAGAACTGTGATTTCACTTCACAGTCTCTGCCAATTGACAGCAGGTGTAAACGAGCTTTAAGCTAAATCCAAAAAAATGACAACGGAGGGATGGATGGATTGTACATGATCAGCCTATTGGTGTTGAAATCTTTATATATGGGTGTGCCCCCCCATCTTTAAGATGATCTAATTTTATTTCACTACCACCCCACTTTTTACCATTGTAAGGGTCCTTGGGTTATAGCTATTATTAATATTTATTTCTACATCTTGCATAATAACCACTTTACCTCTGTTGAAGTGTTTCCACTTGTAAGACACTACGGTCTTGCTCATTCCCCGCTCTCTCCTCAGCCGCTTGCAACCATCGTGCTAAATGTTCACTCTCCCTCTGCAGCCTGCGACACACATGGAGCATGACTGGAGGCATGCACATGACACACACACACACTTACAGCATGAACAATACACTGTATGTAAAAGTGAAATCTTAGTTCTGCTGCAGGATATCAGCTTACAAAGAGGACTTGAGAGAACAAGTTAAACGTGTCCTGCCGTCTTCTTTTTGATCTTCAGAGTTGGAGCTGTATGACTCTCTGAGACTGTTTGTACACAGAGCTGGTATCTGTCACATGTAGAGCTTAAAGGATAAGTCTGGTGTTTTTTTAAAATATATCTCCTAATCACCGACAAATGCCATGAACCCAACCCTTTTGCAGAACCTTTTATCTGTGTGAACTACAGATGTGTGTTTTATTTGTGGCTGAAGTCTGAAAATAAAGTGAAAAATATATTCTGGTATATGATTGGAATTCATAGGTCGGATGTGTAATAAAAAGCATCCTCCATTCTTAATGAATTCAAATGTTCACACGCTCCTTGCACTCCTCGCTTCATTATCAGTCCAGTTTTTCCTGCTTAGCTTCTCTGTTTAGATCTCCTTGACAACGTGTGAAACCCCGTCCAGCAGCTCTCTTATGGCCTTATTGGAAAGTTTAAACGTTGCAATAAAAGCTGTAATGTTGACTGATGTGTGTAAGTACGCCACATGGTTGAGAAGAGACGTCAGTCAGCATTACTTTGCAGGTGTAGCTGTAAATGACAGCTGAAACATGAATCTAAGCACGCTGCACGGTTACCTGTCGAGAGCCTGGATGTTCCTCTCAGTCTGTTCCTCCACCTCAGAGAAGAGCTGATGAGTGTTTCGGACTTTGTCCTGCAGCTGCATCCCGTCCACAGACAGACTCTGGAGGCTGAGTGGTTTGGCTATGGAGGAGATGACACTCAGGTCCCCGAGGACACTCTCTGCCTGCTCATCCTGAGTCTGGAGCTCCAACACTAGATCCTGTCCAGGGAAAAAAAAAGTGTATGTAGTGGTTAACAGCTGATTCTGTTTATGACAAGCACAGCCTCAGAAGTTTGAATCTACACGTACTTTGTTGTCACAATTAAATAGCTTCTATGTGTACAGTTTTTTATGTGATTACAGTCTCTCAGTACACTTATCATGTGGTTTCCATTCAAAATAGATGATTTGAAAGACACAAAAGCTAAATCAATCACAGAAATTAAACACCAAATTCTTGTAACAATATGAAAACTTTTTGGTGTCAATGCTTATCTTGTTTCCCATCCTTTTTAGTTTCTATGTTTCTGAGTCTAGTAGATTTTTTTTAAACTACTTTTGTGGGATCATCATGATCATATTCTTCAACAAACAACGACATCATGATTTATAACACCTGGTTGGTCTCCACCTCAAAACTGTGTTTAATCTCCTACACCTAAAATCCAGCTAAAAGAATGCAATGTTCACAAAACTCATTGCAATATTTTATAAATTAGGATCTTTCAGTCCTTAATTCAGAGAAAGTAAAAAAAACTTTAAAATGTAATTCACCTTAAGTTTTGCGAGGACTGTTGGAACATCTGAACCCCCGAGCGTGAGGAGGGAGTCCTGGATCTTCTGGAGGGAGTTAGCACATTCAGTCATCCTCGCCGTGACTTGTTCCTGAGCAGCCACCATCTGCCTGTGAACGTCCTCGGCCTCAGAGGCAAGCTCCTTCAGCTCCTTTATCTTCTTCCTCATCTGGGTCTCCACAACCTGTGACAAAACAAGACAAACTAAATCAAGAGACCTGTCCTGACTCTGTCTGGTCAACTGCTGACAGGATACTGAGGGTCGACTGGGTCAAGATTTCATCATTAAATGAAAGACTCAGTGTAAGATGGTGCCATCATAACTACAGAAGTGCTAGATTAGAGTCCCAAAAGTATCTTTCAGCCATAATGTAAAGTGACAAGGCCCTAAAATATGTCAAAATGAAATAGTCACAAACAGAAATGTGTTTTTTTTTATCATTAATACATCAGAAAAGTAGGCTGGAGTTGAAAATTAAACCTCCTTTGTATATGCTGACTCGTCCATCCCAGTAGCTTTATATGAAGCTGATTCATCTTCATGTCAAACAGAAAACTAAATCAAAAGCTGCATGCTGTACCTGCAGCTCCAGAGGAGGCTCTGCGCTCTGAAGCAGCGTCTGAACCTCACTGGCTCTCCTGTGGAAACGCTCAGTATTCTCCTCTTGGGCTAAAATCTCGTTCTTAAAACAGCAAGAAGGAGATGATTATTGTTAAAGAAACCGCAGAAAACTGGAGGACATGTTTCTTTCCAAAGCAGGTCCATATATCTAGAGGTTGGGGGTGGAGAGAGGGGGTGTCAGTTTTACCTGTAAGGCTGTAATATCTTCCTCAGTCTGAAAGGATGGAGACTCAGCGAAGACTGCCAGTTTATTGGTGGTCCAGTTCTCCACCTCTGCTCCCAGCTGGAGGACCCCCTCCCACAGAGTCAGGCCAAGGTGAAGGTTTTCAAGGTGGGAATCGGTTCTTTCTGAAATCTGTGAGAATTTGAGTCGTATTGAAAGTGAGCACTCAACCAAAGTAAACATCAAGATCCAGAAAACTGCTTGTTTTAATTCTAATCATCAACAAAACAATACATGTGTTTACCTTCAGGATCAACAACTCGATAAAACAAAGACGTGAAGTCTCCTTTAATAAGTTAAATGCTAAGAAAATCATTCTTAAAGGAGCAGTATGTAACTCTGACATGTAGTGTTCAAAGTGGGTACTTCAGTCCAAAAATTCTAAAACATTGGAGGGAGCCATCTCCCCACATCGCCTCCACAGAGTAGATGTGCAGATGTAGCGGACAAAGAAGCTTCAGTGTTTAGCCAGCTCTGCATCAGTCTGTAAACCTTTTAGCGTTCTAACCTCTCTCCATTTTCCAATATTTGTCCTAGTTTGAGCATGTTTCTAAACTTGGAGCTTATTAGAAACAAGCAGAGGCTTGTTTGATCGGGTTCTATCTGAATCAGTTCGCTTGCAAGCTTCCATCGCTGCACCACCTGCTGGCTTGCCATGATCACCAGTCTCATATCTGACAAACTGAGGGGTGCCTTAAAACAGCCGTGTGGGGGTGTCTTAAAACAGCCTACCTGGTCAAAACAAATACAGACCATTCCAGGACAGGATCTAAACTCAGAAGAAGGACACACATACACCGTTTGCCAAAGTTATTCTTCCTTGTCACCGATTTTTTTCAACATTTTTGTTCATTTAAGGAGTTTTCTTGATTGCAAAGCAGCACACAAGGATTGTAGTGTGTAAACAAAAATGTTTCCTTGCTGAGAAACTAAAAGAAAAGAAACCCTGACCACCACATGCTTTGATAATTAAAATAGAACAGCTTGTTGAAACTTGTACGTACATCCAGCCAGCGGTCCATGAGAGCATCTGCTTCTTCCTCAAAAGGGATGGTGGTGCATTCTGGGATCTGACGTAGATGAGTGTGAAGCTGCCTGCAAACACTGCGCACCTCCTCTATCCTGTCCCCGAGGCCGGTCAGCTCGGTTTTTGTTTCCCGGACCTGAGGAGCCACACACAAGAAAGCACGCACCATGCGCATTGAACACACTCGAGCAGTAATTCAACAACAGAGGTGTACTCCTTCACCAGTGGAATTAGAGGTGTGGTGTACCTTAGTGTGCAGTCTCTGCAAGTTTTCTTTCCCCATGTAGGAGGCTTGTTCATTTATGTCGCTCTCTGCCCTCTGCAGAGTCCCACTCAGCTCACCACGGAGGCTCTGGAACCTCTTCAGCAGCTCTGTTAGGACTCGACACCGCTGCAGTCTGGATGTGATTCAGAATTTAAAAAAACACACACACAGGCATCAAACTCAACCACAACACCTTGAGATCGCATTCATTCAGGAAGAGAGCGGAAGAGAAACTTCTGTCTTTACCGTTCAGTCACAGCTTTAGTCGTTTCTTCCCAGACCTCCTCCACCTCTCCGGTTTGACTCCCGTCAGAGAACCCTGCTTCTGATGCTTCTTCTTTAAGGTGCTGAAGCTCAGCATGGAGGCCAGCGAGACGACTTTCCAGCTCTTTTAGGGCGCGTGTCCTGCAGCACAAGAAATTCACTTAAGCATGCTGAGAGAGCCGAGTGATGTGACTGAAACATCCAGATAACAAAATAAATAATGATATCAATTCATATTCATAGTTATAATTCAGGAACTACTGTGAGGAGTTTCTCTGTAGTTATAAAACAGGATGAAGTAAAAAGTAATGCCTCTTTATGACCTATGAATTCAAACAAGTGCATCAGCAACAAAATTGTTTCTACATAGTTTTTTTTAGTTCCCCAAGCCGCTGCCCCAAGGTAGGTAGGTAAACAGCAAAATGGGGAACAGGTTTTTTAAATTACATAGTAAGTAGTGATACTTTTGACTGTTAAGATTGTTTTTGTTAATACCCTATGTACACATGTAGAAGACAAGATTAGCATAGAGATAAAGAGTACTACTTCATCCAAAGTATGCAGTATAATGATACTTTTTACCCTAACTTGAGCTTAATATATATCTGCAATGAAGTGCTGCAACAAACCTGTCCTTGTTTATTTTTTTTATGTATAAAATGAATTATAATTTTTTTTATTTTATGTTATACCTGTATATGTGTAAAGGAATTTATGACGTTCTAAAATATACATTTTCTCATTTTATTCTCTCTGCTGAAGCAAAGTTTTGAAGCCCAACAATGGCTGTAGCCTGCCGCCATATTGGAAATGTTATCTCTACCTAACTTGCTTATTCTGGAAACAGGCAAAGAGATGAAGTTATGTTGGAGTTAATAGCGACAAGATGCCAACCTTCAGCCACAATCTTAAACATGCAAATGTATGAGTATCTGTCTGCTTTCAATACATAATCAAAACTGATCAGTTATTAAGAACCCCCCCCCCCCATTCGGTTTTAAACTAATTAAACAATGAGCTTTTTTTTCTGTAACACTGGGCATTTTAAAAAGGACTCTAATGAGGATATCCAGGCTTTCGCAGCCAGCCTCAAGTGGACACTAAAGGAACTGCAGTCCTCTGCACTTCTGCATCGGCTTCATTTTTCAACACCAGAGATTCTCTCTCTGCACGTCTGTGATCAGTGTCTTACCTCTGCTGCAGAGCAGGCAGGCTGGGCTCCTTTAACCCCAGCTGTTCAGCTGCTCCCTCCATCTCCTTCAGTGCTCCTATCAATGCAACTCTCCTCTGAACCAAACTCTCCCTCTTCTCTTCTTCTCTCTTAACCTGGCTGCTTCTTCTTCTCCTCTCGTCCTTTGCTTTGTGGACATTCTCTTCAGATTTGCACGTCTGATCCTTTTGCACATTCGCTCTTTGTTCATTCGTTTCATTATCTCCCTCCAGTCTTCGTCTTTTGGCCTCCAACTCTGACTCCTCTTCTACTACTCTTGGAGACATCTTCTGCTCCTGTGCTCCCTCCTTTTGTGATGAATCATCCCAAGACTGTGTAACCTCCAAAGGATTAAACTCTTTAATCCCCTCTTTGTGTTTTTGTCCCATCAGAAATATCTCGTTGTTTCTCTCGCTCTTCTTGGTACTCATCGACTCTTCCTCCTCAGCTTGCTGGGACGAAAACGTCACCACATCCTGGCACTTCACGGCCGAACCATCCCTGCTCAGAGTCATCCCCGCTGTCTTTAAAAGGCTGTCAGCTTGTTCCGCAGCCCTCTGCAACTTCTGCTGCCAAGACTGTCTGTCCTGCTTCCAGTCTGTCTCATTCTGCTGCCTGCTGGAGTCCTGGTGTGTCGACGGGGTTGGGATTTCAGCTTTCACTTCCCTGACTGTGACTAGGAAGTGATCCAGGGCCAGGGCAGCTGACTGAACCTTCTCCAGCCGCTGTCTGAGCTGCTCCAGATGATGAACGCTGCTGTGCAGAGCCGGACTGAGGGATGACGAGATTTTGACTTTTTGCCCTCGTCTTTCCTCCTCAGTTAGCTTTTTCAGTTCAGACTGCAGCCTGACATCCATCTCCTGTGTAACACAAGAGGGATTCATCATAATTGTTGCATAATTATCTCGTAGACTTCATGTTTTGATAGTCTGAACTAGGCATGGATGTACCTGTAAATCAGAAACCAAATCAGGATCAGGCAGTGTTAAGGAGGAGATGTCTACTGGTTTTCTGATGATCCAGTCAAGTCTTTCTGTCGTCAGTGTCACCTGAAGGTCGCAGAATCCATCAGGTCAGCAGCTTTCTCTACACAGGTCAACCTGCAGAAGTCAAGGACAAAGTAACTTTAATATCAGGATAGGTGGGTTATCTATTGTGGGGAAGTCAGAGTTATCATGATACCAACATTTGAAATGTTGATAAGATTCTCGTAAAAATTAAATAATGGCTGTTTCAATACCACAGCAACAAAAATGAGTTTCTTAGCCCCAAAACTGGGTGGCTTTATCTTTAATTTCAAACCTGCATCAACATTAACATCAAATTCATTACTAAATTGTCTCTTTTTCATTTCGAACAATAATAATAATAATGAGGTTGATGAAAGACAGATTGTTGTGAGTTTTGGATTTTTCTGTTTTCAACGATATCTGAATTTTAAACTTCAATACAATTCTAGTGAAAAATTTAACAATATTCCACATCAGTACCCTAGTGGTTAGTGCGTACGGCCCATGTACGGAGGCTATAGTCCTCCAAGCGGACAGCCTGGGTTAGAATCCGACCTGAGGCTCCTTACTCCCCCATGTCACTCTCCACTCTCTCTCCCTCCCTGATTTCTGACTCTATTCACTGACCTATCTCTAAAGATATAAAGGCATGAAAAGCCCAAAATTAAACATCAAAAAAAGTATCAATAGTGATACCTGTTTCATTACCATGGCAACAAAATCACAAGTCCAAGGCAAACTCCTGAACACAGTCTACGATGCATAAATACATTGGAAACGTTATTTTGTGCAGTGTAGAAAGTCTTCTTTTTTTTCAGCTCGCGGAAGCTTTTGGTTAAAAATAGGCCTGAAGAGCTGAAGTTTGGTTCTTTAACTATCGATCATTAAAATAAAATAAATTGAATCATTTTACAACCTGTGGAATCAAAGTATCACAGACTTTATCATCCTTAAAGCACATTAAGTTTATAATGTCAGTGTTTAAAAAAGAAGGAGTCTGTGATCCAGCTGAAGCAGAAGAAAGAATTCTCTCCAGTTTGAATACTCTGCTAACCTCTCAGGTCAAAGTAGTAACTTTACTTCTCATGCTCTGTTGCCTTCAAACACACAGAATTTACCTTTCCAGTACTTCCTGTTCAGGGGAGAGCTCTTCCTGATGTGGGGCGGCTGTCTCTGGGATGACGGTCCACTCTGGCTCCTGTTTGGTCTCCACGGTGTTGCCCCTGACAACAGCCTGGGAGATGGGAGAGTCACATCGTAACTGTGCAGATAAGAGAGGGAGGGAAAGATGGAGCGAGCGGTGAGCCTATCCAATTACTGAGGATTAGCACCCTGCAGCTGCTGCTGTGTCTTCTACAGGTCACTCCCAGCCACAGAGACTGCTGAGCTTTTATCTGACCCGCACAACACTTCAGGAAATGCATTTTACACTTTGTTAACATGTCTCTTAAAAGGAACACAATTCAAAGCTGCATATGCAACAAGTACAATGTAAAGAAAACATGAAGAACTGGATGAAAATGCACTATTTCTAAAAACAATCCACAAAAATCTGCAGGTTGTCTTTTCAAATCAACGTTGCAAACCCTTTAAAACAAATGTTTCAGTTCCGCCATCTGTGTCTCTGCTGCTAAAGTTAAATATCAGGAATGTGTGATTGAGGTGGCTTAGTTTCCTCCTCCCACTCCCTCATTATTTGATTACATAATTCAGTGACATTATGTTTTGAGTTTGTACACAGTTTTGTTTTGCCTCTGTCTGTATCATTTGACTTGACTACTCTAATATTCTTGCTCCACATTTAAACATTTTTGTTGACGTTACATTTTCATATATTGGTAAGTATTTCTTTTTACACTAAATTTAAGTTTTTTATTCTACTCACAACCTTTTCTTTTTTATTATTTTATTTCTGTGTTGATGTATTTAATATCCATGCTCTCTTTTCGAATTAGGACCTCAGTATCTCATTTTGTTTCCATTCATGAATTAAAATGTTATGGAATGAAACTAAAACCTCCTCGAGTCCTTTACATTTTTAACTCGTCAAAAACGGTACAAATTACTTCTTTTTTTAAAAGTTTTTTTGGGGGGCTTTTTATGCCTTTATACAGCGACAGGACAGATAGAATCAGAAATTGGGAGAAAGGGAATGCCTTGCGGGAAAAGAGCCACAGGTCGGATTCGAACCCGGGGCGCCCGCTTTGAGGACTCAGCCTCCATTCATGGGGCACATGCTCTAACAACTAGGGTACCGGCGCCCCAAAAGAAAAAACTTTTGAGACCATGTGGGATATTTTCTCTAATAATCCAGCATTACAGCTACCAGAGTTATCAATATATTTCAGATATCAGAAAATGTTCTCTTTGTTACTCAGAAACTGCCTTAATGACTGACTTTTGGTTAGAAAAGTACAACAACAAAAATAATAATTTCCTAATCGTTTATTGACAAAGATAAAAGGTATTTTATGGGGCTGTCGTGAAAGGTGGATTCTTTTGTCTAAACATTTGTCATATTTTCAGGTTACATAATTTACATATTAAGCAATACTACAGGTCTGTTGGGAGATTTGTCCTTTAACTCTGTGAAGTCCACCGACTCTCAGTCAAGATCAAAATAATGATTATGAATGCTTGTACTAGTTACACATCCAAAGGCAGAAAGACAGACTACACTCATATTTTTCAAAGGGTGCATGCATATAAAACAGGATAGTCCTATATTAACAGATGGGTCGTCAGTTTGGACTAAAAGAAGCAAACTGAATCATGTCATAAAAAACTAAAACAAAAACTATTAAAGACTGCCTGACAGGCCCAAATCATAACCTACTGTTAAATAAGGCCGCCTGTGGAGGATCACGTGCACAGAAAACCACAAAAAAAGTTCAATACAAAAACTTATAATGCAATGTTAACTAAAGAATAAAGAGAATTAAAGACTCATTATAAAAGATGCATGGAGTTAAACTGTTTTTAAATCATAGTGAGTTCTTTATCTAATTAACTAAATAACTAACATAACTTTCAAAACACAAAAAGTAACTTTTAGATGCAAGATCAAGCTTAAATTGTGCTATTAGAAATAGTTGATAAACCAAGACAAAGAAATAAATTCAGTGCATAAAGCGTGCGTTCTCCTGATACCTGTATATGAGCCTGTGTCGGCTGATGTCTTCCTGTGATGTGCAGGAGACGAGCTGTCAGCTGCTGCTCTTTGGCTTTAAGTGCAGGTTTCAGATTCTTCCCAGACGCAGAGCTTTTACTTTGCCTGAGGTCATCTTTGTTCTCAGCTGGGACCTCCTGAGCTCGGACCTGGAGGACATCCCTACAGGGCTGCACCGACACACCGACGCCCATGGGTGAGAGGTCTTGTTGTGGGCTGTCAGCGTGTTGTTCCTGCGGGGGATTGTTGCTCCGCTGTGTGTCGGCCGACGTGCCAGTCGCTCTCAGCGGGGTGTTACCCCAGAGCTGCCGTCCCCTGCTGAGTTAAGAAATGTTCATCGAGGGGGGGGAAGTCGGGGCCGGTCAGTTAGAACCACTCAGTACAAGAGGAACCTCATTAAGAATAATAGACTTGAAGGATTACAGAGTGACAAACGTTTATAGAGAGGCTGTCTGCTTCTATAAGACCGTGCAGTACGATGACTCAACATTTAGAGTAGCGATGAATCTTTGTATAATTTCAGGGTTTATTCTGTTCTGTTTTATTCCAATTTGAAATTAGCTGCTCAAACGGAAATCTGATCTTCTTTGTTGTGTGCAGCCTAACTCTAAGGGGGTTAGGCTTAGTCCAAATATATAAAACCTGAAGCATTTTTATCTCAATTTGAAATTCAACTTCAATTGATCTTACAAATAAGAGGTGAAATGCATGTTTACATGTATCTTAATGAAGTAGCTTAATAAGCTTATTACCTCAGGGACTCAAAACAATACCTAAATCCAAAGTCACAATTTAAAGTAGCTAATAAAAAAGTTTGAGGTGTGGAGAGGCAGTCTAAAGTGAAAGTCCGAGGCACTCTGATGTCGTATAAAAATCAATTTCAACATAAATCCCACCTCTGGCAATGCAATTAAACAATAATAGTCAAGGATTTTTGGGTGGCCAATATATTTCAATGACTACAAGGCCCTAACGGTGAAATCCACAGCACTGAAACTTGATTCACAGTCACAGATTATATCTCGAAAAAAAATGAAAAAGGCTTTCAACTAAAAATGTTACACTAACTCCTTTTTTACAATGTAATGATGATCCTCATTAAACAGTTTTATTCTGGCTGGGTAAAGGACATGTTTTGACTTGTTGGTCCAAAGAATAACTTGCAGTGCAGAAAATGTTTTTTTCTGAAAGCTGCAGACTTTCAATGCATACAAATCAAAATCATACAGTTGTATATGAAAGAATTGTATGCAACATCTCATAGTGCTTGTCTGTAGCAGGATCTTACTGGTCAGATTGGAGCATTGTGTCACTGGGTTGTGTCTCCTGCACTTCCTCTGACTCCCTCAGTGGGTCTGTTGTCAGGGACGATTCTCCTGGTGTCAGCGTGTCACACAGCTCCTGCAGGGATTCAGCTCGTTCCTCCACAGATGCGTCTTCATCTGTGACGGCCTGAGAGGAAACATGAACTCCTGAGTCACTGAACTCAAACTTTATTTTTTTTATCTTGCTACTATAATAACAGAGTCACACAACACTTTCAAATGTTAACGTGAATCATGCAGAGTTAGGGCAAATACCTGTCGCTGTTGCAGCACAGAGCCACGGTCAGTCTGGTCAGTCGCTTCATGCAGATTGTTAGTTTGCGTTTCACATTGCACAACAGAAAATGAATGCTCTCCCGCTCTGATGTGAGACCGCAAGACGGGAACAAAAGCAGCAATTTCTCTGCGTACATCCTGAGAGCGACACAAACAAGCAGACACTTATATTTAAGTGGTGCCAGGTAATCATGCATGATTCATCATGTATCATATATCCTTTATATGAAAGGACAGCTGAAGAGAGAGTTGGGAGGAGATAGTGGGGGATGACTTGCTGCAAAGGGCCGAGGTTGGATTCAATCCTCTGTACATGGGACGCACAACATAACCGCTAGGCTCTCCGCTGCCCCAAGAATTGTCATCTTGTCAAGCAACCTGCTCGAATACTAATAAATGTATTTGATGCTACAGCCAGTTACAGTCTACCACTGGTCTCCCACATTTAATCAACTCCATTTATTCAATCTTTAAGACATTTAATTTATTACAAATGGGAAAAAAACAGAAACATTCAGAGGTGATACTTTTAAATAATGTATTTTTAAAGCCTTAATACTGCTTTAAAATCTCAACCGGACCTTTCTTTCTGACAGAATTTTCTAAAAACAGTATAGGTTTTCCAAATGGAGTCCCTGTCGTACCTCCCACTGTTTCCTGACCGAGTCAGAAAGGCGGCTCACTTCCTGGAGTTGGGACCCCGTGCAAAAGGCCCCAAAACCCTCCACTGCACCCAGGAACTCCTCGAGGACGGCAGGCTGAAGAACTTTTAAAGCTTTCTGAACAAAAAAAGACACAAAGCTGGACAAAGACGGACAAACAAGACTGGCAGCTGTGCAAAGCAAAACACCACAGACCTTTAAAGGACTGATCTGAATTTTGAGATTGGATTTTTTTATTCTTAAGGTCTGGATGTTGGAACATGAAAAGCAGCTTGGATTTACGCTTTTGAAGCAACATGGTGCCAACAAGCTGGCTTCACATACATTCTGAAATAACTCTTACTTATTAGCTAAAACAGAGTTGATATTTTTGGTGGGTAAATGTAGAAAACAAAATCTGCTCTAGTACTTTTTTTTTTTATTTGGTTTTAAATTCAAACAATGAAAATACCATTGCTGCAAATCCACATACATTGCTCTTTGTTGAAAGACTGGATAAAATATGTGATGTACTTTTTTGTCACTAAGAAAACATGCACTGGGAATAATCCTGGCCTTTTAATTTGTATTTTTAAAGCATACCTGTTTCCTCTTGGCTTGTGTGTCTGAAATGTCTCTGCCTCCAAATAAGTTGATGGCTTGCTGGATGCGTCCTTGCAGGTGAAACCTGGCCTTCAGCAGTCGGCTCTTTGCCATTGACTGGGCTTTTGAATGAACCTCACTGCGGTCCATGGCTGGTGGAAGAGGAGGTTTTTTCTCTGTCTGTGGAGTCTTCGGTTTGCTTACAGATCTGGATTTTGATTTGTTGGTTTGTAAAGTGTGTGAGCTTTCTTTTTCCTTGGAGACTGTACTTGTTACAAGTTCAGAAAAACTTGGACTTGGAGCCTGATTGAAGGTTTGGGGAAATGACTGAGGCTGAATCATAGGATGGGATCCAGTATCTTTTCTAGTTGGAGTGAGAGGAGAGTGAATTTGTGGTACTGGTTCTCTTAAAGGCTGAGGCAGTATTTGGACTCGGGGTATGACAATGGTCGGTTCATCCTGTGTAACAATCTGCTGGAGATCTTTCGCTCTTTGTCGAGGCAACTGAGATGGAAACTCTGCTAGAAACTGATTTGGGATGTGGGTTTGAACGGAAACATTCCCAATCTTGTCCACATGTTTGGTTCTGGCCACAACAATGGCCCCTGGCTCTGGCTGCTTCTGTGTCTGATTGGCTGCTCCAACAGGTCGCTGGAATCCAAGCGAGCTAAACATGCCAAGAATCTCCTGAGAAAAAAACAAAAAACAAATACAGATGACATTATTCAACATTAAATATGCAACAACTGAAGAACCTGAGGAACGAAACCAAACGTCGCTTGAACTCACCTGGCAGTGGTTAACCGCCTCTGAGATCCTGTCCTGCATGTCAGAGGTGCTGAGGTGCTGCAGAGGAGAGGTTTTCTGTACCTGAGCCACAAGGACCTGCAGATCCTGCCCCTCAGTTACAACCTGGTTTTCCAGCTGCAGGCCTCGAGAGATCAGAGCCTAGAAATGATTATATAACACGCAGTGTGTTATGTCTATTATATTACTTATATTATCATGTTATACTGTTTATGTGTTTTGTCCTGTGTTACATGTTATATATGAGTATGAGGTGTTCTGGGATTATTTGTGATGGTTTAAACAAAACATCGATGACTATGGTAATCCCTGATAATTAGAGTGTTCACAAAGTTTTAGCTCGCTGACTTTGGCTGTAGATTGCAGCGCAGGACGTCCTTTGTGTTTTCTCTCCTTTAGTTGTTGGTAGCAGTCCAGGGTCTCGGTGCTCCAGTGGTTCAGTTCTGCCAGACGGCCCTCCAGCCTGGATGCAGCCCTCTGCAGCTCTCCACAGGTCCTCTCTGCTTCAGCAAGCACCTGTCGTACACGTACAAGTCATCAGATGTCATCAGATGTAAAAACCTGCCCTTAGTTTGTCACAGCATTATGAACAGAACTGGTTTAGTTTTAACTGCTAGAAGAAATGAAACCTGTTGAAATGTATAACAGATAGGTTGGGGATTTTTGCATCACCTGTGGGGGTGTGAAGTCTGTGGACGGACTGAGAGAGGAGAGGTCCACCTCAGTCATCTTTTTGCTGATCAGCTGGTCAAGAGAAAACAAAAGAAATAAAATAAGAATTGTTATAGAGTTATGACTGTTTCCATCTTTCCCTTCATGTATCTTTACTAACCTGTAGCTTCTGTTGTTTAGCCTTCAGTGGGGACTGAGGACACCTCCAGTGGCTGATTTAGTAGAAAGCTGGCCTCCTGGGTCAGTGAAGGCACCGTTTGAAGACACAGAGGGCCTACACTGGACTCTGAGGATACACCCTGAGAGAAACATGCCATCATGTGAAAATCACATTTTGTTTTGCTCCATAAAAAGTCAAAGAAAAAAAGCCTTGATGGGAAAAAAAAGCTACATCATTTTGAAATGAAGTCTACATTTACTTGAGCTTTACTTTAACGACAGGTTAAGTCTGAAGTGACAGTGGATGGATCAGTGAGAGCAGTGATACTCACAAACTTCGTCCTCTTCACACATCCAGCCCACTGCATGTTGATCTTTCTGAGTTGCTCTGTCAGAGCGAGGCTGGCTGAAGAATCTGTCACTTCGATGAGAAAGTTCCCCGCCTCATTTAACCTGGCCTGACACGATGTCCACTTACTCATATCCTGCAGCAATCAAAACAAGAAATGATAATGGATCTCCACTTCAACGAGGAATTACTTTACGTTGCAACACTGAGAGTCAGAAAAGATTCTTTTTCTGGACAAACAGACTGAGGTACCTGATCATGCATCACGTCTCTCTGCTGTGTCAGCCATGTCTGCAGAGAAGTCATGCAGTCGTTGTAAGTCTCCCACTCAGACGCCACTCTCTCCATCGTCCCTCTCACCGCCGTCACAGCCTGTTGTATCAACTCAGCTTCCCTCTCTGCCTCCTTCACCTGCAGAGTAACAGTCTGGGAATCTCCACCTGGACGGGAGAGAGTGTACAGAGGTCAAATCTTTTGGAAATAAGATTTCCTCACATAAAATATGAAGGTAGGATTCGGTGCTTTAGAGCAAATAATCACAGGCACATATTCAGCTCGTACTTAACGCTGCCTTGCTTGTGTAAGCATTCGCCTTTTTCTGCAGCTTTTGGAGAGCGTCCATCAGAATCAAAAGCTGTCCTTGGCGGTCCATAGTTTCCTAGAAAACAAATCAACCAAAGTCGTCACTTGTGCAAGTTTCTAAAAAAGCATCAATTATCACACTACTCTTTAATTTTTAACTAAAGCCAATATCATCGATTTGCCGTCCTAAATCCTTTGCAAGAGAGTTTGTTAAAATCCATTTCCACCACAATAATACTGCCAGAATGAGTTTTTTTTTTTTATTTGATGTCCTGCTCTCAGATACTCACATGCCAGTCCTGCAGAAGCTGGGTCACTGTCTCCTGGGACCTGTAGGGGGCTTTCCATGTCTGAACCTCAGCATCAACGCGGCCCAGGAGATCAAGCACAGTGTGACGAGATTCCTTGTACTCCAACTTGATCCCTTGATACTTGGCTGTCACTCTGATATTTGTTAAACTGTTCCAAAAAAAAGAAGGTTTTTATGCATCATTTGAATGTTTTAATGGAACCAAAATGCTGGTACTTTTAATATAAGACGTCGATAATAATCAAAACTGAATATCACTGAATATCACTTACCGTCTTTTTACCTCATCAAACTTTTCAAGGGGCACGACTAAGTTCCCCGAGACATCCATGTTTTTGAAGGTATCAAGGATATTGACATGATGGCTCATCTCTTTAATCAATGTCTGAAAAAACAACATTATAAAGATGTTACATTATGACAACTAGTTTCATCTCACAAGTAGACAGATAACACACATTTCCAGTTCATATCTATGGCCTAAATCAACCCCAGTCTACAGCTTGTTGAAGCCAATGCATAATGTCTCTGTTGTTTTTAACCTTTAACTTGTCTTGTTGAGTTCTTGCATCTTTAGCAGCATCTGCATGATCTCTCTGTTTTCCTCCGTCTTCTGTTAGCGCTGCCTCTGCACGCTGCAGCCACACCATGACTGAGTCCAGAGGAGGAGGAAGACTTGAGTCCAGGTCTGCTTTACACCTCTGCAGCTGGACAAGACACACATATACAGAAACCTGGTATGAGTACAGGTTCTGGTCTTTGCAATGTAGCCTAACAAAGTGTTTATTAGTCCGCTGAAGAGGGACGAAGGAAGTGAATTGGACGGAGCTATTCTCCAGACAAAACATAAGTGACTACAACTCTCCATCTGTGGACGTCCTCACCTCCTCCTCCATACGATCCGACGCTGTCCTGAGAGCTCGCTGCTCCTGGCTCAGCTCAGGGCAGCGCTTTACTGCAGCGAGGAGGGTCATCACTGGTTTCCTCTGCTCAGTGAACGAGTCAGACAGTTTCTGAAGTACCTGATGATCCACATACAGACATATCTTCTTAACACTGTCCAAATGATTCACAGTTGTTGTTTTTTTCTATTCTTAGAGAGCTTGTTCTTTGCCTCACCTGATATTTTTCAGCAAAGCTTGAATGTTCTGTAGCTGTGCGTGCCTCTGACAGCTCCTGGTAGGCTTGCTGCAGCCAGGAGGTCAACTCTAGTGCTCGCTCACTTTGGGGGACCTAAAGGTTCAATATTGAGGTGTATTTATGGGAGTCATAACTTTTGAACTCACGAAAATTGAATTTCGAAAAGCTAGCAAATAAAAGATTTAAAGACAAAAGAGGAGTTGTTACAGCTACCTGGCGTAACGGTGAGACAGCGAATGCAGGAGTAAAGTGAGCAGGCAAGTTGACAGATGGGAGAGAAGAGGGCTCAACCAGAGGAAACAGCTACCCACCAACACCACAACAGAATAAACAGGATCAAAAGAATAAACAGGAAATGTTGGGTAAACAGGAAATGTTGGGTTGAAGGACTGAGCAGGGAAAGAAAGCAGCAGGGCGAAACAGTAGTTTGTTTTTAAGAGGACAGATTCAGATTTGACTTCAGCTATGTTGTGATTTCTGCAGTGAAGTTTTCAGAAGCTGTGACACTGAGAGTGAAGTTCTGGTTTTGGTTGCCTACCTGCAGGTGGTCATCAGGTGAAGGCATGTCATTGGAGTACTGGAGAAACTGGGCCACATAAGTCATAATGGACTTCTCATCAGGGTCTTTAACATCCACATCTGAAGTGCATGTAAATACAAAGAAAGGTTTAGTACACCTTCTTTAGAAACAAATGGTCGATGTAACTGAGATAACATCCAGTCTATGGTCGCACCCATCTACCAAAATCAAGGAGGCAGACATATGTATGAGGCTAAACAGGTGACCAACGTAATATAACTCAAAACTACTACTGTGGTCCAAAAAATCTTAACCTTGATTTTACGTTTAATGCTCTTTGTCATTTGATATAGATGGCTACAACCCTTTGTTGACAATCTGAAAAAGTCAGCCTCACCCTGGGCTCCAGCAGACGGGGATGTGGAGCTCCCTCTCAGCCAGGTGAAACGCCTCTTCCAGGTTCTCCTGGTTGCGTCTGAACCGCACAAGAGAGAGATCAACCAGCTGTGGCCTGAGAGAGCACAGGATGGCCAGGAAGGCCTCTCCGCTTCTCCAGCTCTTCTTAAAGTCCTTCACACTTAGAGAGCAACCAGCCCTGGAGAGAGAACCACAAATTAAATACCCTTAAAAGCAGTGTAGGCCTAGAAGTAGATTTACCGTACACAGACGGTGGATAACCAACCTTTGGCACTGGTCCCTGACCCACATGAGCAGGGCCTTCTTGGCAGATATTCGGAAGTGTTTATGCAGAGGTGAAGTCCGGCCTGCATGGACTGGACTAGCTGGGACCGGGCTGCCAGAAAAGGAGTCCAGGCTGGTCAGAGAGTCGAGGGAGGAATGACAAGAGCTGTAGGAGAGAGTGCTGGCCAGCTCCTCTATCTAAAACAGAGAGAACAATACAACGGATATAACATGACCCGTGCCTTTGAAAGCAGTAGTGGTGTTCAGAACATTAGTTATGATCTGTACTCACGTGACAGTGGAGGATGATGGTCCAGATGAGGCCGAGGATGATGGAGGGCCGTCCATCCATGATATCTGGGATGTTAATGTTCACCATTTTGATCTGATCAAACAAAACAGATTCATTAATACACCTAATGTATTTCTCTCTGTGTTTCTCTGCCATTATTCATGTTTTTTTGTTTTTTAGTGGAAGCTTACTGATTTTTTCTTGAGAAAGTTTAGTGCTGTCTCGATGTTGGCCCTCTGCTGGAAAACCCCTCGGCCCCTCTGTCTTTTCTGTGAAGACAAATCACAACATCAGCTTTATTGTGAGAATAATATCCACTTTATCTGTTTCTGTGTTTGTTTGGATTTCGACTAGCCCAACACTCACACTGGAATACTGCCATACAGATCAATCATAGACTTCTTGGAGGGATTTTTTTTTTTAGGAGGAATCAGAAAAAAAACCATCTGATTGACTCACCATAGGTTGACCAGTCATCACCTCCAGCAGGTCGAGCAGCTGTGACCCATTCTTAAGGTCAGAGAAGAGGTCTGACACGTGTGAGGGAGGGCATCTCTGTAACAATACAAACAAACAAACAAACAAAGTTAAGTTTGATTTATTTGTCAATCCAGCTGCAGGATGTTTGAGATCAGGGGAAAAATATCTCCCATCTTAAACTGCACTGATCCATCCAGTGCAACTATGACGACTCTTCACTTGTCAATCTTTGGCAAAGAAGATCAACGCCTTTTTAATTTGCATTTACACAATAAACAGTTTAAAGTATACGCTATCAACAACAGCATCAAGAGCAATTGATCATAACACTAAAATCATTGGGGACCCAGTAATCTCAGAACCGATCTGTTATTGCCCGACAATGATAAAGCCTCTGAAGGGGGCGTCTAGAGTACATTTAGGGGCTTCTGGTGTCAATGGTAGATGGATGTTGGAAATATAGCTGAGGGTCACTGTTTGACAGAATATCAATCTGCTGATAATAAACAAAACAAGAAGTCATTCAGAGTACTCTCTTGTCATTCAGTAAAAAATAAACAAGAGGATTGAGAAAATGAAATTTTCAGCAAATAAAACAAAAAACCTGACGTGCAAGGAACAAAAAAAAAAGCCAAGTATATCAGTATTTATTTGGTCATATCATGTTTCTTTAAATACTACATATACTGTAGCTCCTCAATAAATAAATGTGATAACTCCAAAAGTCCTTCATTTAAAACTGTCTGTTATGAATCTGTAATGGCTTCATATTTCAGTTTCAGGGGTCGAAGCTTCACGCCAAGCAGTGACTGCTGTCCTCTAGACATACAGGAAGAATCTCTTGTTGGGGGTTGGTCAGGAGATTGCTGTAACAGATGGCAGGTTATGAACCAGTGGTTTCAGAGTGCAGTCAGATGGGCATGAGTGTTTTTTTATGACGAGGTGGCAGGATTCAGGTTACGCGCTGTTCTGCTTCACCGGGGAACTATTTATACGCCGGGCGAGAGTCACAGACGTCTCAGTGTCTCAGCTCTGTGATGAGCTGCTTCACTGAACCTCAGCAATGAGTCAGCATGTCTAAAGTTTGCTTAATATCACTTACAGCTTCACCGCAGCATGACATCATGCCACACAACAGTCCCTTGGTAGAGTTTAAGAAAACATTTTTAATGCTCAAGCTTGTCTAAGTATAGCACACGGAAAAGCAGCTTAACTTTGTGCAAAAACATAAGTCAGCACTTTCCATCTAAGACAAAATATCGAAGACATTTCTAAAGCTTGTGCAGAAAGTGAAGGCATGCAATATAAAACAGTTTTCCTCTTACATGTGAACAAATAGTAGGAAACCTGACCTGCACCATTACATCATCCTTTCTCTCACACACTCACTATAAAACACTTCAACTGACAAGTTGAAAAATCTCATAAAGATCTTTCTCATTTGATAGCTGATAACAAACGTTTATGTGCTGTTATCTTTAATAAAGTTTCATTTAAAAGAAAAAAAAAACATTATTTACTATTACTTTGAATTACTTGCTTGTAATAGTTGTAAATACATATTGCCTTTATCTTTATTCCTATAAATTCTCATTTTATTTGTACTCTTCTTCTTGTCTTTTACTGCTGCAACACTTGAGTTTCCTCTCTGGGGATCAGTGAAGGATTATCTTATCTTATCTTATCTTAAGTACAAGGTTCTGACTTGACAAGCATAAAAAAGATTACTCTTGTGTTGTTTTAAGTATAACATGCATACAGCTCTCGAGCGCTCTTCAACAAATGCAGCAAACATGTTGTGTTCATTTATCCAACGAGCGTCACAGATGAGTGATATGTGTACCCGTGATGCTCAACTTACCTTCGAGAGTTGAGCGTTGATCCAGTTGGTGAACGTCCTTTTCTGAATCTGATCATGCTCCACTGTCGAGGAAACAGACAAAAGATTTGAATCGTTTCACAATCGAAAGTAAAGAATGAGAGAACGCTAGAACTCTCTCTGTTGGATGACATGAAGAGCTGCGATATTATTTAAGCTCCAGTGGCGAGTCTATTGGGGCCCTAAGGAAAAGATCAGTTGGGTGGGGCCCTCAAACCAGCGTTCAGCAGGGCAATAAGAGGGAATGCTGCCAGATGGGGCCCTCTTAGGAAGGTTTCCTAGTGTCATTGCAGCCCTGTCAGTTGCCTGCCTTGCCTGTTGACAAGCAGCGCCTCTGTTAAACTCAAACTTGAGTTTTGAGTTTAAATAAAAAATGCACGCAGTGTTTCATTATTAGTACATTGTTTCCTTTATGTCTCACTATGCTTTACAATAGGTAGAGCAGCAATGGTGTGAAATTGTTGTTTTTGTTTTTTGTCATTGGTAGGCTAGTACCAACTCCAGCTGGACTGAACAAACTATTAAATATAAATGTTCAGAGGGAGCTGACCTCCCCTGTCTGAAACATGCTGCAGCTGAATCATTCATAATCCTGAAACTTCATAACAACAGTGCAGCGCTCCTTTGAGCTGCAGGCAGGTAATCAGATACTCACCAGCAGCAGCCGAGTGACACACTCCTCCGCCCTCCATGCTTATTAGCGATAGTCAGTAAATCCATGTATAATGAGTGAAGTTTAAACAACATAACACGGCCCTGTCTAACACACGGTGACCCGGAGTTCCTCTTAACGCTGGAGTACGGCTGCCAGCTAAGATCTGGATACAAGCCGGGATGGCTTCCAAGACGGTGACAGACATAGACACTGACACTGTCACACACAGATACACACACTCTCACACACAGATAATACACACAGAGACACTCTCACACACTGCTAATACACACAGAGACACTCTCACACACAGATAATATACACAGAGACACTCTCACACACAGATAATATACACAGAGACACTCTCACACACAGATAATATACACAGAGACACTCACACACACTGTTAATACACACAGAGACACTCTCACACACTGTTAATACACACAGAGACACTCTCACACACTGCTAATACACACAGAGACACTCTCACACACAGATAATATACACAGAGACACTCTCACACACTGCTAATACACACAGAGACACTCTCACACACTGATAATATACACAGAGACACTCTCACACACTGTTAATACACACAGAGACACTCTCACACTGTTAATACACACAGAGACACTCTCACACACTGTTAATACACACAGAGACACTCTCACACACTGTTAATACACACAGAGACACTCTCACACACTGTTAATACACACAGAGACACTCTCACACACAGATAATACACACAGAGACACTCTCACACACTGTTAATACAGAGACACTCTCACAGCGATAATGAACTCTCAGACAGACGTATGCACACACACAGTGAGCGGATTTGGTCATACATGGTTCTTCAAAGGGTACTAGACCAGAACCTGTAAGCTTCTGTTACCAAAATATTAAACTTATACTATTTATAATGTGTTAAAGGATGTCCTTGTTACGGTGTCATAGGAGAGATGAAAATCTCATAGGAATGTGGAGGGAGGTATAGCATAGGAATTTATCTTCTATATAGCCTGGAGAGTAAATTGACAGCAAAAATGGAGCCAATCAAGAATCACAAATAAACCTAACGAGCAGGTCTGTGGACTGTGAGAGGAGGCCAGAGTACCTGGAGTACCCAGAGAGAACCCACACATGCAGGGGGAGGAGAACACGCAAGCTCCACACAGAAGGGCACCTGGTCCTGTACTTTAAGTTTTTAAAAGCGATGATGTTACCCAAGAGGTTTAGATGATCAGTGATAGTGTTGACTTTAAATACAACCTTCATAATGACACACAGTAGTAGTGTGTGGTCCCATGAGACTAAATCATGAGTCAATCCTTTTATCAATAAAGAGATGTTTGTGGAAATCAGAGAAAATCACTTTCAGTTTTATGCACTCACACTTGTCCTCCATGTGAGTCGGCTGTTTGTTTAAGAGCTTGCCAAGGAGGGGAACACCTCAGAATTTTAATCGCTGGCCTCCACCCAGTTCACTGGCATGCCCAGTACAAAAGAAGAAAGCGGCTTCATCACATGTATAATAACTTTTCGCTTCAGGCCTTTTTCAGACGCATCAGTCAAATGTGTTTTCTCATGGACCAATTATAGATCAACAAACAGAAAATGATTTAATGTCATGAGAGTCTCTGTGTGTGTGGAGATTTCAATAAGGACATTGTGATATTATTTTCATACCATAGTAAGGGGGGCGTTGATAGCGTATAGGGGTTAGAGCACATGCCCCATGTACAACGGGTGTAGTCCTCTGAGTGGACAGCCTGGGTTCAAATCCCTTCACGCATATCATTCCCCACTCTCTCTCTGTCCCTGATTTCAGACTCTATCCACTCGTCCTGTCTCTACAATAAAGGCAGAAAAAGCCCCAAAATAAACCACATTAATAACTTGTAATTATAGTCGCGCATTTGTTTTGGAGCCTGATGGTTAATAAAATCTTATTCTAAAAAAACTGTGAAAGAAAATGTAAAATTCTGGACACTGATGAGACATCATTACTAAGTTCTGCACATTTCTGCATCGAAATGTCTCAGAAATATAAAACAAATATATGAAATTAAGATTCATTCACTTATTTTTACAACGCAATAATGACATGACCTGTTTAGTTCTGTCATGTGTGTATGTTTGGTGATTGGCTACGATGTATACTATGACTGCAGTGGACATTTTTAGAGGTTTTAGCCAAATGAACATCTTTCCTGCACGGTAGTTTTTACTTCATGAAGTAAAACAAATAATCACGCTCAAAATAATGCAATGATGATTGAAGACCAGGAAAGTCGATGTTTCCTCAAATGCAAGCTTATTGGTGTAGAGCAAACAAACTCTACAGGTCTTTTAGTGATGAAAGCTGAAGATATAATATGGAGCAGTATAGAAACACAGACTTTACTGTATGTCTGCAGTTGTTGAGACAACGAGTGACATGTTTTTTTTTTGTGAACTAGAGTGAATCATTTCATACCAAACACAAGCCATTATTTAGTCTTTAAATTCAACAGTAAAAATAAAGATAGAGGCTGCATACATCTCTGTAACAACAGAACATTTTGTAAACTTGACCTTACAACTGTCCTTTTGTGTGTGCCTGAAGCAGCAGCTGTCATCTAGTGTGTTCAGGTGAATATTAAAATATTATTGATACTTTGTCAATAGGTAAACAACTGTATTGAATTCATTCATAAATTACATGCCTCATTTTTTTTTTCTACAAACGTGGGCAAATATCAGTCCCTTTGTGCAGACTTAGCAAAAAGTTGGGTGGGATAATGGATGTTAAAGAGACTGTATTACAAATATAGATCACATTCAAAGTTGACTTTTTATAACTTAGTCTTTGTACAAATGTTTTTTAAATGAGTCAAGGCAAAAACAAAGCAGCAGATTCTCTAAATCATTGTAATATTCTGAATCTTAACCCCTTCATTATGATACATGTTACATTGTCTCAGTGGTTTCAGTTCACAGAATTTCTGCGTGTTTTAAGGTTTATTTTGGGGATTATTCTGTCTTTATTTAGAGATAGGACAGTCGATAGAGCCAAAAACCAGAGAGTGGGAAATTATGTGGGAAAGCAGACAGGTCGGATTCGAACCTGTGCCGCCCACATAAGAGGACTATAGCCTCTGTACATGGAGCGTGCACACTAATCACATCCCCAGCAGCGCCCCGTTCAGAGCCTTTCTGTTTACTTAATGTTTTGGATTGTCAGAAAAGTCTTTAAATGTTTTGGATGTGACGTCCCGAAACAGAAAAATAAAATGTATCGTCATTAAGTTTACAAAAAGCTGGTGAGACGGGCCACCACCTCCACTTTCCCTCAAAATGTACGAGCCCACAGTGCATGTAACACTCTCACTTCTTAGCTTGGCGCTGCCTTAACCTGAGGGTCAACCTGCCATGTAATGCACATTGTAAACTCATGCATTCATAGTGAGTATTAGAGTTCTGTCATATCAGAGCGAGTTTGGTCAGCACTGTAATTCCCATGACAACAAATCACTTTCCACAGCACATATTAAAGTACAGGAATAGACTGACCTTGGAGGAGCATGTGCATGTTGTCGATGTCCAATGGAATGCCTCCATCGTCTTCCTCTGCTCCACCCGAAGCCATGCAGCCTCCAACCACAGCGAAAGATCAACCTCAGAGAGGGAACAGGAAAACGTGGAGAAGTCAATTGTCCACTCCGGAGAAAGCGCAGAAAGCTCAGGGTAAATACTGCTGAGCAAACTTTCTTTTTTCCAAAACATTGGATCTGATCTCTGCTGCCTCATTAGTCATGTAAGAGAAAGAACGCACCCATCCACACCCTGACGTTACCACAGAAACACACACACATACAAGTAGACACATGCAAATGCTCAAACACAGAGCTCAAAGAGGATTCAATAGTCTGCTGTATGGAAAGAGCTAATGTAGATATATTAAAATAGACAGCCTGGTCACAAATCCTCAACATACCTGTAGCGCTGTAGTCACTGAACACAGCTATGGTGCACAACAATAAAGAACTGCACAGGAAATGTCCTCAGCTGTGTCCTTTCATATTGGCACAACACTGTTTGGTTTCACTATGTTGAGTCCCTTCAAATAGGACGTGGCCTTTAGGTGCTCATAAATGAAACAAGGTGCCTTTTCCCATTGGAGCGTGCCGGACAAAAAAGGCTGGAAGTCCCGCCCACATTCACTCCAGGCCAAGATCACTCCTGCAGGCTAAAATACACACCTAATCTTCTCTGGAAGAAAAAAAAAAAGTCATATCCTGACAAGTCCCAGAGGTGATTAGTTTAGTGTTCAGGTTTGTTTGCAAGGTTTTGTCCCCCTCTTCTTATTCCTGTTGGGGAGCTACAGAAGTGCAATAATGTAAGAGTTAAGGAACAAGAAGACCTTTGGTTTGTTTCATTAATGCTTAACTGTTTCAGGTTCCCTTGATGTTTCATATCAGTGTTTTACAATGTTATCAAGCTTTCACTCACTGAGTTTCACTTTGGCTACAGCTGTCTACTAAGGCTTTTTAGTTTAAAGTGGAAAACAAGTAAATGATACATGTTTTGTAATACTTGACCTGGAAATAAAATTCATACTTGGATTCTCAGTAAATCAGGGACAAAAAAAAAACCCCATTGTTGATATAATTAGCTGTACCTGAAGAGAGAGAGAGGGGGGAGGGGAGGGGAATAACAGTAGAGCATGTCACACTATGCCACCTTTACCCTTGAGAGCAGTGCCAGTGTTTTATTTGTTGCTTCACTATGGTGAGCGGACAAAGCTGGTGGAAAGTCGGTGTCCCACACAGCAGCTGCGCCCTCACCTCAAATTCCCACTTCTATCACGGCAAAGCACGGGTGTCATAAAGTAAAACAAGATATAAGATCTGTGAATTGCAATGGAAAGTGAAACAAGAGGGTACAGTTTAAATTGTTATGATGGTGAAGATCATTTAAGAAGGCAGGATATAAATGCATGAATTAAAGGAAAATGATAGCAGGTTTAAACTGTGTGATGTGTTGCTATTTTTGATTTAAAAGTCTGTATTTATACTTTTCAGTGGTGATTTATTGTATATGTAACCATGAAACAAGTTGCCAGCTGTTGGCCTTTGACCTCTGAAATAAAAACCACAACATTTTTTTAGATCTCTGACCAAATATTAATTCATAAAAAACATGCCGGCATGGTAACCTGCCCTGATGAAGGCCTGTATGGCTGAAACATATTGGCATGTTTTTATGAATCTGTAGCCCTGATGTATTAAAGGCTTTGTATGCATAACCCTCTGACTGCCTCAGACCTCTTCAATAATATACTGCATATAATTCTTGATTTGTCAAAATGAGAATATTTCCAAATTCATATAAAAATGTAAATCAGTTCAAGAGAGGAACTATTTATGTTTAGTATTCGCAGTTAAATCCTCAAGGTGGAGCCAACAGATAGCTAGTCGTAAAATCGTGTATCGTGTACCTCCATTGGGTGGCGCTGTAGTCCAAAAACAGGAAGTAAACGCGACACAGAGGAGCGTAGAAGAAGACTTCCCCCACGACTTTGGTGTTTGGCAGCAGCGTCTTTCCTGACCTTCCTGCAGCAGCGTGACAAACTGAAAGGTAAGAGAAGAAGTCACACTTTTTTTTTAGTTGCATTCACCTCAGTTTTAAAATGCAAATGATTAACTTAACAACCTTACATTAAAATGAAGCCAACGTCGTTTCTTACTGAGGCTGCGTGTGCTACAGCGAGCTAAGTGGCTAGCTCTAGTTAGCGTCCTTTCCTGGTTATCCGGTGAATGTGCTCAGCAGGGGGGGGCCTTCATTGATTCAGACATTTGAATTGCAGTGTCAAAGTAAATAAATATAAAAAAAACAAAAGGTGCCGCTTCACCTGTTTGTTTTGAGCTCAGTTTCGCAGGTGTCCAAAGTCACTTGTAGGCCTGACACATCTGAGGGTCACGGTTGTATTTTGGGTCCTTCAGCTTCTTCATCAGCTTTAAATCCAGTGACAAGATAATCTGCAGGAGGGAAACCAGGTTAAAAACACACCTGAAGTCAGCATTGGAGCCTAGGGTGTTCAAGTTATTAGTTAAATCTTGGGAGTGTTGAAACGTCTTGGACTGTCTGTCCTTCACCTGTGTTTTAGTTGTCAAACTGTAATTTGAAGTTGTGACATCATCCTGAGAGATTTTTTTGACATTTCTTTGTCTTACAGATGGCTGGAAAGGCTTTTACAAACTGGTGGTCCTTGATGAGCCCGTACTACACAAAGGCCTACCAGGAGATGTGGGTGGGCATGGGCATCATGACATACCTGTACTACAAAGTGTCCTATGGAGGTGAGTTCACAGGTGGAACAATAACATGCTTTACATTAGAACTTGTTGTACCCTATAACTTGCGTTGAAACACACGTCAGAAACTGCTGTCACATTTACTCTCCCCAAGTACTGAAACGTGAATTTCAGCAGTTGTCATAAAACTCGAGCGGTGTTTCATATTAGTTTGTGCTGAATGTGACTGATATAAGCTGTGCTTGTTTCTGCTCCAGGCAAGAAGGCCTGTGAGTTCACACTTCAAGTCTAAGTAGAAATGCTTACATTATAACTTATAGATATAATCTTTATTATCTTTGTATACAAGGACACAGCGAAACTTCGTTAGCAGCAAACCTTAAACAGCAGCGTTTACAAAAACAATTAAAATATATTTGTGATGTGAGAGAGAAGTGTGCAAAAAGTGGCTGTTCAGTGAATGAATGATGATAATAATAATAATAAATAAATAGACAGTTGTGTTCACTGGAAGAATATATACAGTTATTATTTTTGCAGTGACTGATTATTAAACAAATATAAATATAGAGATATAGTGCAAATAAGTGAAGTTATAGTGCAGTGACTGAATGAATAAATAAATAGACAATTATAAAGCAGTGAGTTACAAAGTTATTAAACAAGTATTATTGAACAGTTAGCTGCAGTTAGGTAATTATTGCACATTGTTGTACCCTATAATTTGCATTGAAACACATTTTTGTCATAAAATGTACTTTACCAAATACTGAAACATGAATGTAAGCAGTTGTCGTAAAACTCAGAGGTGTTTCATATTAGTTTGTGCTGAATGTGACTAATATGAGCTGTGCTTCTTTTTATTCCAGGCAAGAAGGCCGTGAAGGACAGTAAGTGCTCGAACATCTTCTAAACTGACACTATTCAGCTGGAAATTAACCTACAATACTCGTCACAACTTTGGGGTTAAGGTTCAATATGTACACACTGTATATTCATTTTTTTCCAATCGTAAAATAGTTGGCTCTGTATGTTTATAAATTCCACTTCATGTATTGTACAACATATATTTATTCAATAGCTACAAGAAATACACACAATTTTATTCACTTGTGAACTATTTCAAGTGTTTTATGTATTTTTATAATTTTGTGCAATGGCCCAAAATATATTTTCATACTCAGTGTATCAAAATTTCACTGACCATTAGTGGCTATGCTTACAGACCTTTATGAATATGGGGTAATGGTGTAAATAGTAACAGTACAGATGTATAGCTATTTTGTTTTGACCTTGTATTACTTTATGTTATATAATTTGCTATATGATCTAATTTGTTGGTTATTGTATAAATAATGAAGTTATATATCAGGATTGTCCTTTTATCTTTTTTTAGGGAGCATAATAATCACTTTCATTATTAACAACTTTGTGTAGATTTTATGATTTTTGTCTCTTATTTTCTCTTTAAATTGAAAATAAAGAAATGTCAATTTTAAAAAGGTGACCAAGAAAAATCAAGAGTTGGATGCGGTGCAATTACATGTGATTTCCTCTAGATGTCGCTGACAAATGGCTAATCCAGCTAATACTGGCTGATATTTTAGGGCTCTTTAGCGGTTAAATAAATCAAGAACATGGCCCAGTCTGGGTTGGACAGAATGTGTTTTATGCATCTGGGTTATTAAAAACTTTTTTGTGGTCTTCTTCTTTTTTTCAGAGCCCGCCCATTAAGTTTCCCACCATGCTGACCAACCCTCAGAAACCCAGCTTCACCTTTGAATTTTTTGTTAATATGGAACAAATAAAGTTAATATCCAAACATTTCTTTCGTTCTTTTTTTCTTTTTGTTGTTGTGGCTGTAAAGAAATACCCGTGTCTATTGAACCTCCATATAGGGCCGAGCAAAAAACAAGAAATTATATAAAAACAAGGTGTGAGAATTAACCTGTGACCATCTCTCAATTGTGTGTGAGAGAGCAGATTATGATGTCTCCCCACATTTATAAATGAGTTAGAATGCTTTGCCTATCTTCAGTCATTATATCCTTTGCTACTGCAGGATGTTTATTCATAGAGATAGTAAGTGAACTTTAGTTTAACCTGTAGGTAGATCGGGTTTACAGTGAGTGAGTTGGCCTCCTTACACACAAATTACAGAACAAAACATGATAAAGTGACAACAGTGATCAATACTTAAGAGAATAACCCGTTAAAGATAAAGTAATCCATCTGTAAGAATATACCAGCAATCAGTAAAACATGGTAAGTGAAAAGAAGGTAGAAATGAAGAGGACTTCAACTTATGGAAATGTAATGAACAGATAAAAGTTAAAAATGTGGAATATCAAGTAAGACTATTTTAAAAAGGAAAAAACTAAATCCTTGTTTTTATGCTTTGCTCAATGCTGTTAAACAAAATAGGTGCTTGATAAATCCTTTTTGTTATTTGTGAAGGATCTTCGATTTAGTCGAGTCTGGCTCCATATAACATCTGTAAGGTATTAACATGGCCAATGAGTCACAGTTTGAGCGTACACTAACTAACTGAGTAGACAAACCACAGCACTGCCTCATTTGTTGTTGTGCGTTTGGTCTCGAGTTTGTCATTAGAAATATTTAAATATCTGTGATTGGGGGAGAGTACGTCACACTCATCATAACCAGTTTTTTAGAATCGTGGTTAAATTTAAAACTACATTCAAACCATTCATCTCTGTGAACGTTTGACCTGCTCGCATGACGGTAGCATGAAAACTGTTGTGTTGGCATCAATCAATTGCAAATGAATCAGTTCAACTGGGAGTTTGGTTCATTGAACTGGGAGTGAGCTGACCAGAGTCCTGCCCGGGGGGGCCTGAGGTTTAATACTGGGTGAAGAGTAGAATAAACTGATTTCACTTCCCCAACGTCAATACTGTGTATGTACTGTAGTGATTGGACAGATATGAACAGTGTCAATACTTTAACTCAGTAGAAAAAGATGTCCTTTAGATCAACACCACCAGCTACCATTTGAAAACTACATCTCTGTGAAATCTTGATTTTGATAAATCGTCAAATTAAATTACGAGGAAAAGATTCCATAAGTATGAACATTTCCCTTTACCGTCCTTAAACAGATGTTAAAATGTGTCAAATTGCTCTCTTGGGATTGTGAACAACTGATTTCTTTCGCAGGAGCTTTGAGATACTGGTCTGGTGTGTAGGTGTTCATTAATTTGTTCTTCTGTGATTCAAATGAACTTGTGGGTCTGAGTGGGAGCTGACATGGCTGCTTCCTGCTGTTATGCTGCCAAGATCTTTACAGCATGGATGACTGAACAGAAAACGTTTGAGTCTTATCACAAGCTACATGTGCATAATGGTCATTATTTTGTCTAGGAAGTATATACTATAAGCGAGTATATATTTGCTGATACATTTCCCTTTAAATCAACTAGAACTCATTTTTTTTAAGAAAGTTGATTTGAACTACGGGAGGAAAAACACAGGGTTACTCACTTGGTCCTGATTCTTGGCCCACAATAATGAAATCACGATACAGGGATTCTGTCATCATTGATGTATTGCAAGACTATCATGTGATGCGTCAGGATATGTGATTAAGTGCAGGATGGATGTTTTCATTCACTTAAACTTGGTGCCAGTTTTTGACTGTTCCCATGCTTCATCCTTTTAACGCCACTGCTGTCATACTTTAACCCCTCTGTCATCTTCTTTTATCTCTTTATCTCAAGAGTAACATCTCCTCTGGATTACTTCACTCACTTTAGTCTCAATCATTAAATCAACACCACGCTGATGAGTCATAAACTGGTGACTGAGTCAAATTGACAGGAAAATCTTTGTTAGAGCTCAGTCATTTAAAAAAAAAAATCAAAACTTTTGGCACGAGCGAAACGATCATTTTAACCCCTTTGACCCCTGAAACTACGACCTATTACATGTTGCACGTTGTTAAAAACACGTACAATATGTAATTAATGTCCTGTCTTCTTTCCTCTCCTGTGAATCACTGAGAGACTCCCTTAGTTAAACTTTATTAAGAAGGAGAGGAGATGAAGATTGGGCGCAATTGCAGCTTATAACATTTAATTAGCTCAATCTCTGTAAAATGAATTGGGTTGAAAGATACCACTGCAGGAGGCATCGTCTACCTTTAATGCTTGTACCTACACTGCAAGCTAGCTACAAATATTATTGTTGTAATGGAAAGGCTCTTGGATAATTTAGAGAGCACAAGCTAAGCTGTTTAGCACCTGCCTGTCCAACAGAAAGCAGACCAACTCTTCCTCACTCTTCATCCCAAGCAGTGGGCGGTGAGGGGGCCAAACTGGGGCCAGTTGTTTTGTCAGAGGGGAACATTAAACCCAGGAAAAATAGACAAAGATGATCGCTTTCAAAGTTATATATTATGCCAAATAATAGAATAATGAAATACCACCTTATTTTTTTTGGGGGGTGGCCACAGGGGGGACCACGCTCAGTGTTACAGGGGCACTGGCCCCTGTTGGCTTCTGCCTAGAACCGCCCATGATCCCAAGCCAATTAAGGTTCACCATCGTTTTGGAACAGCCTAATATTTTCACTGCCACTATGTCCGTGTCTGACTTATCCACCGATTTGAATGGGGCCCACTCCAGACGTTGAGTTTTATTCACTCCCTAACAAACCTGAGCTCTGTCATTGACTTGTGGAAACACACTCCCAACCCTGAAACTCCAGAGTCAACCAAAACGTCAAAATACAAGCAGAGGACGAGGTCTCTGCAGACACAGTCACCAGCACACAGGGTGAATCCCGTCTTGGCTTATTCCAAGACGGTGAGGCAAAGGGATCATAAAACATTTAAACTCTCTGAAACTAACCAAAAATATGCATCCCTATGGTCTAATCTAAAATTAAAAAAAGGTAAACAAACAATTTACTGGGCACAATGGCTAAGACGAGGTATTAGACTGATTGGGGAACTATTTGAGGATGACCAGATAACAGGATGAGGGATGAATGTAACTTAGACGGTCATGGTCATCTCTGGAAGTATCGCAAATTAGACACTGTATGGAAAAACATTTTCACTTTCCTAAGGAGAAAAACACAATCGAGCAAAATGTGTCCATGGTTAAACAATAATAAAGGTTGAAATCTTCAGAGGATTTGGGAGAAAGATTTGGGACACTGGATGAGGAGATGTGGGAGAGGATTCTTTTACAGAATGGGAAGTATATCAGAGAAGCGAGAGGCAAATGTATTCAATATAAAACACTGAATAGATATTATTACACCCCTGTGAGACTTAATAGTATGGGTTTAATCCAAAGTAGTTCATGTGGGAAATGTAAATCAGAATGTGGTACATATATTCACGCTTTATGGGAATGCCGAATGGTTTTCCCATTATGGAACAATGTTTTAGCACTTATGGAGGACTGGTTGGGATGCCAACTTCCCAGATCACCTCAGCTTTGTCTCCTGGGGGATAAAGGTGTAGTACCCTATTTAAGCAAATGTTCATTTAAAGTTTTAACAACTGGCTTAACAACATGTGCTCGGCTAATTCTCAGATTTAGGAAAGAATCAAGAACTCCGACGCTGGAAATGTGGAAAGAAGAAATGATGACAATAGCTGCTTGTGAAAATATGCTTGGAAAGCTGAACTGGAAAAATGACATTTCTAAGGAGCAACGGAACAATTTTAGCCAGTTTATATGAGGAGAACGCAACACATCACTGCCAGGGTGTTGATTGACTTTTGTTTGTTTACAAGCACATGTCATATTCCCTCCTTCTGCTGATGCACCGTTGATACTTTCTGCATCGTTGTTTCTCATTTCTGTCATGCATTTATTGTCTATTATGTTTCCTGCCTGTTTTGTTGTTCCCTTTAAGTCTGTTTGTTTGTTTTTTTTATAATTTTTGCCATTATAATGTTGGTATGAAAAATCAATAAAATATAAATTATATTTAAAAAAAAGTAAGAGGTTTGTTTTTTGTGTATGAACCTTACACCGTGGAGATGGCGAGCTAAAACCAACGAGATCTACCCTGCCTACAAGTTGGTATAGATCTAAAAAGACATTCGAACACGGATCGAAAGACATTGACTTTATTTTTGTGTTTTTTGATGGACCCAAGAAGCGTTTTCTGATTAAGAGGATGTTTATGTTCGTTGTTTGAACTTATTGTTTTGTTATAGTTGGAAGTATGTTTTACGTGAAATACAATAATGATTATTTAAATGTATTTGTGTTTGGATTTTGTTAGTATTCACAATTGAGCTCCTTAGAGACCTACCTTATTTCTTCCTAATTTAAATTTGACTTAAATGCACAATTAGCCCACATGCTGCATATAACTTAAAAAGTGTCGATTGAGCAGCATTATCCTACTTTTGTGTAAGTTTATATTTTACAAACTCTACCTTTAACCTGAAAGAGCACAGTAGAATAATTGATGGAAAATCGTGATTTGTTTATAAAACAATAAAGATAGAAAGATGTATAAAGGGCTTTCTGATGTGTATGTTTATTTAAAAACGATGTAAACTACAAAATAAGTTCGATTGACTTCACTAGTTAATTCTGTGTGTAGGTGGTGGGGTGGGAAAGAGAGAGGGATCGCGCTCCCTCCCACCGACTGTGACTGCGCTCCCTTCCCCCCCCCCCCCCTACACACACACACACACACACACACACACACACACACACACACACAGTCAAACATGGCGAAACTCTTTGCCATCATACCGCCACCCTCACCCTCACCATCATCCGCTTTATCGCTATCACCGTCATTATCTTCACTACTATCAACACCATTATCTCCGGTACCGTGATGACCCGGGAGGATGGAGAAGTTGTCGGCGAGCCTGTCGGAGATCACTTGGAGCCCGTTGGCGCTGCCGCTGGATGCGGTGGTCAGCAAGTTCCGTCTGCCCACTCTGGTGCGCCTCGCCCACGGTAAGAGACTGGAGACCCCCCTCCAGCAGGTGCCTTGAGCTCCTGCGAGACCCTGAGAAAAACTTTTCTTTCTTTATTTTATTTTTTGCACAGCTGCATTTCTCTGTCAAATGTCAAATTACAGTACTTAACACTCCTCTGTCGTTTCACGTCACCACTCATGAGGTTACCGTGACAGCGTGTTGTTAAAATGAATTTGTGTTTTCAAACAGGAAACGAGTTTAAACTTTAACATTTTTTTATTTTTTTTTTAGAGGAATATTTGTTTCGAGGGGTTTTTGTGAGTTTTAATTGCGCTTGCGTGTGAAAACAAGTGCAGCAATTTTCGAAGAATCTTGTGGAGGATTTTTTAAGGGTCAAGAGGAACGAGGAAAGTGCTGCTTCCGGTCAAACCCTTCACAATAAAATATTGTTAAACTTTGTAAAGTAAAACAACAACAACTAGGATAAACAGCTCGTGTTGTTGGGTTCTTGTGTTGTTGGGTTCTTATAATGGTTCTTGTGACGGTCGGGTTCTATATGTCTGTTGGGTATCGTCCACTTTGGGTTCTTTTCTGTTGAATTGTGTTTAATTATTTTTAGTATTTTGCATTTGTTTGTTCTTGCTGTTGTTTATGTTCTTCTGTGTTTGCTTCAGTTTGCTTTGTTCTTGTTTGTCAAAGCACTTTGTAAACCTGTGTTCTTAAAAGGTGCTATATGAAATAAAGTTATTATTATTATTACTAAATAGGCCTATATGAGGAAAATCAAGCCCTATTAGGGAAATATTAATAATTCTACCCTATGATTTGAGCAGACAGCTTTTAAAGTGGATAATTTAGTAGTTTAAACCAAAAAAACTCAACTTTCAACCATAATATTTACATAGTATTGCACAACATGCTGACATCATTGAAAATTGCTTAAATGTCACTCAGTGCTCATGAAATTTAGTTGATGGTGCTGTCCCAAAAACAAGAGTGTAGCCCAACCTTGAATCATTACACCACACCTACTACACCTTTAGAGAAACTTGTGCAATGTCAGTAACAATACGAAGTCCAATAAGTAAACAAAAACAAGTGCAATTTAGCTTTAACTTACTTTTTGTCGCTGCTGTTCTTCATGATTTACATCTTTTGTGAAACGCTGAATCCAAAATAAACCCAAAATGCATGATTTTTATTTACTAAACAGGCATTTTAATCAGAGGGTAGCTGATAGCTAGCTGTAGGTTCACCTGACTGCATCAATATGGTGTGAAAACATGGCCATTATAGTTAGGGGGCCCCATCAAATCTTGTACCAGTGATGACAACAATGTATTTAAGAGAAATTGGTTACATGTTAGGGATAATACACTGGATCGACACCATCCAGAATTTCTGAAAGTTGATATCAGTCAGCAGCACAGTATTCTCATGTCAACCAAAATGTGAGCCTCTTCATTTCCCCACCCCAAATATCTTGGAGAGTAGATCTCTCTCACTACTTTATATGAGCCTGTATCGTTGAGCGACTAGTTCCTGTTACACTTTTTAACTCTGGCTGACATATACAAAACAAAAATAGCTTGACCATGTGTTGATTAAAATAGCTTGATTGATAACCATTTTTTAAATACTGAATTGTGTGTAAGTAATATTATTGATGGAAAATGACAACCTGCTATATTTATAAGTTTTAATCACAGGGTTACGTTGGTGCTCTTATTTTTTAAACCATCTCGGTCTAAATTCCGGTGTTCCTTTGTTTGATTCCTGCAAGCTTGACGTCGCTGCAGCACCGAAACTCGGACACAAGACTTTCCCAGTTCACTCCAACCCCACTGACATGTAGGGTAGTCATTCTGAAAGAAACGGGCCCAGTTTTTTCTATTTATTTTGTTTCATGTTTCACCGCCAACACGATTCCCTGCTTCACCAGATTTGGTGTCTTTACTTTTGGGAAGCGTCGATGGGTGTCATGGCCAAAATTGTTCCAGTCCAGCGAGGCCCGGAAAGCCACAAAGTGTCTGTTGTGCTGCTCAAGTGCTGCTCAATTCTTTTCATATGTAAATGCTGTAATCTGTCGGTGAATGTTGTGAATACTAACGAGCAGCGACTGGGAGGAAAAAAAAAACCTTCAACTTCCCTCTGCAGACAAATGAAAGCGTGCACCCATGTCGAGCCGCAACTGTACCCAAAAAAATGACGCACCTGAACTTGTGCGTGCGCATATTATGGAGGGATTAGTTGAGCACGCAGGTGTTTATTAACCGAGCTTTACGGAACCCTGTTTGTTTGCTTAACCAGGCAACACAAAGAGGGTGGTTAGTTATTTACAACACGCCATGATGTCAGCATTTTGTGCAAAAAAAAAAAAGTTCCCTCATATTTTCCCCATCAACAACAAACAAACAAAAGCTGTGTTTTATTCATGGAGAGCTTGTGTGTCAGTGGTATGTAAGTGCGGGGGTGTAATTCACTGTGATGGGGGTTTTCCTGGTGGCCGGCAACATGAATGTTCCTGACTGCATACTATCAAATTAAATACTTGGCTTAAGTTACAGTGTGGCAAGCAATTAGTCTTCTTCATGTCAATTTATTATGCGCAGATAACCAAAATCACATGGATTGCGACAATTTAATCATTCCAACCAAAGGGAAATTAATGTGGTTGTGAGCAGTGGAACCAGTAATATTTCTTGAAGAATATATTTCTTGAAGCTCCTGTGAGGAGTTTTTAGCTGGTTATGAAATAAATGATTATCAGTACTGAAGCTTCTTTATGAGCTGTAAAATGAATCGAGAACATCGGGGATAAGATTGAACAATTGTGTAAAGTGCGGATGTAAAAGACCAACTCAAAGACATCAAATATACCACTTTGTCCACACAGGGATCCAAAATCGACACAAAACAAAAGTTCCTCACAGTAGTTTTAAGTGGAATTTGGAGGTAGACTACCTTACTTTAGTATTTTAAACAGTAATTTGGTACTTTTTCTTCATTTATTTGCCAGCTAAAGTCGTTATTTTATGTGGATCAGGGTGTCACATTGAAAACCTGAATATTTTAAGATATACTGAGGTTTTTTCACAAAAAATTTAAAGGGTGTCCATGTTCATAGCAATTTCGCATGAGGAGTAGCTACTTTCACTGACGCCTATGTTGCTGATAGTAGCCAGGACTTCTTTTATATTTCTATGCTGGCTTCTTGATGTCATTTTTCAAGATAGTCCAATGATTTAGATAAAATTCAATACTTTTTATTTCTAAACCCATTCAATTTCTACAAGTGTGATGACTGATAGAATTGAAAATGTAATAATTGTGTTTGGTACTGAAACATTGCTAACATATTTTTGTAATGTAGACATGTGTGCAGGAGTTATCTTGCATATTTAGGTCATCAAAAACAAGAAATGACCCGATGTTGTGTGTCTAGGAGTTCCATTTTGTCGCTGTGGTGTCCAAACTGTTATCAGAATTGTTTAGAATTACTAAAAAGGTATCAAAGTTTAAAATGTTGGTCTCTTGACAACCTTAATTGCACCTCACTTTGAGTTGTTGTACCTTTGACTGGTACCTTTTGTATGAATGAGATCTTGAAAACACTCCTCTCCAATCAAACAGACATGTGTCAGAGCTTTAAAAACTGTGTTTTCACCTCCAGATATTGGCTCTGAAGTCTTTTTGACTGGTAGTACTATTCAGTAACTCTTATGAAGTAGTTACCATTGAAATCTGTTGACAGCAAAGACTTCGACTTATCCAGTGTAGCCATGTTATATTTGCAAAATGGCATTGCTGTTGTGTACAGATTTCGCTTTGAGTACCAAAAAAAACATGTTTCTATTAGCCAATTATGTCAACTGACCTGCAGCTAAATATTGGAGTATTGGAGCATTGGTGTCGAGCCTCAGGCGACAAACACTTTAAAAGGATTTTTTTTAGTCGCAGCCGTTCATCAGCAGCTGGAACATAAAGCATCCCTGTGATCTGTGTGTGAGTGTGAATGAGACAGGGAGACCGAGCTGTGTGTGTGTGTGTTTGTGTTGTGATTGAGTTGTACCGCTGTGCTTTCAGCAGAAATCAATGCTGTTGTGTGACATGATGGCCTCGGTTTAAGCTGGAACTCTGTGTGTGTGTGTGTGTGTGTGGGGGCAGTGTAATAGTTGGTTGTCAGTTGCATCGTGGGCCGTGATGAGTATGTTGGGGCTGATGAACAGTCAAGGAGAGTGGTAATTATGCACACAGAATCCTGAATGTTTGTGTGTGTGTGTGCTTGCATGTGTGTCGGGAAGTTTGTTTCTTGTTGCTGTGCATTTTAGTGTGACTTTAAAAATGCAAAATGTGTTTTTTCATGGGCTATTTCTTCAATCCTAATCCCATTCTGTGTGTGTGTGTGTGTGTGTGTGTGTGTGTGTGTGTGTGTGTGTGTGTGTGTGTGCTACAGGTGAATGTGTGGAGGGTCTGTCCGAGGAGGATGTGGTGCTTTTACATTCCTGTCGTCAGTGGACCACAGTGACCGCCCACAGCTTAGAGGAGGGACATTACGTCATCGGACCCAAGATTGACATCCCTCTGCAGTACCAGGGTGAGCACACACAGACACACACACACACACACACACACACACACACACACAGTCTTACATAAAGATGTCTTAACAGTCAGTCAAAAGTTCAACCTTTCTCTAAAAAGCTATTTGTCATTTAAATGTTTGTTTCCTCTGGGGGGGAACCCAGAGGTCATAATTTTCCACTTGCTCTATTCTTGTTTGGGGAAAATGTCTCTTTAAGGCAAACAAGCTTATTAAAGTGACTTAAGGGATTAAGCTGATAAACTGATAGTGGCAAGTAATGTCCGCCGGTTGTTCCCCATGATCCAAAGATGAACAAAAATACGATAAGGTCAAACTCGACATTTCATTCAGTTGTGAACAAAGTTGATAAGATTTGTCCACCGATGGAGCAGGATCCCGTATTTACAGTACAAGTGGAACAGGCTTCTATTTCCTGGTGTTTGGTTATTAACTTTCTTAGCAGGTATCAATCAATCAATCAAAATCTCACACCTTTAAAGTTTGACAGAAGACAAACCCCAAAGGTATAAACAGCCAGAATCAAGAAGGAGTTTTTCAATGAACAGTCTCACATTATTAAAACAGTCACAATGAATTTCAGCCTGTTTGTTAAAAGAAGAGTAAAACAGTGAAGCTTTTTTGAGATATCGACCAAATTGTTGCAGACAGACATGAATAAAACCAACGTAACAACATTATATCGACAAAGAGCTGCAGTCATTACACCTGCAGAGGTGGCTGGCAGCACTCACGACCTCCTTTTAAGAGCGCTACTCACTGGCGCTTATTGTTGCTAGGTTGCGAGAGTCAACCTCTACTATTCCTGGTAATGGCCGTTTCAGTGGATCAGTCTAAATCCAATAAAGACTTTGTATATTAAACTCTGCGCTTATAGCGAGCACCGCAGTCAATCAAACAGTCATTTGTACAGCACCAGTTCATAACAAGTGTTGTCTCGAGACGCTTTACAATAGAGAATATGGGATAATATGCAGGAAGGATTTCTCACGTTCCTCTTGTCCACACTTCCTTGCCGCCTAGTGCACATGCTCACTTCAAATATGATTATTTCATGGGATTTACTTTGGTTCATTCAAGTTTCTACACATTTTATTTGGCCGAAGTGATCCCAGTCACTCACAGTTATTGTATCATGTGTTACACAAACTCAGAACATTACAACTTTCATTATAACATTTTTAAATCAATCATGTCAGGCTGCGAATATCAAAGGATCATCTCACAAAAACCTGGAGGGATAAATATTTATGTACATGCAACAGACCCTAACGTTTCTCTTTAATACTCCTGAGAGAAACTTTTCATTTGTGATCAAATGTTAGGTTTTATTTCCTTGCTGGTCCTACCCGGTACATGAGCAGGTAGTGTGTTTTGCCTCTCACAGGGGCTTTGATACAACCCAGGCCACATTAACACACAAACCAGATGTATTTATATACACATGACCTTCCCTGACTCCTCCTGTACCACTGACCTGCCGTCTTCCTGCTGAATGAGTCTAATCACTATGACCTCACCGGAGCTCCATCACCACACCGTCTCATTGTTCAGACGCTCTGACCAGTCACATCATCGGCTGTGTAACTGGATCCTAATGCCTCCTCTTCATTGTTTCCTCCTCTGATGGAGCGCTGATGTCACCTCAAACAACTGATGCCTCTCAGGCTGCTTTTTCGGAAGAATGAAGGAATATTTGAATGGGTTGGGGGGGCTGAAGGGGGGCAGGTTGGTGAGCTCATTGTCGTTTTTGTCTAAGCATTTCACAGCGGAAACAGGAGCAATTAATATGAGCAACATGAGCAGCATGAAGTAAACAACTTCAAGTCAAGTACTCGGCTATTAAGGCAACCTAACAGAGAGTACGTTAGCGTGCAGTTTGACAAAAATCGATTTATTGTGTTAGTCCAACTAAAAGTGCACTTTACAAATACGTGTTAACATGTTAGTCACACTGAAATCGAATTTCTCAAAGGAGGACTAACACACACTGGACCAAACATTCTGTTCATGCTCCACAGTTCCCACGCCGGGCTTTGATCATCAAGTCAAATAGCATAAATATGTAGCATAGCGGAAGTCTCATTGACGACTGTATTCGGATATTAGCATAAGCTAGAGGGATAGCACGCATCACATTTGTACCAAAAGTAAATCATAGAGTTTGTAAGAAATGTAAAGTTGTCCGTGTTTTCACAGTTCAACATACAACCAGTTTGCCACTCGCTAACTTGTTAGCATGGTCGACCAGGAGAAGGTCCAATAATTACTTGCTGAAAGGGGGCATAGCGCCACCTACCATAGCGAAGTCGGAAATACTTCCGTCATAGATCTATTATCTGGACAGGACCAGAGCTCGACTTTACATTGCATGTAAACGTACTGAGTGTCAACACCATGACGGTGAAAATGAAGACGTTCCCCCTTTAGACCCTTTTAAGCTAAATACTAAGGGACTCAACTACAAACCTTCCTTCAGGATGTTTCTGCCTTTCCACCACACGAGAACATCCACGAATAAGCATAAGAAGAGTTCTGTTACAAACTAACTTCAACAGTTTTTTATTTTTAAAAACATTATCACATTATCACATCTTAAAACCAGACAGACGAGACACAGGTGATGTTTCTGCCTTTCCACCACACGAGAACATCCACGAATAAGCATAAGAAGAGTTCTGTTACAAACTAACTTCAACAGTTTTTTATTTTTAAAAACATTATCACATTATCACATCTTAAAACCAGACAGACGAGACACAGGTGAAAGTGATGAAGGCAATCGAAAAGGGAGGGAAACACACACAGGGGGAGGAAGTAAGACTAGACATGATACACAGGGGTAAGAACTACAAAATAAAACAGGAAACACTGAAAACTAAACTCAGGATTATCGACAGTAAAATGCACAGGAAACAGAAACACAAGGACAAGAAATGACAAAATAAAACAGGGAATCACAACTAAGCAACAACAGCAAGGAAACAAACAAACTAAACAAAGGTCAATCATGACAAATTCTTTTCTTCAGATTGGTATTTTTTCAGTCTTTAATTGGACGAAAGGTTTTTTTTCTGGCTTGTCAGGAAGTGTTTATCGGAATCAAATGTATTGCCACGTAGATTTAAACACAGAAGAATTATGTCTCTGTGTTTTTGGCTTAATAGAAATGACAACAGGAGTGGAATATAAAAAAATAGAAAGTTTGGAACAGCCATATTCTTACTGTCAGTGAACTTAAACAGAATACGATTTTTAAAGTACAAAGAAGGTAACATGTGGTCCCATGTGTCCCATGTGTCCTTGGGCAAGACACTAAACTGCTGCTTCGTTGGTGGAGTATGAGAAACAGAATGGTATTAGTTCCTTCTGATGGCTGCCTTCAGTGAGTGAATGAGTAGGTGTGACCTGCAGTGTAAAAGCGCTTTGAGTGGTCAGGAGACCAGAAAAGACCATTAAGCATAAGAAGTGGCTTATTGCTAACGCTGGCTGTGTTCTGCATGTAGCTAATGGTGTTTTAAAATCGTTGAAATCTCTCTCCCAATTTTCAGTCTCCATTATCTTTGTAGTTTCTTATCAATAAGTCACCTCCGTCACACCAGGGGCTTATGTCACACCTTGGACTTTAGTCATGCCAGGGGGGCTGCTCCAAATAGTTTTGGCTTCCAGTATAAAGTTAGACACAGTGTTGCATTAGCTGCAGCATTGCATCAACCCGATAACCTTCTGAGCTGTGATCCATTTTAACGATGCATTCCGGTAGACACGATAAAAAACGCCAGCCAGCAAGTCCCATTTAAATGCATGGACACTTTTAGCACCACATGACAGGTGAGTTGTTGTTGAATCAGAAGGCATCACCGGTGATGAGCTAATGTCTGTGTGATGACTTCATACAGGAAGTCTAAATAAGCCTTGCAGGAGAGCAATATAGGTTTCCCCCTTGGGGACGGACAACAGGATGCTCCCTCCTGCTTATCCTCTCTCTCTCTCTCTCTCTCTCTCTCTCTCTCTCTCTCTCTCTCTCTCTCTCTCTCTCTCGCTGTCTGTCTCCTTCTCGGTCAATGAGAGGGAGGATGACTGAAAGATAGAGGACAGAAAAGATGAATGAATGGGTTTCTTGGAAGCAAGTTGGCGCCACAGAGATCCTTGTAATGCTGAACTAGCTGCCAAAGCTTTATGTGCGAGGATTTAAAAGCCTCAAAGTGATTCAGTTTTATTTCTGGGAACATTTTCTGCACAGTAATTATAGATTTTACAAATGTTAATGCGTCTTAATTCTGTTGTTTTCTCCCCCCTCCCTCTAAATAATCCTCTTTCTGGCTAGAGTTTTAGGAGAGAACTGGTTTACTGTTTAGGTTTACCGGTGGCTCTGTTTACTTCTCCTGAGTCTGTTCTTAAAGGGGGGGTCGCTGGGTTGTGTTGAGAAGTAGCACTTGCTGGTGTTGTTCCGCGGGGTGGAAGCTCCTTATCCCTGGGGCCCTGCATGTCTGAATCGGGAGGTGGAGGGGAGGAGGGAGAAAAAGGAAGGGAGGTGTTGGCGAGGAGGACGGCGGAGTTTGGTATTCTGCTCGGCCTCACAGACAAAAGAAACTTTCTCATTTCTCTTTCTCTCCCTCACACACACAAACACTCTGACTCTAAAAGAGAGAAACAAGAGGGTCTTCAGAGGTTTAGAGTTGTTAACTGTAATCCCATAAACTGGTAAATAGGAATAAACGATCTGATTTGAAGCTCAGTGTGCATTCTCAGGAGGGTTTTTACAACATCAAGAAGTGGTGCAAGCCTCAAACATTTACAGTTTCAAGAACACAAACAGAGTCAGTGGAGCGCGACACCGGAGAGTGTGAAAGATTTACAGATAGACGAGGGAAGAAAGGGTAAAAGAGAGAGAGTTGTGTGTGTGTGTGTGTGTGTGTGTGTGTGTGTGTGTGTGTGTGTGTGTGTGTATATATATGTGTGTGTGGGTGTGTATGTGTGTGAGTGTCTCCATGGTGATGTGTCTCTGCTCCGCGTGAGAATGGGGGTCCTTTATTGTGTTGCCATGCCAACCCCTTCGGCTGTTGATTGGCCGAGAGCTGGTGCCAGGTCATACAGGTCACGGAGGTGTCTTTGTGTGCTTCTCCTACAAACTGGGAGTGCTTTGGGTGTGTGTGTGTGTGTTTGCTTGTAAGAATGTAAAGAGTCAGATTTAAGTAAAGAGAGGTAGAAGTAAAATAAAAAAGACAGCCCGTCTTGATTCTGATTGGTCTGTGAGTGTAGGGACATAAAAACGCTGTCAGTCCCTTCCTGCTAAGTGCTAAGGCTAGCGCTTTAACTCAGTAGAAAGCCAAATGGAGCAGCAGGAAATTCAGCCAGTCTCAGAGATGTCTGGAGTAGATCCTGAAGTATGTACTCATTAAAAAAATCGACTTTGAATTCACGGATCAATGAATAGTTTGAAATCGAAAATAGATTCTGAATCAAAAATCCAAAAGATTCCCAGCCCTAGTATATCCACAAAAGTCGGTTGCTGGATACAATTATCATTCTTTCCCACATTTGCACGGTACATTTTCCTGAGTGTTACCTGCTGCATTCACACATTTGGCTCACTTGGGCTTTTGAGGATTTTTGTTTTGGGAGGCTGGCAGGAAAAATTCTGGAAAAAGTCTGGGTGAAAAATCTGTTTTCCCCTTAAAATGTTTGTAACTTTGAGGAGTGTAGTGCATTGGTAAAACGGGGCTCCAGTTTCCTCCACTCTTCCCTTTGTATCCCTTTTGTCCTTCATTCCTTCCTTCTCTTCTTTGACAAACATACTTCCCTCCTCCTTCCATCTTTTTTTTATTTTTTTACCTCCATTCATAATCCTTCTATGCCCTCCTTTTCCATTTCTTTTTGCCTCTCTGCAGGGAAGTTCAAGTTGTTGGATGAGGACCGAGACGTCAGGGATCCGGTCCAGTATTTTGCCAGTGTGGAGGAAGTTGCTGGAGTCTTCCCTGACAGGGTCTTTGTCATGGAGACGATCACTTTCAGCGTCAAGGTTTGTTTGACACACTCTTTACCAGAAAGGCTATATCTCATTTTTTGTAAACTAGATAGTCTGCCCTCCTTCAGGTTACTTCATAAACTATCTGTCATGCAACATCATATCCACACATCCATACATGTATATTCTGCAGGTGGTCTCAGGCGAGTTCAGCGAGGACAGCGAGCCCTACAGCTTCACTCTGCAGGCTGGAGATGAGCTGTCACTCATGGGGAAGGCAGAGCTTCTCTGTGCCACGCCCTCCAAGGAAAAGACGGGACTGAGCGCGCTGCTGAGACGCCTGGGGAAGACCCCTCGAAGTAAGTAAGGTCAAACTTCTATGTAGTCCGTCTTCATGGTTCAATCAGGGGAGATGTGTGAGACATGTGAGGAAGAGGAAAAACAACCAGGTGTATCTTTGTGAAAAAATCTATGGGAAGAAAAGTTTATTCTCCCTGGAAATTGATATATTTGTACAAAAAAAAAAAGAGAAAATGTAATTTTTATCCTGAGAATCAGGCGGATCTGCAAGCCCATGTTTTATTTGCTCTGGCAGATGCGTCCAGCTTGGTTCAGGTCAGGACAATCACAACAATCACAACAGTTAATCTATTTTGGGTGCAGGTTTCAGTTGATGAAAAAGAGTAAAAAATGTGTGTTTTCTCTTTTTGGGTATAAAGATTTACCATCGCTATGTAGTTGTTATAAATACCTTATACTGTTGCCATGGGATACGCGTCATATGTAGTGATCAATAACAAGCTGATGAAACAAACTGAAGCATCTACTGCAGTCAGTCAGTAGGCGGAGCTCCAAATGTTTTGGCTACACTTTGGGGGATCTATCATGTCGTCCATCTTTTTATACAGTCTATGGACTGTTCCCTCACTCTGCATCTTTCTGTGTGTCTCCCCCCCCCCTCAGGTAAAACTCCCTGCCTGGTCTGCATGAACCACCGCACCAATCAGAGCGTCAGCCTGCCCTTTGGCTGTCGTGGACGCTTTTGCACACGCTCCCCTCTTGAGCAAGGCATGCTGGGAGGAGAGCACACGGTACGCAGCATAATCGAGAGGGTCCGCCTCCCCGTCAACGTCTCTGTGCCTTCACGACCCCCGCGCAACACCTACGACCGCCACGCTGTCCGAGAGGGCCACCGCTACAAGCTGCTCAACATCGTCAGCAAGACGGTGGTGCTCTGCATGGTGCTGCGCCACCAGGAAGTCTCCCCCTCGCACTTCCTGCTGCTGCGCTGCATGCCCCGCTTCAACGTGGCCGAGGCCTCGCTCCACACGGCGGCGCTGGAGAGTCTTCTCTTGCGGCACTCCTTCGACCCGGATGCTTACTCTCGCGCCGTGAGAGAAACCCGACCAGAGCTGGAGTGTATGACGGAGGAGTGTGTGAGCCCGCGGCGGTCTCGCATGTGCGTGTCGGGTCAGGACTCGTTAGCGCCAGCACTGCAGCGCCTCTCCATGTGCGGGTACGGGGGCGGGGTTTCAGACAGCCTATCGCAGCGCTGCAGGGACTCTCTCGGGGAGCGGTTGGGGGAGGGGCCAGGTGAGGAGCGGGAGTATATGACTCCCGAGTGGACTGATGCAGAAATGAGGACCAGTGAGGAAATCCCTTATGAGGAACTTTGGACCAATCAGAACCCAGAGAGCTTGGGGAAGGAGCCAAACCTCATCTCCTTCCACTCGTCTTCTTCTTTAGATGGCACTCTTGGTACCGTGCTAACAAGAGTGTCCACGCCGCCACCCGTACCTCCAAAATCTGATGCTGTGAGTCTCTATCTTCACCGCTCTGTCCGTCTCTCAGTCTGTCTGTCATGCTTCTTATCTGTCTGCAGCAGCATCCGGCTGTTAAAAGTCAGGAAGCCTGGTTTGAATTATTCATACATTTTGGCTTTTAAACCTCACTGACCACATTTACGCACACAGACACACACACACACACACTCTGACTTCCTGGAAAGGCCCGCTTTACACTTACAGCCCATGAATACATATGTGATCACCAGTTAGCAGGAACATGTGTGCTGTGTCAGAGGATGCAACAACCCAGAAGTGCACACACAAAAAACAAATTATTTTTGATTATGAGATGATTATGAGAGTGACACCATCTTTGATGATAAGAACAGAAAAACAAAAAGCTATCATTATAGTTTGATGCTTGTTGACAAAGGACTAACACTGAGGCTTTTACTTTCACCAAAATAACCTCTTGTTAATCAAACAGGTCCATTTTATACTACAGTTTGACTTAAGGAAGCTGAAGTTTCTTTATAACTGTTAATCAGTACTTTCATAGTACTGTATCTGTTTTTCGTCCCCTGCAACTAAATTTCAGTGCTTCATATCTCAGTGGTAGGAGGTTACATTAAACAAACAACAGAGAACAGCAGGTTAAAAGGACAAACATTTACACAGAACCAGTCATAAATACACAGTAATAAAAGTGACAGTTCAATTGCACTTGGTCATGTTATTTGGTCTTGCTCCATAAGATTTATAAGATAAGATAAGATTTACTTTTATTGAGGGGAAATTCTGTTTTTTACTAATGATTCATTCACAGTTGTAGTCCTTTACAGAGTTCAGTTCCTTAATGGTACTTGGTAGAAACTGTGGTCTTCATAGCCTTCTGTAATATGAATCATTTAAATGTACATTTTTATATCTGTATTTATCTCTAAACATCAAAGATAGATCAGCCTATATTGGTATCTGATTTTTTCTGTCCCTAATATAAAAAGCGGTATCTGATTTAAAAATCCCACATCGGTCGGGTATTTTTATACATTTTTTTACTTCGCACAGGCACCTTTGTACTTTGCAGCTGTTCAGACATAGAGCCTGTTCTGATCTGCTGGACGTATCTCATTATTTCAGGAAAACAGAGCAGATTAAACACTCAAGAAAATGCAAATCACTTCTGTAAAAGTCGAGCTGAAGTTAGAAAAGAAGAAGCCTTCCCAAGCCTTCAGATCAAATCCTGAATAACACTATTACAGCTATTTAAAAAAAAAAAAAACAGTTTGATAGATTCATGGTTGTATGTGGTCTGATAATAATGAATCCACATATTGTTTCATGCTTCTCATGTTTAATTGAAGGCTGTTATTATTAGTGGTGAACAGTATCTCAAAAAGACTTGTTTTATTTCACCACCAAACGGTGTTTCCAGTTGTGAACTTTGTTTTCATAGCCGAGCTGTTCCAAGGTTGCTTCCCTACTTTGGTATTCGTGTGTTTGTAAAGAGAAAATGATCACGCTTGTTTGCCTTAATTTTTTTTTTTCTGTCAGAGAGCGATGGCAGCGTACAGCGATACAACAAGGGCGCGTGGGTGTCGACGCCTGCATTGCAGCTGGATTATACCCTGTCGCACACCATGTTCCTCATTCCCTGATATTTAGCTTGCCAAAGCACTCTGTGTTCGTGTGTGCAAAGAGCTTGCTAGTGTGTGTGTGAGGCAGTCTGTTTGAGGTGTAAAGGTCACAAAGTTTGACATTTACCAAGCAGAACACTGAGACAAGCAAATACACACATTCTCACACACACACTCACAAATAAATTCTCCACAAATCCCCCGGAGAAGTCGAGTTTTAGGAGTTTACTTTTTGATGTTGTAAGTCTCCTTTGTGTGCGTGTGTTTATGTGTAGGTGAGAGAGGAGTGTCGCTACTTGATCGCCCCTCCCGTTCCCCCTCGCTGCTCTAAAGGAGGCTCCATCTCCAGCCCAGCCCCCAGCCCCCCTGTCCCACCTCGCTTCCCCAAAGCCTCCACCTCCCCAAGACCCAACCTCTCCTTCTACTCCTCGGGACTTCAGGACAGGTACAGTGGCACTGTTTTTTTTTTTTTCAACAGTATACTGAGAGAATAGACATCCTCTATCAGCAGTGACACTTTTTTTTCCTTGGATTGGTTTTCCTTCACAAACAGGAAGAAGTCTTCGAGGTCTAATTGAGCCAATATGTTCGCTTGGGGTGGGAATCGTAGGGTAATGATGCAAAACCATGAGATACGATAGTGATAGGATAAAATAGGGTACAATAGGATGCAATTAATATGCAGAATTTTAATTTCCATTTGGTATCTATTCCACCTCTTATCACACTTCCTCTTCTAACTTCTTTACACCGATGTCCGACAATATCCCGCTGTCTTCTTCTTCTACTTCTTTTATCCCGATGTCTTCTTCTGGCAAATGAACCTCTGTTCACATTACCCTCATTCATGTCATGAGCACCACCGTGAGGAGTTATGAGGCAGTGACACAGTGAGTCAAAGTGGCAGGGAAAACTGATTAGTGCCATAATTTTTGGAAAAAAAAAAAAAAATTTGGCACCAGCGATTTAAAAAAATGTGTCACACAAGTCAGGGCGACGATATGTTACTGTATCAATATTTTGTCCCACCCCAAGTCGCTGCTGTTTTCCACTAAAAGGATGCCACCTGTTGTCATCTTTGTATCCCTATAAAAATGGACGTAGTCTCAGTGATGTCACTCATTGGTTTCTTAAGAAGTGTTATGAAACCCAACGATGGTGACGATCATGTTGGAAAAGCTGACTTGCAGCTGTAAGAAAATGACTGTAAACCATATCCATGTTTTCACATGTACTTTTTAAAATCATGTTGACTGATACCCTTCGATCTGCTCCGTCCCAGCTGCTCGCCCTCTCCGGATGCGTCCCTCTACTGTTACCCGTGCTCCTGGGCCGACTGCCCCGCCCCAAACCCCGCCAGTCCCGAGCCCATCTCTGCTCTCCCTGCAGACAGCACAGCCAATCCACAGCCGGCACAGGCCGCCTGGGCGGAGCCGTGGGTGGACTCTTTTACCTCCTCTGGACCTCGACTGAGGCCGCCTCCGCAGAGCCGGTTCGCTCCCTTCGGGGCGTTAAACCCCTTCAACCGCCAGTCCCCCTGCCCCTCACCTGAGCCCACCGCCAACCCAACAACAGATTCTTCCAGAGGCGCAGAAGGGGGTGGGACATCCACAGGAATAACTGAGGGCCTGTCCACGCCCCCTGATCCCACCTGGCGTCCTCCTTCTGACCTCTCTGTGCTGTCATTGGAGGAAGTGTCTGCCTGCCTTCGCTTCATCGGCCTATCAGAGGCAGCAGTGGGCGTGTTCCAGAGGGAGCGGATCGATGGCAGCCTCCTGGTGCAGCTAACCGAGGACATCCTGTCACAGGACTTCCACCTGAGCCGACTCCATGTCACTAAGATCTCACAGTTCATACAGGGCTGGAGGCCGAAGATTTAAAACACACACACACACACACACACACACACACACACACACACACACACACACAGTCCTGAAAATGTGCCTGTTGGCTGCTGAGCCGTCCTGAATGTGCCTTCCACTGTGACCAAGCGACTGCTGAGCCCCTGTGACTCAAGCTGACACTTTGCTGAAGGAAACAACGCCACCCTGTGGTCAAAAAACCTTGAATATTGGCTTCATACCACAAGTTTATAAAAAAGACTGTTTGAATCACACACTGGGACTACTAGGTTTACTAACAAATGGCTAAAACAAAATGTTATATGTTGAAAGTTTTCTATTTAAATTTGTTTTTCGGGGCAGAAAGTCAAGAATTAGTTCATCCTCACGCTTCAGCTGGAGATTTAAGCTCCATATGGATTAGTGTGGCCTTCAGCACATGAAATCTGATACGAGGGAAAACATGCCTTCAGTTTTAATAAAGAATTTCTGAAGCTGTAGTGGACATGCAGCCATACAATATATTTTACTCAATTTACCCGTGATAATGTTTAATCCTGGTTGTTTTCTCGAGATTTTCATTTAATTCATTTGTCATGACGAGGTTTCAACGCTGGTTTTCCCGCTCATTCATTCATTCATTTCAGTTGTTTTTACAAATCTCAACTTGTTTTTTCTTTATCTCGGGATAAAAAGCTGATTTTATCCCCCCATTACAATTAATTAATTCATCTCATTATCTCAAAATAACAGGGCTTGTTTTGTCGTGATAACAGGATAATTTTCTGGAGACCTAGAACACTAACAGGCTGGTCTCTGTGATTGGACGGACCATGACATGCTGCCATGCCAACACTAATCTATAGCCGTTTTCACATACATACTCACTCGTCACTACCCTTCCTATTGGCTCGAAGTGAATTCTCTGGAGAATATCGTTCTCACATAAGTTTTCTCTCGGACTTGCTGCGGAAAAAATACTGTACTAGGGGTCTGGCAGGAGAAACTCCGGGTGAAGTTTCTGCTGTTTGCATTCACACATGCAGCTCCTCCTGGTAATATCAGGAGTTTTTCGGGAGTTTTCTGCAAGTGTGAAAGCCCTATAAGTTAATGTTTTAACTTCTCCAACTCTGCAGGTATGAGACAAATAGGATGAGATCTCGAGTAAACAACAGGAAATGACTCTAATCGCTGTAAAACAGAGTGAATTAAATGCTGATGCATTTTGGCTTGGGGCTTCTGCATAAAACACTGAATGATGTAAAAAAGTTTTTACACTCGACTACTGTGAGGGCTACATTTTTATTATGCAATAGAGGGGCCATTAGAGGATTTAAAGCGTTTATCACCAATCAGTTTATGGAACATCACTGAACCCGCTCTGTCTGAATTTGTCTCATTAGTCGTTTTCACACATGCACCGCTTGAAATTCATCAGAAACTTAAGGCAGACCACCCCTGACATATTGCTGTTGTTTGTTCAAACATGCACCTCATACTGACTGGACGGGAGGCGCGCGGGGGGGTCTCAGGAAGTAAAACATGATGTTAAAAGAATGACGTGGAAGTGGCAGATGACGTTACAGAGTCCGACACAGCAAGGAGAGTATTCATCTTTATATCAATGCTATGTGTAGTTCATTTACAATATCAACAAAGAGCAGAGAAGAACATACCGGTGAATAGAAAACAATTTCACCAGTCGCATGCACACAGTCTATGGTCTTGCACCTGTTGCAGGATACTTCCTCACCTCATCCCATCTCATCCCACCACCTCAATTTGAAGTGAAAAAAAGTCTGGCTGTTTGTGTTCGTACATGCAGCTCAACCTGGAAATTTCAAGAAGTGTTCGAGAGTTTTGTGCAAGTATGAAAGCAAAATAAAAGAGCGTTTTTTTTTGTTTTTTTTAAAGATAATGAAACAATAGTTGTTTTTATCTGAAAAAAAAAGAACAAAAAACACAGAAAGTAAGAAGCAACCAGTCAAGAATTGAGTGAGACCTGGTACTGATCACTAACTAAACCCTCGCTGGAAAAAAAACGTTCTACTGTATCAAGTTTGTGCTTTTGAGATGGTTTAATTGTTATTAACATTCCCTCAAATGGAAACACAACATGTCCTCCTGAGGTGTTGCCGTACTATAATAGAACTTTTCCACTGCCTCAGAAATAGATTTTTTTTAAAGTGTACCTCAGATCACACGTTGATGTTTGCCTGATTTAGCCATGCATTATTATAATAAATGAAATTACAAGTCATGTGTATGTAAAGCTGATTGCTGTTGTGATGACTGCTTCAAAGTAAAAAAAACATCCAGAAATATAAGACATGTAGTGGCTATTTGTCCAAAAACAAATCAAAAATCTAAATAAACTAATATCAAAAATAATCAAATGACCACTGATGCACCATGAAGATGTGATGTACGCAGGCAAAAGAAATCCAATGTCCATGCAAGAGCTGAGGTATTTTGGTGGTTGGTTGCTCTGGTGAAAAACAATAGGCCCACCCAGGTGCATGCTGGTCCTCTACCTGCCTCTTACTTAAATAATTACCGGTGCTCACTGTATTACTCAAATACCTAACAAAAACACTAATACAAAACTAAATTTACTAAACAAGTAACTAGCAAAAATATTTTCTAAATAAAGAAAACATGTAGAATAATTAAATAAACAACACCACCCAAATATTAGTAAACTAAATACCAAAACTAATTCTAACCACAATTAAATAGCTCCAACAAGACACTTTTTTTTTTTTAAACATGATAAAACAAATGTTGGAATTGTCCGGTTACAAAAGGATAAACAGAAATTATTCAAGAGGAACATCTGCTTCCCAAAGTGAAACTTTCCGACATACGTTGAGCTAAATTGTGAGTCAAAAGATGAAGTCACTTTTTGTTGTGTTCCACCATCCCACAGTGTCCCAAGGGAGGGGGGAGGGGCTTTGCCTCTCTGTGTTGTACAAGTTACACAGTCCCCATAACTGGATCATTTGTAAAACTTCTTGCTGGGGTCTTTGGCGTGGTCCAGTAAAAGCTGGCAGGGTGTGAAGGGAGCTCCATAAACCTCCTCGTATTTTCTCATGATGCTCACGAGACGCTCTGCGCCAAACGTGTCCACAAACCTGAACGGACCTGCATGGAAATGGGAATTATAAGTACTTAAAAAAAAAAAAAAAAACAGATCAGCAGTGACACTACAGAGAAAGCTTTTACTTCTGGGCTGCTCGTTTAGAGATTCAGTTCTAAACTGTGATATAACCATTTTTAACAAAAAAAAAAACAAACAAAAAAAAACATCCTTGAAAGGAGATCTTGAAAAAAACTGGCTTAGGAGCGCTGGATCGCCTAGCGGTTATGCTGTGTGCCTCATGTAAGGAGACTAGTCCTCGTCTCAGCGACCTCGGGTTCGATTCCGTCCTCGGCCCTTTGCTGCATTTCAGCCTCCACTCTCTCCTCCCAACATTTTCTGTCTCTCTTCAGCTGTCCCAGATAATAAAGGCAAAAATGCCCCAATATTGCCAGTGATATCAGACCTATTTTGTTTTTTTTTGTACCAGGCTGAGTGTCGAGCGGACACTCGAGGAACTGCAGGATTTTGAACTTCCGCATTGGCTTCATTTTACAAGAACCAGAGTTTGCCGCTTGGCCTGTACACACACTTCCAATTGAAAAACGTGTTAGCGGTCGGTGGGTAAAGTGAGAAAACGAGTGAAGCCCAGGGCCAAGTGAGTGAAGGTGAACTTGAACCATCATCCTCCAAGTATTAGGAAAAATTTTAGAAAAAAATGCAAACAAATTTTAATTTATGTTGGCAGCTCAGCTCCCCTTACTAAAATGCAGTCTGCAGAAAGAGGTCAGAAAAACCCTGAATTTAACTTTGAAATAGCTTTTCAAAGCTTAAGGTGTTTTCTTTATCAATTACCTTTCATAACTGCAGAAGGTTGACTACTAGATCAGAACTACACTTCTGGTCTAGGAAGCATTAACAAGTAATATATCACTCAAATTATTATGATTGTTTAATATACAAAAAGTGTTCATGTTTCTTTGTTGCCATAATTCCAAGCCCGTTCAAACTTTTGCCAACAGTGGACAAACTCTAAGTCAAACATGTAGCTCGGGTTCAGGATGTGTGTGTGTGTTCCTTTAAAATTAACCTACCGCCAATGCTTGGGGGGTATCCAAATCCAAATATAGCTCCAATGTCTCCCTCTACTGGGTTTCTCAGGACTCCCTCCTGGAGACACAGAAGGGACTCATTCACTACGCGGCTTATCAACCGGTGCTCTATGTCCCAAGCTGAAGAACTGCAACAACAACAAAAAACAGAAGCATTTACTTATTTCGACAAAGGCCAGACAGGGTGAAGTGGAGAGCTGACAAACCAGTAGATGTCGTCTTACATTGAAGGATGATATGTCAGGGGAACTTTCTTGATGATTTCTACAGCTTGAGTGTTCACACTTTTGTAGTTCTTTCCTTTTTCATAGAGAAAGAAGCCTTTTCCAGATTTACGACCTACAAGATATAATGAACACGTGTCAGACATATGAAGCGCTACATACAGTAGGTCATAAAGAACACACATTTAAGCTTAAATTCTTTTTTGTGCCTACATATTGTTTTAATTACTGTATACAGTAAATATATTTGTATGGATAAGCATAGATAAAACACAGGTTTGTTTTATGATAGAACTGAATATCCAGTCAATAATGACAGCATTTTCCTACGTTTCACTTTATATGACATACTAGTGGCATGATTTATCAGAAATGACTAGTTTGTGAGTTATATCGAGTTAAAGTTTTACCTTTGAATCCTCTCTCCAGAAGTGTCTCTAAGAGGCGCGTGTCTGATTCTCCATAACGAGAACCATAGGCGTTAAACAAGAACTACAAGCAAGCACACACACCAGGAGACATGCCATGGGTTATTTACTCAAAACAATTTCACACCTAAGATACATGCAAATCAACTCTTTAATAACGTTTAAATAGTTCATGTGAATTCAACTACATAGACAACAACCATAACCTACCTCTGATATGTGTAGTATCACGTCCAAACCAACTTCATCACAAATCAATGGGATGCTTAGGGATAAACCAACACTGTGTCCTATGGCTGTATGTTCTTCTAATGAGATACCTTCCTGTTAAACAAAACAAAGGTCAGGCTATTATCCGTCATTTGTACATGTGTGCAGAAACTATCTTAAGGGTTACACCACCAGTGTATTCGGGACAAGCCGACACGGCGACACGACGACACGACGACACAAACGCTTGAAGGAATCTTGGTGTTCATGTGTTACTTTTAATGACAGATGTCCTTTTCTATCGGAAAGGTATCCTTAAATGACTTCTTTCCCTGATTTCCAACTCTATCCACTATCATATCCCTACAGTAAAGGCACAAAAAGCGCCTACATATATAATGGTAGGGGAAACACTGCTGTGGACTTTTTGGGTTAGCAAGTTGCATACTCAAATTACGGTATCTGACAAATAACATTAACATTTCTCAGCTTCTCAATTAATCAGCAGCTGATAAGACAAACGGATATTTATTAGCCAATATTTTGAAGCCGCTACTGTTAGACAACAGCTAATATTAGCATTTTCCCCCCTTCTAACATTAGCATTTGATGGTGAAACATAATACCTGATGTCTTGGGTGCTGTGGTCCTGTTCACCTGGTCTTACCTTACCACCAGGTAACTGTCCAGTTAAATGTTACATCAGCTAGCTTAGCTTGTTTTAAGATGTGTTTTGTCAAATGCAAGTAATTCTAGCTAGGTTAGCTCATTTTAAGAGTTACCAGTTGCTTTGAACCAATTTGCTCTAATTGCAGATTCCAATGGACTTTTTGTTCAGCTAAATACAAGTTTCATTTTAAATCAATTAAATAATTTCCAAATCTGTCAAGTATAGCCTACATTTATTTAAGTAAGCAGGATTTTGTACAACGAGTGGGTTGTTATAGCAGAGGAGCCCCTCCATCCAGAGTGAGACAAGACCCTGTCCTGGTCACTAATCAGGTCAAGGTATTTTCATCAGTAGATGTGAAGGAAAAACTGGTATTGAATAACCCTAACCGTTCGGAGGCGGCAAACCTGGCTACCAGCCCCCGACAACATCTGGCTTACAAGGGGCTGGGGGGCTTCTGGGGCTACTCTGTGTATCTTGTGTTGAAGATGATTATTCACGAATGAGTAATCCTTCAAACTTTGAAGTATTCAGAAATGTAATTTGGAGGTTCAAATCAACAAGTTAGGATATTTGCAATGGGACCTTATGCAGTGTCCATAAAAGGAAAGAAGTGTCAGAGGCAAGTCATTATTCAAGCTTACCTGTAATAGTTTAGAGTCTCAAAGGTCAGATGAAAACACACGCGAGTGGTGTAAAACCCTGGACAATCCTGAAGTTCAGGGATTCAGCAGGCAGAGAAAGGAGATAAAAACACACAAAAGATTTATACAATAGTAAGCTACATGATAACCGAGATAGTGGTCAAAGTAACATTTCAGAGTCACACTGACCTTGACCACGATGACAGTCTTACCCTGTTTCACTCCAAGACTGAAAGCAGAGGCTATGGTGTCTTGAGATGTCTTATCAGTGGTGACAATCTCCAGCAACTGCATCTTATCCACCGGGGAAAAGTAGTGCATGCCAATCACCTACACATGCAAAAAGGAAACAATTTGAAGGTAAAATGCTTGTGTCCCATGTTTTTTTTTTAAACTCTTTGCATCTTGCTACCTAGATCCATGTTGATGGCCACAATGTACTCCCACCACAAAAAGCTTGCAGGAAAGCTTCCATGACACTACGCTCAACGGTGGAAGTGCAATAATATCCATGGTTGCTCGCGCAAAAGATTGTGTGAGCATAGTAAATGGGGTCAGTATGACGGACCTTCTCAGGGCGTTTGCTGGCAGCTGCGATTTCTGTGACGGGCAGAGCTGAGGTGTTGGTGGCAAAAATGCAGTGAGGGGGGATTACCTGCAGAAAGAAAGAAAAAAACAAATACCATATAACTTAAATGTAATCCTTAGAAATGATGGTAGTAACTTCTTAAAACGTTGAAAAAAGTATAACCATGATTTGGTCCTGTTGAGCACTCATTAAAGTTGAGATAAAGGCTTTCAAAGAGTGAGAAAAGGTTAGTTTTGCAGTCAAAATGTGATCTCACTATAAAGCAGGGGACTCCCAAATTTTGTTATATAAAGAACCAGTGGCATTCAAGACAAGTTCAGCGTTCGCTTTGAAAGAGTCTTACTGTGAAGCCCACAAGTGCAATCCAA